TCATAATTGCAACTATATTTAGGTGTTAATTTTACAAATTGGCGAATCTCTTTGTACCGCTGAATGGCATATCCATTCAGAGATTGTGAATAACATTACCCGAACAATGGTTTCGTCCATAGCTGACGTAATTATTTTATTGTTTCACATTCTTTGAGGACTTTTTTTCTGTTTCCTTTAAAATGGTGATCTCAGCCTGACGACGATATAATTGCATTTTTAAACCTGGTCTTACCTATATAAAACAATTTTAACTGTTTTAAACGCGAAATATATAAGTATTGTTTTGTTAAACGCGAGAAGTACACATTTAAATATACATTAAGTAACATGTTTAATAATTTTAACTACGGCCCGAAGTCATGGCTGCTGCAAAGCATTCGGACCGTCGGGCCGATATTATAATAGTTTTCAAATTAGTTTAACTAACATATATTGCGTTTTAAACCGTTAAAATGTTTTATTGAATATTGCTTTATGTAACTAAATTAGAACGTTTCAGATCTTTTTCGCTCTGCCCTGGCTTCGAACTAAAATTACATTAGAATTGTGCTATATTTCTATGTGTCTGTATGTGTTCTTCTTATATATCATTTCTAAATACAAAATTCACACGATACCTGCTTGGTTATTAAAAACAACTTCTTAAGCTTTACCATCTGTGGTTTTACAATTATCTGTAACATCTGCTCTTCATTCGTTAGATAAGGTAACACTTGTACGCTTTTAATGTTATCTGAAGTGCGATGTAACAAGTACTTATTCCGTATCTATGGACGACGCAAAGCATAGACAAAAACTTCTACTTTATTTATCATTTGGATCTAAGCAATATTTATCTATTAGGTATAAAAATATAACGGTGTAGCAATTTATGGCTAATAATTAACGGGTCGTGGATTCACTTCCCTTCGATTTTTCTAATCAATTTGTAATTTTTCTGAACATGGAACATATTTCTATCTGAATAATGAATGGGTGGTAGGAATATCGAAATTCCGTCCGGGTCACGACCACGATTTATTATTAGCGTTTCGCTTTCAGTCTATAGATTTCCGAATATTCGAAACACAAATATATCTCTCAGACGAGAAAGTCACTTAAGCACATTTAAATAAAAAGTTTTAATGAAGAATATAAAACACCATTTGCATATTGATGGATGTCTGCTGAATGGCTGATACCACATATTCATGGTCATATTGCTGTACGAAATATTTATATATATACGACTCCTTGTTCCATGCACTCATTTGGTTAAGTTTTAACCTGACGTCTTTTCTTAGTGCATGTAATAGGAAGAAACCGTGTGCACTATATATGTTTTGGTAAATGCCCGAAGCCGATGTTGAGGCTACCGTTTTATATAAAGATGCTGAGATGTTTTTTCTTTATTGGGTCAGAGGTTCTATTGTGGAGTAAAATAACGACGGTCGATCGGCAATCAAACCCCTTATAATAAATATTACTGATCCTATATAAATTAAAATTCGAAAAAAATTACGACTCGAGCAGGACTTGAACCGACATCTACAGCGTTCCGTTCTGTTGCTCTAACCAATTGAGTTACCGAGTCCTACACGTCATCGTCGATTTTTTTCAACCTATACGTGCATCTCTCACACTGTGGATGCCGATTCAAGTCCTGCCCGAGTCGTGATTTTTTCAAATTATGATTGATTTTTAATAATATGGTGTCATCATGTTTTCAAACGACTGATCCTGTTATCGATGCGAAGGGAAAAGTACTTAATAAGTTTTTGAAAATGGCGCAGACGCAAGCGTAAGCTTTCTTTAGGTTTAAAGAATTTATTTTTCTCAAAGAATATACATATTCACTTAAAGAGAAAACATTAATACTTAAACTTAAATGTGTTTACATGCATCGGACTTTAATTAAACTAAACAGTGATATATAATAAAAACAGTTATTATTAACTTATATTTTTCTAAAATATGGAACTTTAATGATTTCTTGAAGATGTTTATAGACTGGGCGTTTTTTAAACTTTCAGGTAACTTATTGTACAGATCAGCACCCGTAAATCTTAAACTATTTTTACCGTAATTAGTTCGGGGTTGGGGTAGTGACAAGTTTTTTTCTGTGGTATCTGTTTTTTCTTCGTGTTTTTATGTGTGTGTAGTGTATAATTTTATGAAGTGAAGCAGTATAGGTAATAGTTGAGAAATGTTAAATAATTTTGTTTTTCATAAACCTTTTTAGTAGAAGTAGTGTTTTATAATTAAACAAAGATTTTATGATTTTTGAGACAGTTACTATAGGTTTTAAGTTGGTCTTTGCTGCACATCCCCACACTGGAATAAGATAGTTAAATGCGGTTTGACTAGAGCATTATATAAATTTTTAGCCTATGGGGAATTTGTTTTTTCACTAACCCAATCAGCGGGTATTCTTTGATCGTATATGGTAAGGAGCTTTCCACGTAAGTCTTTATCTATGTCCAAGGTATCTCTCCTGATTAGATCTCTTAATAGTTACTTTGTCAATCTTAGGTGGTTCAAAACATGGTATTTTTTTATTTTTTGCAGAAAAAATCACGTAGGACGTTTTTTCAATATTTACAGTTAGAAGATTAGATTTTAGCCAGCGTGAAAGTTTGATATTTTGAGTTTCATTTATAATTCTATCTATACTATGACCAAAGTAAAACAGACAGGTGTCGTCGGCATATAAAGAAATATTACCTTTGAGGCCTATTTTACTGATATCATTGATATAGACCAAAAAACAAGGGTCCTAAGATGGATCCTTGGGGAATACCACATGACTTTAGTCAGGCTACTTTCGTATTTGTTAATTTTTACTAGTGGGTTCTTAAATATGATTCAAATATCTTATGAGCCGTGCCACCTAATATATGACTTAACTTTTCTAAAAGGACCGAATGGCTGATTGTATCGAAAGCCTTTTTCAAATCTTTCAAATTTGGAATCGAACTTTTGACAGTTTCGCGCGAAATTTCGCTTGTCTACTTTATCGCTCACCTGTACGGTGAAATGAAGTCTGGGCGCGTCACGCTTCGGAGAAAGTGTACTGAGAAGTCCCCAATTGGGTTGCGACCTCGAAATTCAACGGCCACGAAGTACGAACGTCTTTTTTCGAATCGCGGACCCGGCTACCGACCGGTTTCGATAGCCGCGACTAGCCTGTTTTATCTGTGCGATTCTGTGCTCTATGGTCTCACGAAAAGACAATTTAAAATATCATCGAAACTCGAACGTTCAATTTGAAACGGTGTGCAAACTGCAAATCTCAATTTATTGCTGGATTATATTATAATCTGTATTTTTTGGAACCAACGAGAATTCACTAGGCATTTGATTGATAAACTATTTCTTATTTTTTGGTATGGAAAATGTGTGCTTCTCTGTTAATAGACTTAGACAAACACAGATAAAAATAATTGTAATATAATATTGTTATCCGTATAGATGACGATCTATATTAATGCCTTTTGTAATAAAATAAGAAGTTCTGTTATCTTAAACAATTATTAATAGAACAAATAAACCTAATATCTCATTATCTCACCCTCATCCTGCGTGAAATTAAAATGGTACAGTAGTTGTAGGTATACGTGTGTATATATGAAGCTTATTTATATGTTCGAACACTTCAATGTTAGTAACATATATTTATCCAAAAATTTTAACAATTAACGATTACTTTAAGCCATTAGCATTTCATATTAAAAATATAATATTAAGCAATAAAAAGTAAAAAAAAACTATGTGAAACCCTGAAGGGATGGGGAGATAGATAGTGTTGAGAGTATTAAAATATATACTAGGCGTAAAAATGATATCCTGTGATTTTATATTAGGTGTGTGTACAAATAACGTTTATATAAAGTAACATTACATAATAAAATTAATTAGTAAAATTTCTTACCTTGAATATTTAGGCAATTCACCACATGAAGCCACTTTTTTTCATTATAACAACAAAAATTATCACTTTACGACGCTAAACTTAGTACTTTGTCCTTTAAAACAACTTTGTAAGCTTGAATACTATCAAAAACAATCACTGATTAAAAAAAAACAAAGTTCAACATTCTCTTCGGAATGTCTGCATTTGAATCGCTGTTCTTACTATGTAAAAGATTGTAAATTTAAATTACTTTAAAGCGCACCACAATTTTAATATTAGTAATTTCACAATATTTAATTTGTTTGTAAACACATCGCAATTACATAGTTTTTGAAAGTTTTGATTTCATCGTTACAAGCTGTCACTTGACGCATGCGCTACCGTTAACACAACGCACGTCTGTCGTTTTCGGCGGGTTTAACCAATATGGCGAATGTGAGAATGACATTGGCGGCGCGGCGAGACTTGTAATGTTGCCGTTCTTAAAATTCTAAATTACTCTCCTCCAAACAATAATATTTTAATTCAGCTAATAATAAAATAGCTTGAAATATGTATTAAAGTATTAAAAACAAAACAAAATTAACGACGTAAGAAACGTTAAGTTAAGTTAAACTTAAGTTTCAGTTTTAATACATATAAATATGCATAAATACTATGTATGTAACATAGGCATAATATCATTTTCATATTTATACAAAAAATAAACGTTTTTAAATTAGGTATATGCGGTTATTGCGATTAAAATAGCCCCAATGCTTTCGCTATTTTAATTCATACCAAAAGTAGGCTTCAGTGAGCGGGAAACATTTACTAAAGGCAAGTGTAATGGTAGTTTTATTCGTAGACTGTTTATTATGTGAATCCAATTTGCGACTTACGCTTATTTATTTGAAACCAGACATTATAGGAAACTCTTTAGTTTATGTCTAAAATAAAAAAGCTTAAACTTGGCAGTTAAAGAAATATGTCATATTTTTACGTTACTATTTGGTCTTTCTTAAATAAACATATATAGATGTGGTAATCGGCCAAAATTTTGTGTAATTCTCATCAAATTATGAGTGGTTAATTCGTTTCAATTAAATTGCCCGTTTTCGAAGGAATGGCTTTGGATTTAGTTAGCATTGCACAACCACATTACATACCTGGGTTTGTAACTATATCTATATTTTCTAATTTACCTTATAAAGGAAAAATAAACCCATAATAATGCAAGAATATGCAATATCTCATACAGTCAAAAGTGCGTGATTTTACGCAATATATTTTCCTTACTGTACACTGTTGTATGCTCGGTAAATCAATTCTCTATTCTGAAAGAATGGTAGATAAATTATTCTTTCTTCATTATGAAACATCAGCCTCTAACTGTAGATAAGGAAAGTCAGGTTGTAGGTACGTGTCTTATGTGGAATTTTAATAGATACCTAAACTATTTATGGCAATTGATCAATTAATTTTTGTAACTTCAAATAATTCAAAAACTTCGAATCCCTCTCGTTTTTCTTTGTAGTGACAGAATCCTTCCCAATGTTGCTATCTTAAAATATTGTGCTATCCTTTACATATTTTTTCCCAATGACTAAGCATGACTGAATTTTTACAGCTATACAGGCCATTGCCCAGAATATAAGTACCGAATTGGCGACACATATGGCTCAACAACACACAAAATATTATTGGACCCCAGTGTAAACCATTCGGAAAGACTAGTACTGTCAGACAGGACAGCTGATGATTTTCAGGTGTAGTATATGTACTTATAAGACAAATAAAACCCGAAGTCCTAGTATCTAGTAGTATCTACTTAAATTAAATACATATTTAGACAGAAAATAATTACGACGCGAGCGGGACATAAACAGACACCCGCAGATACTAATATATACCTAGAGCTGAAGAGTTTGTTTCTTTGAACGCGCAATCTCAGGAAATACAGCTTCGAATTGAATTTTTTTTGTTCGAGCATTTATCAAGGATGGCTTTACACTATAAAACATTGCGCTTTGACTAATAGAAGCGAAGATACAGCGAGAAATGTGAACAAAACGGAGTAAATTTTTCATCTCTGTGGGTTTCCGATGCGTGCTATATGTCTATCTTTTCCCAAAACAACTAATCTACGCGGACGAAGTCGTTGAAACAGCTAGTAATTTATAAAATACCATCATGCTCAATAAAATGTGACAAAATAAAGTTTTTAATTCATTATTAAAATCCGTTCGGTAGCAAGTACATAATGCAATGTAATGTAATACAGTAATAAATAAATGATATATACATTTATTTATATATAAATAACTCCAAAGCTCGCTTCTACCTAAATATACAAGGAATCTATATTTCTATGTCAAAGATATTAATTTTTGGAACAAAAATCGGCACTAATTATTTTCTTTAATTGAGTATATTGACAAATTTAAGTATACTATATAATATTTAAAAATCAAACATTACTTTCTTGTACAGTTGGAAAACATTATTATATATTGTGGTAATGTCGTTTAGAAAAAGCAACAAAAAAATCTACATATTTAAATTTTAATTTGAATAGGGTGGGAATTGATAAGCTAAAACAGTATTTTACTAATCAGAATGTGTATAAGCGTGGCGTATATTCTACATAGATAAATATCAGTATTGTTCAAACACCTGGTGATCAAGGCGTCAGGCTGATAGCCCAGGTGTTTTAAAGGTATATTTCCTACACCATGATAGTAAAAATAATTATTACAGTATTGTCAGCAGTTTACATGTGTTATACCCTTAGAATGGTTTATTTAAACACATAATTTTTTATTAACAAGTCGAATATGTACTTTAATATTTTTCACATGATGGCACTTATACAGTAAAAATCGAATATAGAATGAAAAAAATAACGACACGAAATAACTTCCGTTCCGTAAGCGGCCTGCCCGTGTCGTATTTTTTTTCAATCTATAAACGATTTTTCAGTCGATTATAACAAAGAAACCGCAACTAAATAATATTTCCTTTTCCAACTATTTTAATATATTATAATTAACTAACATTAAACATATTTAAATTCTCCTTTCCGGCCCCTTTCTTCTAGTGATACTGTCTTAATTAATTTCCAAATTTGACCAAAGTGCGAATAATAGTTTGTAATTAAAAGGCTGTACATATTTAAATAAAACACTTTAACGGTTTAAAACGCGATACATTAGTTAAACTTATTTGAAAATGATTTTTAACTTCGGCCCGACGTTTCGGATGGTCTCCCCGTGACCACGGCTGCTGCAAAGCATCCGAAACGTCGGGCCGAAGTTAAAAATCAATTTCAAGTAAGTTTAATTAAAAGGTTGTTTTTCCAGATATTTCGCCCACCACAACAAGCAATAGATGTGGTCAATGCAAGGTTTCGGAATGGCGATCCTGTTTATAAGCATCCTATGATACCAGGATATGAAGGTAAAATAAAAACATGAATTAATGAAAGTCTAAATTGCTTTAAGAACTGCAACTCCATTCTCAACACTTCTGCACCAGACATTAATCGAATATGAGGCCACTAGAGGCAGAGTAGCCTAACTGCAATTTTATGACTTGACTTATTATATTTTCATAGTATAAAAATGTTAATCTACAACAGCACGGTCACCGAAAATTGTTAACATAATTCTTACACAAATAATAGTCCAAATTTTTATTTTCCTCCTTATTGTAAGTCATGTTTTTTGTTATGCCTTGAGTTCCAGACGTGATCTTAGAATTAGATCTTAAGTCTTAAAATTTATCAAAACATCCCTTTTGTTCTATCATCGTACTTAAGACTAATGTAACACTTTAATCCTATTAAGATGAGGATTATAATTTATTTTGAAAAATTGAGCTACAAAGAAACAAATAACGAAAAGCTTTGCTTAACTGAGTTGTTGAAAGCACAAGCTGTCAAACGTTTGTAGATTGAAATAACTTCGAGCAATCGAGGAGTTGATGATGATGCCGTCCACACGTGATGGCGATCTATAACTTTCTCGCTCACTGCAACCGAAAGACTATTATATATGTTAAATCGTGAAAGTTAAAGTTATTAATTATATAACAGTTTAAAAATCGAAATAATATATATCAAATATGTTTCAATTTTAATAAAAATATATTTAACTTGAAAAACATTGTCGATATTGGTGGAGCTTGAAACGGCATCCTCTCATCGCGTCTTCGTCGAATTTATTCCTACCTTATTATTTATTTTTACCTATTGATACATGCACCTCGGACGTAATGTAATTTCAACATTAACACTTACGCCTCGATATTTCCATCTTTATTTATAAGGTGATATAGATAATTCATCAATCTTATAGGTATATATGTACAGAAAAGTACATGGTTTTTAGCAACGAATAAAATAAAAAAATGCACATTATATTTATAGTTTGTAGCCATTGTTGTGTCGTAGATTGTTTTTAATTAGGTAGGTACATTTAGAAATAAATTATTCGTTTACTTAGAACGACTAGATTAAAATCTGCACAGCAAAACAGCGTTTCGTTTCGTTTACCTTGTCTGAGTCATTTTTTCTTAAGAAATGTTTTATAAAGAAAAGGTTTGACGTGTACATTGAGTAAGTATCTACCTTTTAATACATGAGATTTTGTATTTATAAAAGATACTAAATTTCAAATAACACACCGATAATATTAGCCTCTGATACCACTCTAATAAAATATTGTTAACATTACATTAATTTCGAACAAATTTGATTAGGTACTATAAAAATGGTTCTCGGGAGTTAATCTTAAAATATAGGCATATATTAAATTGAAGTGGAATTATTCTTTTATACATATTTTTGGTTTCTTGAACCGTTAGCAGTGCACACAACGGAAGTTTAAGTGTTTTTCCATATCTTTTAGGGATACTTCGCTTCTTTCGGGCGCCTTCCTTGATTATCCCCCCAACACAAAAATAAAATCTCAATTCATACCAGTGTTTACAGATATCAGCGAGTGTAAACACACAAACCAACAAACTCTCCCGCTTTATAATATTAATATTGATATCAGATCCACAGTGCATCTATTCGTCTAGCGCACAAAATAATTTCAAATAAAATTATTCCCGTTAGCTCAGCAATCTGATATCATTCCTATGATGTGTAAAGCTCGAATTCCCGTATTTCCAGAGATAATTACATAGTTATTGGGTGAGAACACGTTAGATTCATTCCACTAATAAACTAAGTATTTCTTGTTTGCTTGCTGTAACAGTTATACGAGGCTTTTTGATTTATGTGAAGCCATCGTGGAAATCATTGCAATGACTGTTAGAATTAGTGCTTATAAATAAACGGCGATAAAATTTTCTCAGCCATATATTTTTTTAACTATTGAAAAGTTTCAATACGTTAACGTGTTTTATTTAAATGTCTAGGTACTACTCGCGTAAACTATAGACAGTATTTAAACCTGGTTTTTCTAAATTCTTTTAAAGGTCCGGAAGAGATTGTTAATAATTGAATTAATGAGTCACACCAAGTGATTCCGAATATTTAATGTTATATTAATATCTTTGTATTAACAATCGTTATTGTTAGTTGCTTAATTTGAAAGTTTTTTTTTGGGTTTTTGATCTGTTCGGCTGTCGGCGTTCGTTTCCCAATCTAACCGAATCGCCGAGAACAATATTTCAATTAGGTGCAATAGCTCGAAAACCTAATCTATACTAATATTATAAAGCTGAAGTTTTTTAAGCTGTTTGGTTTTTTTAATGTTATCTCGTTCCAATAAAAAAAATATTTTTGTGTTACATATACTATTTGCCGAGGAACGCTTTAGGCTATACAACATATCGCTGCGACGGATATCAGCGAAGAAACAGTGAAAATGTGGAGAAAAGGGGGAAAATTAATGATTTTTGAGGGCTTTCGTTGTGTGCACTGCGACACCGATTCCAGAAACCAAGAGACACAAAGTTTTATATATTTTTTTGCGTATTCTATAATGCATCTTTTAAACATCTTTTATATCTCTTCTTGAATAATTTAGGCATGAGTTATACAAACCACTAAATCAGATTGTCAACTTGTGTCTAAAACAGTAGTCTACCCTCTCAATGGAAAACGCAAAGGTCCAAATGTAACTGAAGTTAATGATTATAGACCTTTTGAAGTTAATGATCATCCCCCCCCCCTTCCAAAGTGTTTGAGAGCATCTTATAGTGGCGTATAAATTGTCAATTCACCTCTTGTCCAAAGTTGACGGTATTTCTGTTCGTTCGGCTCGTGGTCAGTAAGTTGACGTCTAATAATAGACAGGTTTTACGATGACTGTAATTTCTTTGCGAATATCTGCTTTTATTGTATACTGATTGTAAATTTTCTTTTTATGTAAATATATAATTGGTGTGATTGGTTACTGTGTTAACTAAATAAATAAATATGATAACCACATAACATAATGCAATAATTAAAATATGGGATTCATTTAGTGACTAAAGATAGGATAGGAGTAACGTTAGTATTTTAAACTTAAAACCTAAGTTAATATGCTGTTAGAATGTGTTTTACAAAAAATATATTTCACTAGGCTTCTTACCACGATTAAATGCCCATTTTGGACAGCGGTATACCGTAGCAGCCACAGAAGCACTTTCGGAGTTTCAGAAGGCACAACTAAACCAGCGTGCAGCTAGAAACCAGCTGGAAAGAGTGGTCGACCTGCAAGTCGGAAAGGGGCAACCATGGAATCTTGTAGATAGATTTGTGAGTTTCTTAAACCTGTGAGCAGATTGGAATGGAAGAAGTGATTGTGGAAGAATGTACGACGGTGTGATGAATAAAGACGATTTTGAAATAAACAAACCATAATATTATAAAATGAAGAGTTTGTTTGTTTGAACGCGATATTCTCTTGGAAAAGAACTCCTGGTTCGAATTCTAAAAAATATGAGAGAAAAAGATAAGAGAGAAGAAACAGAGAGAATTGTGGAAAAACAAATGACGCTCAAAATAAATATTACACGCGAAAAAATTCGCGGGCATAGCTAGTCTTTAATAATAACAAAAAAAAACGTTTCCCATCAGTCTGCAACTGCGGAGTTCAAGTTGCCTCTGGTGGTAGTGAGACCAGAATGTGCCGGGATACTTAGGGATTTGCCTATGGATGAGCCGAAATTGTCGCCAGCATCTCACTCAATCAGTCCATATTTCATGGAGGATGCCGATCCACAGAAATATATCAAGAAAGGTGAGATATCGAGATAAAATTAATGTAATAGTAAGAAGGTTTGTTGGCACGACGAAACAATATGATTATGAAGACCTCTTTTTAAGGGGGTTTCATTATGCAAAAATCTTGGCCATTAAGAAAAGAATAAATTAATAGTAACTATGGAAACAGCGTCATTGTACTTTTATTTTTAATCAGGCGCTTTTAAATTACCCATTCAATGTCGTACGGAAAAATTCACCAATCTTTTGTCAGGAATCAAATTTGTGGTTTCAATCCAGCTGAATCTGTTCGTAAGTCTACAGAAACGTGAAGAATAAATGTTTTCTCAATATCGGAAATCAATGTTCTTGTATATGAACTACGAGACCCACAATTTATAGAAAATTTTCATACATCAATTTATTTGAAAAAAAAAACGCAATTGTAATTGTTATGAATAGTTTCTGAACCAATAAAATAAAAAATAGGATATTTTCATCAAATTTGTGTATTAAATACTTTGTTAAATAAACTCGTCCTGCCAGAATCAATTGTAATCGAAAGATACCAAAGAGAAGCTATTGTTTTCACACCTAACAACTACCATATTTACTTACTCAAAACTTAATATTAAATTGAAGAAACTTCCTATAGATGACTCATTCACATCATTGGGGCTCTAGTTATTTCCATAACATATTTATTGGTATACCAGCGTTAAATAAATGCAATGTTTTTTAATTTGTATAATTGATTTATTTATTTCATTATAAACATTCTACTATCACAGAACAAATTTCCATTGCGATAGACATATTAAATACATATTTCATATTTCAATAATGTTTTAAACCTGTGTTATGTTTTAAAACTCTATGCAAATAAGTTTAAAAATAATTATCTAAAAAACGTTCCCCAAAGTTAAATCCATCCGCTATTCATAGCTTTATCGTTAGCTCATAATTGTTGCAGGTTTTGCAGGCCATGTCCCCTATGGATTCCAGCGGTTTGGCGACTCATCAAAGAAACTAACAAACTCCGCATTATGTGACTTCTCCTCGAACTACAGGAGACGTCAGAGCACAGAATGGGCGCCTGTAAATGTTGTCAAGTAAGTTTACAAAAAACGTGGACACAAAAATTACAAATCAATTAATTTTGCAATGTAATAAAAAATTACTACGATTATTATTATGCCAAAATTGGCAACACTATTGTTAAGTATTGATTTTCGGTCAATTGTCAAATGTAGGCATTTGTCAGTGTAACCTATTTGTTTTTATTCCGTCTTGCGTCGCGGTTTTAAAAATAAAAAACACGTAAAAGTTAAAAGAAACCATCAAGATGCCCAAAAAGAAAATTATGCCTGACCTCTCTAAAGAGGAGAAGATGGTGATCGTGATTTCCGAGATAATCCAAGAGCTTCAGGCGGCACACCGTCAGGGCAAAGATGTTAACCTCAACAAGATGAAAACGAGGATATCCTCCAAGTACGGTATGGATACGTCGCCTCGTCTAGTGGATATTATTGCTGCTGTGCCGTCTGATGCTAAGAGCTACTTGTTGCCCAAGTTAAAAGCCAAGCCCATACGTACTGCATCTGGTATAGCGGTGGTAGCAGTTATGTGCAAACCCCATCGTTGTCCTCACATAAATTTTACTGGAAACATTTGTGTGTACTGCCCGGGTGGTCCGGATTCCGATTTTGAATACTCTACACAAAGTTACACAGGCTATGAGCCGACATCCATGCGTGCTATAAGGGCCAGGTATAATCCGTACTTACAAACCCGTCACAGAGTTGAGCAGTTGAAGCAACTTGGTCATAGTGTTGATAAGGTGGAGTTTATTGTGATGGGTGGGACTTTTATGAGTCTTCCGGAAGATTATCGTGACTACTTCATAAGGTAAGATTAAGAATAGAAAGGTAATTTTATAAATGGTCAAGTATTTAAGGTCAGGTGTCCAGGCTTCAGGTGAGATATAAGTTTAGCTCCAGTTTAACTTAACTGCAATTTTGAACTAATAATGTGTGTCATAAATTGTATGACACATTTGGCCCGTGCAATTATAATCAATAATAATGATTCTCAACATTTATCTATCTATCACAAATGGATGGCATTATAATATACAAAAATACTAGTTTGAAGTTAACTGTGTTAATGTGAAACTTAATAAATCATCACATTTGTAGGAATCTTCATGATGCTCTTTCTGGCCACACATCAAGTAATGTTGCTGAAGCCGTAAAATATTCTGAAAAGGCCAAAACTAAATGCATTGGTATCACTATTGAAACCAGACCTGACTATTGTCTTCAAAGACACATGAGTGATATGCTCAATTATGGATGTACAAGGTAAATTACATTTTACATAGATTTTATTCATTTATACAATCAATGTATCATTTAGCAAATAAAACTTAGCATATAAGAATTAAGTATATAGTTATTCAATGTTAATTGTCAATACACTGGAAGAGACAAGCCACCCACAACCCAGGGAATCCTATGAAAATAAAGACCATTAAATCTAACACAACTATATTTTTCCCCTTACAGTGCATAGAATCTAAAAATGTCTGTGTCTGAGTCACTAATCAATTTTATCTGCTGACCAGTAGTTGACTTCTGTCCCCAACAGAAAGTACAATATGTCCCCAGAATCTTTGAATTCTCTTGTGCATTTAACTTTTGGAAGATAGAGGCAATGATATGTAGAAGATTGAATATTGTAATTTTTTATAGCACTTTTTCAACTGTTTTCAGCAGTAATAGTTATTATAAGCCTATATATTGTCAGTGATTCAATTCGTTTAGTATTGAATTACAGGTTGGAGATTGGGGTGCAATCTGTCTATGAGGACATTGCAAGAGACACAAACAGAGGTCACACTGTCAAAGCTGTATGTGAAAACTTTAATTTAGCTAAGGATGCTGGTTTTAAGGTAAAATGAGTTCCTCAAGCAAATTAAAAAAGAAATTTTTAAGTTATATAATTCCATCATCTCCAATAACATGTGAAAATTTGTAATGTCAAATTTTAAACTCCCTGTCAAAATCTTATAAGATATTGAAACTTATAGGGCATTTGTTAAGGTTGAAAATACATTGAGCGAGAGGTAGCTCAATTAGTTGAAGTCCTGACCCTGCCATAATTTTTTTTTTCTAAACTTAAAATCTATTTTTAATTTATACAATGCCATCATGTTCCAATGTGTGGAAAATGTAAAGTGCAACCTCTTGTGTGACCCATTTGGTATCTTAGTAAATGTTTTTTTGTTTGGTAACTTAAAAAAATTCACAAGACCTGAACTATTAACATAAATAGCGTTTATTATTTTGGGTTTATTAAACTAAGCAAACAGTTTTTGTCTTTTGTGTAAGAATAATTCAACTTCTAGACCAAAACTCCAGAATGCCTAGTTCAAAAATAACTGAAATCTTTTTAGATTGTGGCTCATATGATGCCTGACCTACCCAACGTTGATTTAGACCGAGATGTGGAACAGTTTAAAGAATTCTTTGAAAACCCAGCATTTAGAGCTGATGGTCTAAAGATTTACCCAACTTTGGTCATCCGCGGTACTGGGCTGTATGAATTGTGGAAGACTGGAAGGTATAAGAGTTATCCTCCTTCAACACTGGTGGATTTGATTGCTAAGATATTGGCTTTGGTGCCTCCATGGACAAGAGTGTACAGGTATGGACATTATGGATGACTTTATACATTATTTTCGATTTTTTAGAATGTTTTTTTTTGTAAATCATTTAATTATAGTAAATAACATTAGAGGCTTCATTTTCTGGCTTAACAGATGTACATGACCATGTCTAAACTATGCGGTTTTATAATTTATTGAATAATCATAGGGTATTTTTCATTTAAATAGTTATAATGAAGAAGATAAAAAAAACTGTTAGTTAAGATACTTTTCATCTGTGCTCACATCAATTACAGTGACGTCAATCATAACAGGTGTATTTCCGGCGAAAAGCAAATATGGCAACATATGACGCACTCGTTGCCAGACATTACAACATATTCTTTTGGCGGCATTTTGAAATATATAAATATATTGTATAAAAATTAGTTTTGAGTACTTCAAAAGCACCTTCAAAGGTTTCAAACGCGAAATTTGTAGTAATTGCGTAAATCACAGACCGCGCATACTCTAAGATTGTATAAAATAAATAACGATAAATTTAAAGCCTTTATTGAAAATTTGGCCGATCTATTAATTAAATAACGTTGCCATTTAATTTGCCATACATTATTTTATTGATATTATGTGCCTTATTCTTATGGATATAAAAACCGTTTTTGAACCGTCAATGAAGAACTAGTTTCCTTTTTCAGAGTACAACGCGACATTCCAATGCCTCTCGTATCATCAGGTGTAGAACATGGCAATTTGAGAGAACTAGCCCTGCAAAGAATGGCTGATCTGGGGACGGATTGTAGAGATGTGAGGACCAGAGAGGTTGGCATTCAAGAGATACACAATAAAGTCAGGCCGTATGAAGTAAGTGCAATGTAATTAGTTATTGTGAAAAAGCTATCAGAAAAAACATGCTATCACATATATACAAAGTTGGTTACAATGATGTATAGAGTTCTTATTGCCTGCTTGTTCTTTACTAATAGGTACTAGCTGTGTCAGCAACTTCGTCCGCGTAGAATAGTTATTTATTTATTTATTCCTTATTGCACAAAAAATAATAATGATATAGAATATAAACATTTAAAACGTTAATTTGGGAATCAAAATTTGTTTCTGCAAACCCACTCATCTTTATAAGTTATGGGTGTTACTTACGACATCGGTCGCGGCGTTATCGTTCTTGCAAGTTAATCTTAAAAGATAGGCATATACTGTGTCCGTTATTTTTTTTTGATATAGATTTTTGTTTTATATATTAGTATAGATTAGTCAGCTGGTGTGTGTAAAACGTTACAGCTATTTACTACTTAAAATAGACATAATTAAAATTAAAAAAAAAAACACTTATGGATGCTAGAATTGTACACTACCTTCCAAGTCTTAAATGGAAGGTGTGCCAGGTGTGTGATATCTCAATACTCTTTTAGGTGGAACTAGTGAGACGCGACTATGTAGCCAATGGTGGTTGGGAGACATTTCTGTCATATGAGGACCCCGACCAGGATATTTTAGTGGGGCTACTCCGCTTGAGGAAATGCGGTAAAGATACTTACAGGCCGGAATTGAAGCCGGGACCTGATTCAATCTTTAAGCAGTGCAGTATTGTCAGGGAGTTGCACGTCTACGGATCTGTGGTGCCGGTTAGTACATCGTTATTGGCCTGTCTTTATTATAGGAAAATGTGTAGCCCTGTTTAGCATTAGACAGTTGGACAGAAGGATAATCACTAAAGTGCCAACAAATGAAACAGACACAGAAATAAGTCTATAGTGTACTTTTTCTAACTTGGCAAAAGATCACAAGAAATATGGCCGATTTGAAACCATAGAGAACTAGTGATGCTCCTTTATAGAATGTTGTCGTTGGCACAGGGTAAACGAAATATTTATTATATATGGGCTACACGACCTCAATTTTCTAAATCACTTTTGCGCCCTTTTTTCATGTCATTCTTATTTAAATCGACGTTTGAAACGCTTTTCAGCGCTCGGGCATGAGTGGGACTTCGACCTTCTATTGTCGTTGACTTAGCATACATCCCATCCATATGTAATTGTCAAAACTAATGACTTAAATTAATTTTCAGGATTTTTATTAATTTAGCATGAAATCGTGTTTTTTACTAAATGAATTTTAGGTAGTTTCATTAGTTCATAATATATTCCAGTGTATCCAAGTTTGATAGTGTACATCGATGTAAACTGTTAGAAAACCACTATTTTATGTAAATTATATGTTTGTATACAAAAAATGCCAAGTTAGAAAAAATACACTAGACTGTATATAGAATATAAAATACTACCTATTAAATTATTCTTTCTACATTATTAATGTTATCATAAGTATTTCTTTATAATCTTTAAGTTGGTATATCCATAATCCAAATTTTATCCTATGTATATCCTTGTCTTCCAGGTGAACGCTCGGGACCCAACTAAATTCCAACATCAAGGTTTCGGAATGCTGTTAATGGAAGAAGCTGAGAGAATAGCTTTAGAGGAACACGGTTCTGATAAAATGGCTGTTATTTCTGGAGTCGGAACTCGCAACTATTATGCCAAGATTGGATATCATCTTGAAGGGCCATATATGGTCAAGATGCTAGCTTAAAAGTTAAATGTACTGCATATCTATCGTATGTAATACGAAGACCTAATTTAGTAGACGTCACTGATATTGTTACTCTGTGGAGTTACATAAAAAATATCTGCGGTTTATCTATACACTTTGCCTCTTACACTTGTAATTTCAACAGCCACGTCTCTGGTTGATTGTCTCAAAAAGAGACTGTTAGTCATCTAACTTATTATAATTGCTAAAGAATAACAGCAACAGCATAAAAAGCTTTGGTTTTGCTATCATGTATGCCAAGTTAGATTTCTTAACGGAAAGTATGTTTTGTCCTCGTCTAACGTGCATAAAACTCATTAGAAAAAAAGAGACCGAGATTAGGAAATACCTTGTCAGGCCTAAGAAAATGGAAGTGTTGCTCTCAATGTATAATTCAATTATTTAAAAGATCTTCAAACTGAATATAGATGTCGCTTTTGGTGTTCAAAATCTATATTGTTGTCTCGTCAATATTGTTTTGTAACTAAAATCTGTGTAAATAAAGTATCTTGTTTACGAAATGTGTTTTGATGTGTGAAATTAGACGATTTTTCTCAACTTGAGTTTAAAATATTTTTTCTGAAGATAACAGTAAACTAAATTTTTAGTAGGAGAGTTATTACAGCTATTCACCGATCAAATGTTTGGCATCGACACCGTACGTTACAGGTTCGATGTCAAATGGTTTGGGTTCGAAAACAAATCTCGAAATCACAAAACAATTACCTTTTCACTATGGCTACGATATTGTTTTTTTTTCCACAGCCGGCCTTCGAGTATTTAGACAGAAACGCTAGTCGTTTCATATAAACATCTTATGATCCCTAACAAACCTTTATTCCTTTCCAGACCCGATCCTCCTCTCTCGATCAATCCAACGGAAATATATCACAAGCACGTAGGTATGCTGCCTAACTATGCCGGCCATGTACCTGGATGTCTTTTCAGGTAAGTACAGAGTAGTACATGCATTGTGTCAATAGATTGAAAGAATTCTTCGATGATGTTTATTATATTTTAATGAACTGCAGATTTGGCAAGACCTACGGCAACGACACCAGAGACGCGAAAAGATGGCTCCGCGGCGACTTCAAACCTTAAAATATGTAGTTGAGCGAAAACGAAACACGTCAAACGTAACAACTTTTGTATTTTATACAGCAAATTACAAATACTTTATACAATGTTCAGTTTAATTTCTGCTCCAATAAGTTTATATACAAAACTATAAAATCACATTTTTCCCGAGTATACATTTTTATATTGAGTCATGCTATTTAAAGGACTATTTTTTGGCGTTCCATTCCTTGAGAAGTTTCTCGGCCAGTGCGAGGTTGTCGTCTTTCTGTAAATCAAACGTTTACTTTGATGCACATTGAAAATGGCTTGACCGATTTTGATAAACATTTTATCACTGAGGACTGAGTCATTAATTTAACTGACATAATATATACAAAATATTAAATAACTTATAATAGGTAGGCCATTTCTAGGCTTCCACTCTTTATCGAGAATAATAGTTTAGACTACATATGCATTTTTGTTTACGAATATGGTCTAAAAGTAGCAATGTTCGGTTAATAATTAACGGTTCGTCAATTCGGTCCATCATATTACTAATCACTATTTTTTCCGAAACATATTGGATTTGGACTGGAAGTTGGTAAAATGTGTGATCGGAATATTCAAATCCCGTCCAGGTCACGGACCACCCCCCACAGATGAAAAAGCCGTGATGTTTAATCGCGTGTCGGTGTAAGTCTGGATTTCCAACCATCCAGATATCCAATGGGTCGACAGCGTCACTTTGAGATGTTATGTATGACATCTTCCTTCAAGTGATTTCCATGATGTTCTGTCATTTATAATAATAGCTATTCTTTTAACACATTCTGTTTTTGTATATGCTTTACACACATTGTGTGTAATATTATTATATTACAATGATATACTAGAATATAAATATACCTTGATGAAGCAGAATCTAGCAAAGTTCTCGCCCAAACTCTTGTGCGGCTCGGAGTAGAAGGCAGAGGGCGGTATAACGAGCACTCCGGACTCTTTGGCGAACTTCTTTGTGAATCTGTAATCCTGGTACTTGTCGCGTTCGGACGAAAGATCTATTTTATCCTCTGCAAGTCAATCATTTTATTGATTAGATCCGAAGAGAAAAAAGCTAAATATATAGGGATACAAGAGATGCCCTAAAATATGATTTTTCTACAAAAAGAAGGTAATTTGTTTTCTCTTTGGGCCATAAATGTGGGCAATGGGGGTGCTTATTTAACTATCAAGCTTTTTTATGTCTTCCGCCCTTTCGCCTCACCCTCCTGTGGGTGATAAATAGCCGGTCGCGGATCGACGCGGCCTTTGCTCTGGCCCATTTAAGCTGCAAGTAAGAGTGTGTGAGTGCACGAGATAGATATTTAGACTTCTAAAAATAACAATATTTCGACCGCCAATAAAGAAAAATTCAGTCTATCGATGTCCAAATACCGTGTGAACCTGTAGTTTAGCTGTACTAATAGAATTATTTATTAGTAAATTACTTACTTAGTTTGGTCCAGTCAGCAATAATGAAGTATCCACCATCAGGTACGGTGGGGTTAAACCCATTTTCTCGCAGCACCTTCACCAGGTAATCTCGCTTCGAGATGAGCTCTCGAGTTATGGAGTTGAAGTAACATTCGGGCGTGTTGATGCGTGATAATTCAAACTCGAAGGACCGGGCTACTGCTTCCTTGAAAAGACAAAAGCGAAAATTACTAGTATCTCTAGTAGATTTTTACTGAGGAGGACGAGCACGGGGTTTGCTTGATGGTAGGTGAAATATCCTAGACGTATAACATCTAAACATGATGCGCTGACGGCCTATTATTCGGAAATCCACAGACTTCACCATTTCGCCTTCTGTAAGTGATTTCGGCGTTGTCTGTCCTCCTCTATCATAAAGAAATATACTTCTGCAACAAGGTTAGTAGTTAATATAGTTTGAAAAAGGTATTTTCGAATTTCATATGCATACTCAGCATCAGAAATACTATATTATTTTTAATCCCATCTTAATTAAATAAACTTATTATTAACTAGCTGTGTCAGCAACTTCGTCCGCGAGAATCGTTATTTTGGACACCCAAATGCGTTTTTGCAAACCCTTTCACCTTTATAAAATTAAGATGTTACCCACGACGTCGCGTACCTCCCCGATAAACGAAATAAAAAGATTTTTTCAATTCGAACCCGTAGTTTCTGAGATTAGTGCGTTCAAACAAACAAACAAACTCCTCAGCTTTATATATTAGTATATTCTTTCGGTTTCCCCAATCAACATCTATACTAATATATAAAGCTGAAGAGTTTATTTGTTTGTTTGAACGCGCTAATCTCAAGAACTACAGGTTTGAATTCTTTTCGTTTTCATTAGAGCATTTATCGAGGAAGTCTATAGGCTATAACATCGCGCTGTGACTTATAGAAGCGAAGATACAGCGGTAAATGTGAACAAAACGGGGGAAATTTTTTCATCTCTGTACGTTACTGATAGCGTTACGTACGTTAAGCTGCGAAAACGGTTCGAGACACCCAAAAAACATGTGTGTAAGGACGATCCCCTTAAAATGATCTAAAGAAATGTCCGCTACAATATATGTCCTATCTTTTAAGATTAACTTGCAAGAACGACGGGTTGCGAGCACCGGGATGCGACCGCTTTCATGGACAGCTTAAATTTATAAAGATCTAGGGATTTGCAAAAACAAATTTGGATGCTCAAAACAACTAGTCACCGCGAACGAAATCGCTGGCACACTAGTATTTATAATGCGCAAAAAATGCAAGTTAATATCTGTTAAAAAAAGTATAACGACACTTTATTTTAATTTGCTGCTCAAGGAGATTTTAAGCTCAACAAATACCTGCACAGGTGTACAACATGTGTAGACGCAGTTCTGGTGTACAACTTGCAGGTTCTTCATTAAATTGACAGGACCGTAAGCCCAACCGATCTTCCATCCGGTAACTGAGAACGTCTTGCCGGCTGAACCGATCGTGATTGTCCTCTCCCACATATCTGGCAGTGTCGCTGAGAACGTCAAAAAATATACATTTTTGTCATTTCGATAACTGCGTAGTAGGGTTAGACGTGTTGCTTAGTTAAGTGTGAGGGTTAAGTATTTTCCTTTCCTCTAAGACACTACAGATACAAATCTTCTTTATCACAAATAGAAAATGAATAAAAACCGAAAAATTCCTGGAAATAAAGGATAAATAAACTGAGGCTTTATAGCTAAATAACTATCTCTCCCAATTGAGGAATAATTCGGTTCAAATGTGATAAAGAGAAAGAGATTGAGAATGAGATAATTATGGGCTTTTAAAAAGAAATTAATTTCTATACAAATACATCTCGGCCAACAGTATCTCACCTATCCGTATATGCTTATTAGGTTCGTACACCATCCACTCATACACTTCATCGGACAGACAGAGCACGTTATGTTTCTTGCAGAGATTGGCTATCAGCTCCAACTCCTGACGGTTGAAAACCTTGCCCAGAGGGTTGTGCGGCGTATTGAGGATCAGCATCTTGGTTTTGCTGTTAAAGAGCGAAGTCAGTTCTTTCTCATCTAGAACCCAACTATTTGAGGTTTGAACGCCTTCTGTAGCTTTCTGAAAAATAGTTTTAATTTGAGGGTTTCGCATGTGTCATTGTTTTTATTTTATTATTTATTTAATGTACAAAAATAGTAAACTGTGCTGATATACTAAAATCAATAATACCACTTTCCAGCGCCTCTATGGCTCAATAATTAAACACATTGCCTAGCATTGCTTTAACCGCGGCAGATTCTGCGTTCGAATCCCAATAAAACAGTAAAAAAAAAGTGATCAGTGAAACAGACAAATTGGTCCTTCAAGCCGACCTATACCAATCTATTCTAGTATTTTCGAACCTTTTTAGAGTTTGTATTCATTAAAAAAAACACCATGAATATACGGCACGATGAATAGACTCACAGGTTTTAAGGGGATAAATCTTGGCGTCCCACCAGCAGATCTGATCATAAAATCGTAACAGTCGAAGAACGGTTCAATCACTATAACTTCATCGCCTGTATCGACATGCCCTGAAGTGACAAAACGTCATTACAACTTATATAATTACGTCACATATAAACTGCATACATGTTTAAGATATATATTATCATCAAGTTGTCAATTAATGATTTCATAATATATGAAGTTAGCAATACTGAAGTTACGTAACTTCAACTCGGTAAGTCGTAGGTGCATTGGTGGCAATGTATGGCTAATAATGAGTGAGTTTAGTTACCGACCCGACCCGACCAACATGTTAAAATAAAAATCTATTTATAATTTATCTGAATAACGTTTAGACTTCGTCTAGAACATTTAGATTAAAGGCCATCCCGGTCACGAACCACCATCTACAGATGGAAAAGCATTTTGGTTACATACAGTCTATGGAATATTGAATATTCAAAGATACAGCCTATCTTGTTCGGATGCAGTATACTTACCCAGAATAGCGGAAAATAAGGCTTCATATGCCCCATTTGTGACCAATATTTCGTTCATTGGATCCAACTGACGGTTAATTAGAGGTGAATAGACCTTTGATAAATTCTGAACTAGTCTTGGATGGCCCTGAAATGAAATTAACCAATGTATAAAGATGAAAAAGTAAATACAACACACAAACAGCTGACCATAAATGTGATTGTGTGAGTATGGAAAGAATTTTTTTTTTATTTAAGTCGACATGGGAACATACATAAAATGATTGACTCAAACAAAACATAATTAATGTGGGAATGGAAATGATCTGATCTAAGAATAAAGTGATCAAATAAAAGCACATAGAACAAAAGAAAAAACAGATCATTAACATACTTCAGTAATTTAAAATAAAGACAAGTATGTATTCAGTGTTGCTTTATAATTGTATGTTATCTTTACAAATGTCAGATGAATTATGGAATATATATGATAGCTTAACTATTGTGAGTCTGGGAAGTTTACAGAGATAAGATTGTTATCTAGGAAAATAAAATTTTAAGTATGTGTAAAGAACGACCTAAACTGTTTGAATAGTTTAAACTTTATATGATATGAATTTACAAAAAATAATTTTTTGTAAATTCAACTTGAACTTGTTTTGACAGACACAGTGAGAGTCGGATAGCCCAATGATCACCGCAAAGGGAATGGAGGAATTAGTGAAGTGATAAGCAAATGGGGTGGATTGATCATCTGGCCTTCTATCAGTGTCCCCAAGAGATAATAATAGTAATAAGTAATATACAAACACTTACTTACTAGTCTAATTAATTTCAAAATCAAAACTAAATTAAAACAATTTTCGACTTGGGCAGGACTTGAACCGGCATCGTTAGCATTCCATGTTGTTTCTCTAACCAATTCAGCTACCGAGTCCTACACCTCATCGCCGAATTTTTCAACTTATTGATACAAGCACCTCTCGCGCAGTGTATATTTAACCTAGTCTAATTATACTTTACACTTTAATTAATAATTTGTTCTTTCTCTTTTTATAAAATGATAATGAACAGATTTTTCTATTTAGTTTAATAAATCTATATACTTACATAGCCTCTTGTATATTGATTTAAAAGAAAATTTTCCCCAGTAGCTATCTCACTCAGGGCTTTAGTAACATGTTCGGGAGGGGGGTAGTCTGGAAAGCCCTGTCCAAGGTTCACGGCAGGTTTATGTTTAGCTACAAATTCTATGTATTGTACCCTGCAAAGAAATTGTGGGAAAAAATAATATGTTGAATGAAGAAATTATCCTAATGTCATACTATTGACAACCTTAAATTCATATTTTCTCATTTGAGAAGTTTTAAATTGTTACATGTTAAATTTATTCACAAGGCTTTTCATTTAAATTATACAATTATGTAATACAATATTATAGTGGCATGTAATATATTTTCAGTACAATCACCATTTAAATGAGCTGAGATAATTAGGTTTTTGCCACTTTTTCTACCGTACAGTACCTACAGAGATATTTTGATCAATTTATATACCTAAATATACAACAAAATTGCTAACTATTAAACTATTTGTTTAAACTTAACATAACCACACCTTTTATAAAGATTCACAATAGGAACAATTAGAATTAATTTAATATTTCTAATCATTAAACAATTTTATTTAGCTCATAAAAAAATGATTACAAAATACTCATTTTTGTCCTGCATCTCATAAGAGACACAATAGATAACAAAGTCAAAGGCCAAATTAAGAGAGAGAAATATATTTGAACTACTTTTCTTATTAGATATGGTTGTCTTATTAGGTAGGGTATGGTATCATTATTTGAATAACATATCTGAACAGAATTGTATCCTAAGTAGGTATGTTAATAAAAACAGTACCACAGGGCCACATTCATTTGTGGAAATAATAATGTCGGCTTAGCACTAATATGCAATGTTGCTAATAGAATAACCAATGACAATAATCAAAGTTATATTAACTATCAAAGTATACTGTAATGGACTGGCACAACAAGAGTCTGCAGATAATATTATCTTGAAATGGGAGAAAGTATTGGCATAAATCAATAATTTGAGGTTGTTCCAAGATGCTTGATAGGTTTCTAGTAGGAGCTGGCCTGGATTCAATAGCTAGCAATTCTTTTTTCCACGTAAAATGGGGCTAATAACCAATTATCAAAAATTAACCAAATCGTGCGGACATTGGTGCGGATAAAGTAACAGAAAATAATATTAAAGAATTAAAGATGGAACAAATAATAGGATTCTGTAATCAAACCGGAAGGTTTAAAGAGGGCACAGTGAGAGTTGGATAATAAAAAGTCTTCTGCAAAGAGGATATGGGAGAAATAGTCAGCTGATGATGTGGACTGATCACCCGGTCTTCTATAGGTATGCCCGATAAGAAAATAATAATTCTTTTTTACTAGAGGTTATTTATTTTGAAACAGAATTATACTTAGGGAACCTAGGTGTAAAATAAGGTTGAAGTAATAGGTGAATTGCTTTTATTATTATAATGTAAAGTAAATGATTAGGGGTTTTTTCTTACCAAATACTTGCTTCTCCCGCTCCATATCGGGCCGGTAATTTAAATTTGTCACTCATTTTCACTGTATGTGATATCTGCCTTCGCAACAATTTAGATCCGTCACAAACGGCTTTCGAATTACTTATAGCGGTCACCACTAGCTTCAACCTAAACATGATTAAATTATCAGATCATATATCACTACTCAACAATGCCTTATCAGACTGTAAACATAACCTATGTAGATTTATTTTTTAGAGCGTTTCAACTGTTGCGCAACGCAGAAAGGAATATTGACTTACATAAATTTTTACAATGATAACATTAATTAGTATTATAATTATTGCTTATTGACGTAGAAGGTTAAAAACATATAAATGTAGTCTTTGGTTTTGCGTTTGGCAATAATAGTAAACAAATATTGCTTTGACCAAATCCAGAGATAGTGTATAGATAAAAAAAAAATTTCGCTACAAAGTATAATTTTATTATTTAAGAAAAGAAACATAACGTAACGAAAAGAGGAATAGGCTATTTTAATTTAAATAAGTGATAATAGTTACTTGGCGATTTTTTTTTAAATTCAATAAAACAAAATATATTTTATAATTTAATGATACTTGAATTGTGATGACTGATAAATAGTCATATGTAGTTTTTATTATGTCATAAGTCAATGTCAGTCCTTAGCAAGTCCTTAGAAATGATTATCTATTTCAATTTTCAAGTCCATGTATGTGTCAATTATGTATGTTATAATTTCTTAACACTAAATAGTTTATTCAATATAATTAATTATAAACGATATTTAACCACCATTAGGTATATTTTACTTGTCATTACATATATAGGATAGCAGTGCATATATAGGTGTGCAATCCAATATATGTAGGTATTGACCAGTAAAATATATTAAAAGATATAAAAAAATAATAATTTCATGATGATGAGACAAGTTCTGTTATTGATAACTTATTTGAACTACCACATCAAACTATATAATTCGTACGTTTATTGTTTGTTTGACAGCAACGACAAGCGGGACGTTGTGGGTTCGTATCCTGCCCTTGTCATTAACTACATATTTCTTTTATATTAAATAAAATATTTAAGTTTAGTAATACCCCGATTTACGCTACCCCGTTTTACGCGAATTAGAAGATACGCGGTTTTTCATTTTGATTGCCGCGCACATCGGCTCTCTCGCTCCGCCCACTCAGTGTTTCATTTGCGACGGGTTTAAACGTGTTCCGCGTGAAATTGTTTTAAGTGCACAGTGTGTTTTACTTATAATTTCTGATTATGGCGTCTAAAAGAACGAAAACTGAGTCATTTGAGCCTAACAAGAAAAGAAAAACACTGTCTTTGGAGTGTATACTAAACATAACTAGACCCAGTTGAATCGGTAAATCAAATGACAATTGCAAACTTAACAGAAGGGCTCTATTAAATTGAAAAGGGGTTACAAATTTTAGAAAAAAATTGATTCTAATGAAGAACGCATTTCTAGTACAGAACCAAGGATAAAAAATTACTGGTATGCTACGAGGAAATTTTACGTGAAAAGAAGAAAAATGTAACTCGTCAGGCAACATTGTTAGAATATATGAAGCCTTCGACATCAAACAATGTAATATTTTTTTATTATCCTACATTTTATTTAACATTTTTCTTCTAAATTATTGTTTTATTATTAAACAAACGTTATATGCATTGATGAACCCCGACTTACGCGAATTCGACTTACACGGTAACCGCTCGGACCCACCCATTGCGTAAGTCCGGGGTATTACTGTATTTCACATAATATGGGTTTCTGAAAACCAGCAAACATGGATCTTTTATCATTACTATAGTGAAGTTTAGAAGACTGTTACAAACATTGTTACTGTAGACAGATTTTATTTATTTATTTTATTGTAGTATTGAAGTAGTTTTTATATTCTGTTAGACAATATTATTATTATCATTAAATCTAGGAAATGGTGGGTACGGTATGTACGTAATATTGTTTTTTTTAAACACGACAAAACTAAGTCACTAACTTTTTTAACTGCTTATATATAAGAACACAGCGCGCAAAAGTTTGCGACGCTTTGTCTATCTTTTAAGAATAACTTGCAAGAACGACGGGAAGGGACGCGACCGACGTCGTGCGTAACAGCTTAAGTTTATAAATAACGATTCGCGTAGACGAAGTCGCTGACACAGCTAGTAAATTATATGGGTGGTTGGAGTATCGAAATTCCGCTCGGGTCGACCAGTCATCGTTCACGTATCGTAATCGTAATCGTAAAATTGCTTTTTTATACTCTTTGTATCGGGATAAAAATAGAGAATACAAAATAAAACTAACGAGCTCATTTATAAGTGTATATTGTGTACTTGCTAACTCGAAGTGAATAAAAATTGAGACCACCAGAGGCCAAACTGCAATTTTATGACATGAGTTATTTATATTTTCAAAGTCTACAAATTTTAATCTACAAACGCACAGTGACCGAAAATTGTAAACAATTTTAAAATTAACTAATACATTTTCGCCTAAGTTAATTGCGCATTTTTATTTTCCTCTTTATTGAAAATCATGTTTTTTGTTATTAGGCCACTTTGCCTTTAGCAGCCTCAATTTAAATTCTTGTATGAATAAGTGTACATATATTTTTCAATTTACAGCTGAAGAATTTCTTATACGGAAGACGTTTTGTTCTTTATCCAATCTTGAAAGTATGCAACACTTGCATATACGTCGCCGAAGTTATGAGCACATGGTACTCCGTAGGAAACGATACCCACTTGTACCTTGCCATCACTCAGTACCAAAGGTCCTCCGGAATCGCCCTGAAAATGTTTTATTTAAAAATATATAGCTCCCTCTTTCGTACGGTAGACAAGTTTTTATGGTGTAGGATTTTAGCAGCCCTACGCTTTCTTAAACAAGTTGGTTACATTACGGCTGAATACCGACTACTTATGTTATGTATTTTGTTACTGGCACTCGATATTCGATACAATAAAAAGTAAACGAGTAATCAAATATAAATATCTATATCTATCTGTAGTTTACGCGAGTGTTACACTTTTAATAATAATAACTAATATATATCGCGTTTTAAACCGTTAAAGTGTTTTATTTAAATATACCTATCTGATTTATTTAATTCAACAAAAGGGAAATTAATTATTTTTATCATTTGATCCGCCTACTAGCTTTCCTTCCGATGCCATCACGAGAAATATTTAATTCGCATTTGCACACGGCACTTTTTCGAACAGAAAATGATATGTATATCTGTTTGAATTTAACCTAAAACCTGACCGAATAGTTTTGCGAAATATTCGGTATACTGTCCAATATACAATTCGTTGCACGCCTATTAACATCTACTGACGGGTTTAAGTAGCAATGCATGGCTAATAATGGTCGTAGATTCGACCTAGATGCGATTACACCTAGGCCAACATTTTTAACAATTTTTTTGAGGCGGCACTTTCGTCCAATTTTGATTAGATCATCGGAAATCCACGGGCTGAAAAACGCGATCAAACTTTACAACACACGTTACACCTTGGACGGAATTCCAATCCAGATTTTCTATGAAAAAAAAAAATGCAAATTCGACCCGTGTGGAAATCGAACCGAACGGATAGGTAATCGTTGTTTCTGTACAAATCTCCTTTTAGCATAGCATCTACCTTCCTAAAGATCGAAAATAAATTGAAAAAAATTTCGACTCGGGCAGGACTTAAACCGGCATCGTCAGCGTTTCGTGCTATTGCTCTGGAACGCTGACGTTCAAGACCTGCCCGAGTAGAAATTTTTTTCAATTTATTTTCGATTTTTATATTATATTGTGGCATCATGTGCAACAACATGTGAAACATATTAATGTTTTCAAATCTTCCTTCCTTACAATTTTACAACTAATCTACGGAAAGAGTAATCAGGTGTTTGTAGGGCTAACATATTTCAAGTCGATTTTTTCACCTGCCTAGAGTTTTCAATTGCTCTATACGCCTAACCGTCATGGCGGAAATCCATAACTTAAACATAAGCGACAGCTCTGGGCCAAAATACATAGTATTCAATATAAAAACAGCTATTTAACTTACTAGACATCCACCTTCATCCTTCTTAGCTAATGCGCAGACTTGCGTCTCGTCGACCTTCTGATAGCCGCTTATCTGAGTATAGTTTCTATTACATTCATCTTGTGTTAACACTGTCATTTCTAACATCTGAAGTTGGTCTGGTGTTGTACGTCTATACTGAAAAAATCCAACATTTTTTAAAAGACGAACACTAATAAAAAAATCTCACTGCCTCCAGCTCAGTGCTTCCATTTTTATGGCACTTTACTATATATAATATAATATCCTATATAGTTTTACTTGTTTGTATATAAATTAAGTAACATCCTTCGTGTTATATTTTGATTTATTTCGCTAAACTTCGTGCCGCCTTGCAGTCGAATAATTTTTCTTTTCGTTTTAATAAATATTTAAAATTACAATTTCCCAGTTTTCGCAATGATACCTATTTATTGCTTAAATTTAAGTTTTATTTTTGATAATATGCATACATTATTGATTAACTAAAACTAATAAAATTGCCTCCCAAAAAACCTTCCACTAACATTTGAACGTTAAGAAAAAGTTTTGATTAGAAAAGTGTTGTTTTTAGTACTATAAAGATTTTTTTTTAATTCTCAAGATACAGCACAACTACAGCACAAATCATGTCATCACAGTGGTGTTTTAAACTGTATTGAAACTTAGACTCACATAATTTGTGTATCCCCACCCTGTCAGTACAACTTTATCACCACCCTTAGGGTCTTTTTCAGCTAACGTTGTAGTTTTTACTTTATCGCCATAAGTGAATTTTTTGTCAATTTTACAAACAGCTACGTCGTTGGCGAGCGTTTTTCTGTCATATTTTTCATGTTCAATGCATTGCTTCACATTGTACTTATCTCCTCCAGATGAAAGAGAATTCGTTCCCACAACCGCTATTATATCAGTGGCATCGTATCTAAAATAAACATACTAATTTTATTAAGTTGGAAATATTATCTGTTTCTTTCTTTGAACAATCGGATAAAACGTTCATTATAAATCTTTGTGGAAATGACTAGTATGAAAATTTTATTCCATTTTTCAGCTACGTTCAGCTGGTGTTTAGTTATGTATCTTCCAAATGCATAACAAGCAAAGGTTGTGAAATTATTCTAACCTTTTCAAGAATTAGATTGAAATAAAACATTAACGTTTAAAACCGATATTAGTTAAACTTATTTAAAAATTTTTTTACACAGAACATCCTCCATTTTATCTCCCCACCACGTCTGCAAAGCACCGAAGTCGGGTGAAGTTAAATATATTTTTAAATAATTTAACAAATATTTAACCGGTTTTTATTAAGATGTACTACTCGCGAAGTATTGTTGGTTTAAGATTTCAAAAACCCTGACTACAATAAAACGTTAAAATAGACAAACGAAAAAGCAAAGAGTTTTCATTACTTCACAGTACAGTGAGCAGCTGTAAGGATCCAGTGGTCATTATAAATTGAACCTCCACAGAAATGATATGGTTCATTCTTGTACTTCTTGCGCAGCGAGACCTGGTATGGAGCGAACCCATCCGGTGCTTTCTTTCCACGCACTATACGCGTCCCCACATCTTCGAAGGGCCAGGAGCCGCTTTCGTTTGACTCGTCATACGAATCCGATATCTCGGATGAACTTAGGGCGTCGTCTGCGTATAAATAGTTTTAAAGATTTATTTTATGGGTAATCCGGTTAAGAAGGTAAAAAAATATAGTTTAGTTCCGGGTCGAGCCACATCTATCCAAGCATGCGCAGACTAGCATGGAGTTGTTGGAAGGTACACAGCCCTGACATATACAGTTAAACGAGATGACCTGTCAACATATTCAATTTAATTCGGCTAATAACTTAACTACTCTGTGGGCTGGGATTGTGACCCGGACGGAATTCGTTATCCAGGTGACGTGCACATGTTTGATTAGAAACATGACGATTATTTCAATGTTTTGCCCGTCAATAATATATTTACATACTTTAATCAGTGGTTTTGATCCGAAGTTCGAACTAAGCCACGGCCACAGAAACCTAAACTAAAAATAATAGACAGGCACACTGAACGAAAAGAGGTTTTTTTCGATTTTCATATTCAAAATGGCGTTTGCGCCAATTTTCGTTATTTCGTTTCGTTCAGATCGATCGGCGGTATGCGCTTTTCGGAAGTACACCCAAAAATAATAAGTAACTCTTGATAGAGTCCATTTAGAATGAAAAGCCATCAAATTGAGAAGAAGAATAAATAACTCACCACATATGACAACTCCTACTATTAATAATATTAAATATGGAGTAATCATTTTGAAAGTCGTCTATTTTGCTGCCGTTTATTTTTAGGAATGACAAGAATCAATTTATATGTAATTTTTATACGGTAAATAAGTAAAGTTGTGCAAATAGTTAATTCACTAGTATTTTTTGATACCTCACGTAATACAGGGTGTAATCTTAAAATTGATTAGGTTCGTATAATTTTTTCATTACTGGGAATGATTAGATTTTATTTGCAGCATTGTTAGTGATCATTTAAAACTATTTTTTTACTATGCTTTTTAACATTCTAACAGGAAACCGACTAGCTGACCTGGCAAACGTTCTTTTGCCATATGAAGTATTTCGACAAAATGTAATTACTACAAATACGGTTCTAGTGAGTTAATCTTAAAGACATACTTTGCTACTTGTTGTTTTTTATTTTTTTTTAAGGAAGATTATTGTTTTCATTCATTTACCTTTTTGATATCTTGTACCGTTGTTGCAGCGCATTTCTGGTAACCCTCAAAGGTGATATATAATTTTTTCCCATTTTGTCTCATTCACTTCGCTCCTGTACTCTCTTACTGGTCTTTTATCTTGCTCGATAAATGGTCCAACCGACACAAAAGAATATTTTTCAATGAGAGCGAGTGGTTTCTGAGATTAGCGTGTTTATAGAAACAAAAATAAATAATTGCGTAAGAGATCGCTTTTATTAGAGAGGTAATATAGAGAACTTTTAATTAAATATATATAAAAAACCTGCTCTAGAGCACTAAACATCTAAACATGAATATTAAATAGGTATGAAATGTATGAAATGTATGTCTTCGTTGTTTAATCAGGTTGTGCGCAGATGAGCAAATAGGGAGGTTTACCTTCATACCTTACAGCGTCCTTTTTTTGGTTATAGCCTTACACTGCTATAATATAATCCTAGATTATTACTAAAGAATCAGTCTTGCTCTATCTTCCGAAGCTTAGTCGACATTAAAACTTAGCTAGCTAAACATCCTCTGTAACTAAATGGTTAAACGTGTTTTGTTGCTTTGCGTTAAGCGCAACCCAACTTGAATAAGGAAATTATATTAATTAACAAAATTTAGATTTTTTCGGTCTTCCCTCCCTCCGTCTTACGTGTTTTCGAACTGCATTAAAGTGGTTAAGGAAATGGTGTAATAATAAATATTTATGTCAATCAATTTTTTTTTTCAATACTTGCTGACTCCTTCCAGCTGATATAAGTTGTGTCCCAAAAGGCCCAGTGGCCGAGACGATAGAGGACGTGATCTGTGGGATCAGCCGTTAACATCTGTACAGTCTTCACTAGCTGTGAATAAGCTTTAATTAGATACTGTTCTAGTATCCCAGACGGCGAATCATGTAATGTGCGTGTGTTAGATTTTTATTTATTACATTATGTGTAAATATAGGCATTATAGATATTGGACTTTATGAGATTTTAAGTATATTCTGTAAATAAAAGAAAGATATAGTGTCAAAAGCTATTCTATTTCGTTAAACAAGATATATTTCAGCAACGTATTCCCCATATTAACAGCAATACTTTTATTGTATACAAACGTCTAGGAATTTAACAAATAATTGTACCCCAATTATATATACATTTTATAGATATTTATCTATATATTACACAAGGTTACGATACTTAATTGACATATATTGATGCCATTTCAATATAATAAAAAAATATGTATATCATAACCTATTTATTACAATATAATAATGTACATCATACTTGGTATAACAACGTCCAACGTTCCAAAATACGTTAAGCAAAAGACTATTCTTCGCCGTACGTTTTCTCAAAAGCAACTGCCCTACCCGCCGTGCCGTGTGTTTGTCCTGGTCGCGATGCTAATCGCAACCTCCTTGATCAGCCATTTGGGCTCTGCAAGGGAAGATCAATCGCCTCTTGCCGATACAAGGCGGTCCCTGGAGTCGTTTATCGTGGAGTTGAACGCCCCCGCATCTCGCGGCAAGCCAGCGGATATGGATGCGGGATCGGCGTTCGTGGTTGTATGGGAGTTGGTCGCCGGCGGGATCTGGTCACGCGCACCGGCGTCCGGGGGTGCACCGCGGGTAAAACGCGGTTGCAGGCGATCGGGGACACGGGGGGCCCCCCCTTCCCCCCCCCCCCCCCAAACCGCGGGGGGGGGGGGGGGGGGGGGGGGGGGGGGGGGGGGGGGGGGGGGGGGGGGGGGGGGGGGGGGGGGGGGCCGGGGGGGGCCCGGGGGGGGGGGGGGTCCACCGGGCGCAGCCACCCGCTCTACAGCGCACCCCCTTTTATAACAATGCACAAACAACCGAACATGTGTTAGACGGACGAATATTACGAACATTATTTTAAACATTTTGTGAACTACCTATATTATATATCAGTATATATATATATATATATATATATATATATATATATATTGTATATCAAATAATCTGTTACGTGCCATAAAACGTGCTTACAAATTATTTTAATAAAAGCAGTTTGTAAATATAATTTTATTTCATAAGTAGTAGCTTGTTGAAAACTCAATACCAGTTGGTTTTTAGTTACGAGTGTGTCAATTTATCAGTATAAACCTAAAATAAAAAAGGATGTTTATGTTTGTTATACTTGAATCAGTTATCCGTAAAAATGTATTATTTGAAAAGTCATATCTACATTTACAATCCAAATATCGTCATCGAAAGGAAAGAATCAGCGAAGAGATCTCTCTCTATGTGAATTCGTTTTTAAACTTTGTTTTCAATTGTCAACTAATTCGTGACATACTTTAATGAATTTATAGAAAATTAAAGTATTATATATTTGACAATTTGTGAAAACGGTTCAAGATACCTAAAAATTGTGTATGAAAGAATGATTCCCCTTTAAATAATCTAAAAAAAAGTCCGCGACGCTATATGTCTATTTTTTAAGATTAACTTGCTGAACGACGGGACGCGTACGACGGGATACGATAATCATGGGTAACAGCTATCAACACTAATATTATAAAGAGGAAAGATTTGTATTTTTGTATGTAACGGATAAACTCAAAAAGTACTGGACCGATTTTAATAATTCTATTTTCATTAGAAAGATACATTATCACTGAGTAAAATAGACTATACTTAGTACTAGATTACTATAGAAATCTTTAGAAAATGTCTATTAAAAGCAACCGGAGGTGTAAAAAAATTAGCCATAAAATGTCTTTCATCGCATACGCTGCGAGGAGTATTAATGATAGGACAAAAAAATGTTCGACAATATTATAGAATACATCAATATCCTACAAAAAACTATACTTTTTTACACTTAACAAATTGATATAAATGCCGAACAAAATCAGACCGTGTTATCCATACCATTTGTACATTTTTATTTAAATAAATATTTAATATATTTTTCTTATTCAAGACGTTCTCAATACCTGCTGATTACTTTACTTTAATTATTGATTTAAAATAAATATCCTTCATAGCAATATACTTGGAAGAAGAAGGCAGCTATCTAAGAATATTATCCAAACGAGATTAGCAAAAGTTTGTCGTATTGTAGAGTCTTCTTCTTCCGAAAATGATTGTCTGGAAAGAATTAGAGTGTACGCGTCCCAAGCGCGAGCCAGAGAATCTAGCGTCGAACGTTCAGTTCGTCTTGCAGAACAAAATACAAGATCGTCGCAGCTATACGAACGACGGTCAAGCGCCGGGCGCTAGCAGCGACTTGAAGGAAATAAGGAAAAGGTGCTAGGAATTCGCGAACACCTGCACGGGACACAGTGAGACAGACAACGGTCGTTAACAGCTAGGTCGCGCAATACATTTTTTTTTTCTAATTCAGTGATTCGTGGTCGTTTTAATTATCATGCTTATAATTTAAATATCTGTATACCTATATACCGTGCACCCGTGCGAAGACGGGCCGCTGGTACTAATATATAAAGCTGAAGAGTTTGTTTGTTTGTATGTTAGAACGAGTTAATCTCCGGAACTACTGGTTCGAATTGAACAATTATTTTTTGTTGGTTAGAGCATTTATTGAGGAAGGAATAAAACATTGACTGTGACTAATAGGAGCGAAGAAACAGCGGAGAATGTGAAAAAAAAACGAGGGTAATTATTAATCTGTGTACTTTTCCGATACGCTGCGTAAACGGTTCAAGTTACCCAAAAATACATAAAAGAATGATTCCTCTTTAAATGATCTAAAAAAAAGTTCGCGACAATATATGTCTATCTTTTCAGATTAACTAGCACGAATAACAGCACGCGATGAAGAGGTTTCCAAAAAAAAAAATTAATGCCCTAAACATTTATTCTACGCGGACGAAGTCGATGACACAGCTATTACTTCATATGGCTAAAAAAGTTTGCCCAGTCAGCTGGCACCAAATAAAACTAAGAAACTTCATATTATATTTTTAATTCACATAGTGTAAATAGACTTTTGTAAAACGAAATTTAGTGAATAATTGACGACGAAGGCGACGACTTTATTTCCATATTTTCGACCTTGATTGAAGAACTGGAAGTGAATGTTAATTTAGTCTTTGTTTCGAAGGATGTCAGGCTTATCACATCAATTTTAACTGCATATTACACTCATTGTAATAAAATTATTACCAAAAAAAGGTTCGTTCTAGCATGTTTAGCAACTTTGTTTTTCGATAGTTAAAAAAAGAGATCTAGCGCCAAAACTCGGCTGATTGTGATGACATTTTGCAAATATCCTCGAAAGAAATATGATAAGTTTGATGGTACCCTGTATATTTCACGTTGGTGAACAGTTAAATTATTTTTTATAATTTGAATTTGGAATCCAAAGATTCCAAAGTTGGTCCTATGACGTATTTTTCTCTATCCAATCTCTAAAGTGAGCCACACTGATATAAACGTCACCGTAGCCACGTGCACACGGCACCCCGTAGGACACGATCCCCACTTGTTCCTTGGTACCTTCACGCAATACCAAGGGGCCTCCAGAGTCACCCTGAGACATAAAAATACAATAATTAAAACGACACTTTGACTTTTATATTCGGTGAAAAAATAATGCCCTATGGAATCTAGGAACATACTTGAATTATAAAGAAAAGTCCAATAACCCGTTTTTTTCGGGCATGGGGCTTAAACCACTTTACACTAAAGATCTACTTTACTTTAGAAGATGCAGTTCCTATATATAGTTTCGTATCGCTTACGTGAGAATGAGACAGACACAAATTTGTATCCGAGATGTTAGCTAAGCTGCGCCGGGTGGGTTATTATTGTCTTACTTCAAGCGTATCATGTATCAACTAAGTATTCATTATTATTATAACAAAATTTGGTAAATTTATTCTTTGAGCTCATATTATAAAATATATTACTCTGCTGCATTAGAATTGAGATAGCGGGAGATTTCTGGGTCAGTTTCATTGTTCTTTTTTTATTTTTACTTTTATTTTATTTTAGTGTCATTATATCCTAAGATACGAACCCGGTAGCACTATGTCTTGCTATAAATAACTTACGTAACATCCACCCTTATTCTGTCCAGCGAAAGCGCAGATTCTCGTGTCGTCGATCGTGGGGAAGCTTTTCGTTTTAGTATAATTACTGCGGCATTCGTTTTGTGTTAAAGCTGTCATATCTAACATTTGCAGTTTATCAGGTGTTGTTTCTTTGTGCTGAAAAAATGTATAATGATTATTAACGGAAGTTCCGTCTTTTTAAGTCAGTATCGAACCGTCACAGTTTCAGGGCACTGATAGAGTTATAGTGTTATTTTGCTCTATAAGGGACTAGCTTTGTCAGCGACTTGGTCCGCGTAGAATTTTAAGGCATCTCAAATTGTTTTGCAAACCTCCTCTTCATCTTTATAAATGTTAAATATCACTCACGACGTCGGCTGCGGCACGCCGTACTTGCAAGTTAGCATTTAATCGCGTTTCGATTTCAATCTGTGCATATACGAATATCCAAAGCCAAAATAGATCAACAGCGGGTCTTGTTGAGGTGTTTTATGGCTGGGGTAATTCAATTCAAAATAAGTTAAGTTAAGTTAAACAATAAATCAAGTGAATCTTATACTTGCCTGTCCGCGTCGATAAAAAAAAGGTCTAAGGAAACTCTACTCACATAATTAGTGTATCCCCAACCTGTCAGTAGTAGTTTATCGCCACCCTTAGGATTTTTTTCAGCCAACATGGTATTATTAACTTTAGCGCCATACTTGAATTTCTTATCAAGTTTACAAACAGCTATATCATTTGCAAGATTACGTTTGTCGTACTTATTATGTTCAATGCATGATTTCAGATTATACTTATCCCCTCCACGACTGAGGGAATTTGTCCCAGCAACAACTATAATTTCGGTGGCTTTGTATCTAAAACAAACAAAGGAAATATATACAATTTGAATTTATATATTTTTTCGATTATCTGCAATTTGATTAACACAATGAACTAATTAAATCGTGATTTATTATTATATATTTTCTTTAATATATACATACATATACAAATAAAAGAATTGAAAACTTCAATATTTTACAAATGATATATAAATATAAATTAAAAATCTATTTGGATTGAAAGAAATTTGACTTACGACATTAAACCTCAATGGGTAAGTTATATGGTTGAAATTACACTGCGCAAGAGGTGTATCATGTATCAATGGGTGGAAGTAATTCGACTATGACGTGTTGGACGCGATAGCTCAGTTGATTAGAGTAACAGCACGGAACGCTGTAGTTGTCAGTTATATCCCGCTTGTGTCATTTCTTTTTAATCCAAATATATTTTTAATTCAAATATAAGATGCTAAGACTCACTCCCTGAGGTACTTATCGCTTATAAAATGTAATTTAAGAATAACCTATAAGTGAAAAGAAATTTTTAAAATCTCTCAATTTCATTTTGATGACACAACGAAGAATATAAATATAAACACTGGCAGAACTATTCCAAATGGAAAAGCCATTAAATAAAAGCGGACTCAAACAAACAAAACGCCAAATATAATAGTTAACTTATTCGCAATTCATTATAACTAAAGCTCGCTCGTTCCGGATGCCGAACGAGCGAAAAGGGGGGGTGGTTTCGTCTTTTATAAGACTCCTGCGTCTTATAAAAGACAAATATTAAACTATGTAAATATCTACATTAATAGTACAGCAATTTGTTTTTGTTCCAAAACCTTTACACAGGTTTTCATAATGTAGGGTGTAGAATTATAATGTTTTTTTATTTGATTACTTATTGTTAATCAAAAAACCAAATTACATAAAACATAACCTAAATTAATCGTACCGGAATGTTTGCTCTAAAAATTAAGTAAAGTTGAAATGTAGAGAAGGGAAAAATATTAAATGTTATGTGTACATGCGTGGTTAACTGCACTGACGAACCTTAAACATTAAGACTTAATCAAATTGAACGAGTGTTTTAATAAAAAATTATATATGGTTGGAGTACTCTGTGTTCATATTGGAGAGTAGGCTATGTATCTATAACACGCCCTATGCCAAAGGTATGTGAATGTTTGTCTCTTTAATTGTTTATTCAGGTTGTACGTAGCTACGCAAGGACAAGTATTTTGCGTGTTTAACTACGAAGAAAACGTATTTATAATATATAAAGCTGAAATTATTTTTGAGGATATATATCGCCCATTGCTCTCCATTCTAGTATATAGGTTTAACTTGTAATATTTTTATTTTTTGTGCAATAAAGAATATATATAAGAGCGAAGAAACAGCGGGAAATGTGGACAAAAACGGTGGAAATTATTTCTGTAGATGCGTACGCTGCGAAAACGGTTGAAGACATCCAAAAATATGTATGGCAGAACGATCTTAAATGATCTAACACTTAAACGTGGTTTAAACCATGGTTTTTTTAAATACTTGTTACAAAATGAACTTTAGCATTTGTACTGCACGAACTGTAGTACTGATTTTAAACGGTAATAATTAATTGTAAACTCTCTGGTTTAATTCTTTAGACATGTCAAAAATTTCAAATTTTAAGTTATTCATTTGAATTTGCTAATGTTCTTGTGAATGTTTTCTTATTAAAAATGCAGTCGGATTTGGTTAGTTTGATGGACGTGGAAGATGTTGAAGGTATTCAATTATTGGAGATGTTAGAAATGTCTCATTGACCCTAAGACGCCGACTTCGTTTGGATTAGTCCAATTATCGGACAAAGATTTTTAGACCGATATACCAAACGTTTCGTAGGTATAAAAGTAGATCTTTTGAGAGAATATTTAACACGCGATCACAGGTTCTTTATCTCCAGAAATGCAAGTTGATTGCGCGCTACGAAGCTGGGCTCGACATGAAGTACGTATGCATGTGTTTATCTTGTTTCTAAATTTATTTATATGCGATAATTTCTACACAGTTTTCGGTACCGTTTTTCAGATTCAAGGTGACATTGCGAATTTACATGGGTATTGCAACCCTATGTAAGTAGGACATGTAAAAAAATTGCGGAACTCTTGGCGCAGATTGTTACAACCTCTTTGTGAAAAGACAGTCAGAATTATAAATAGAGGAGTTGTCAACTGACCATGTATCTTATTATTATAAAATTGGCGACGAGGAGAAAAAATAAGTTAAAAATGGAAAATAACGAACAACTTTTTTTCAACTGATCACTGCTCTTCAACAAGATTAACAACAGATACAAGACATATAACAATTGCTCTCATGTTCGTTTACGTCATCAATAGAACGTGGGGCAACAACGCAACAAGCGTTTTACAAAGAACAGAAATCTGTAGAGTGGAAGAATATTTAGATTATTTTGAAGACAAATCTAGAATTCGTAATATGCAATCGATTTTGGACATCAGTCATTTGTTTTTTCAAACCTCCTGTTCAACTCCTGTTAACCACGACGTCTTCTGCGTCACGTCGTTCTTGCAAGTTTATCTTAAATTCAAGCAGCAAGGTCCCGGCCAGTTTCGCCAAATACCAACAGATGGCATGATCTTTACTTTGACGTCAGAGATACCCTCCATCTTTAGTCTCCCAGTGACTGCTATGGCTGCTGCAAAGCATCGGAAACGTCGACCCGTAGGGAAAATCATTTTCAAACAAGGAGTCAAACTTGAATACATATCCATGTATGTTTTGGGGAATCTTGAACCGTATTCGCAGCGTACGCAACTAATTGAGGTAACTTTCCTCGTTTTGTCCACATTTCGCGCAATTTCTTCGCTTCTCTTAGTTGCAGTGCGATGTTTTATAGCCTATAGCCTTTCTCCATAAAAGTTTTAATTCACATAAAAATCTATTTTTTTTTTATTCGAACCAGTAGTTCCTGAGATTAGCGCGTTCAAACACACAAACAAACTCTTCAGTTTTATATATTAGTATAGATTACTTTATATCATTTAATTAGAATGATTTCTTATTTATCAAATTAAAACGACAAGAATACATAAATGAAACACACTTTTTATTGTTCTGACATACATCAATAATAGATAGATTAAAATTGAATAACTGTGTGTTCGTCGACACTCTTCTACTAGTCACTTGTGTGTTTCTTTATCCAGTCCAGGTAAGAGAAAACTCTTGTAAAGACATCAGGACGGCCGCGGCCACATGGAATGTTCCACGAAGTTATTCCCACTACCTCTCCCTTATGCACCAGTGGACCACCAGAATCACCCTGCGAAGACAGACACGTTAGGGACAGAATGTGATTAGAATGGTGTAAATTTTAAATCATAATTATCATAATAAATGAAATGATGACAGACAGATAAGCCATTCTTATATTATGTTAAAAAATCACATTAGTAGAATATTGTGCTTATCCCGCGTAACATGATTTCGTCTAATCGTTAAATTTTGTTCCAGAGAGTCAATCACTTTTCTTAGTGTCTTAATTTAACTGCATTTTTTAATTCACGTCCTAACTTGTTAAATACGATACGCACAAAACTAAACCTAGAATTCTCAATTAAATCGACCATCCAACAGAGACAGGATCTTTGAAGTGGAACAAGATCTTGAGTGGGTGCATGTTTGTTACCGCATTATGCGTTACTATAACTACGTGTATAAACCAACCTGACAGATGCCTTGGCCATCCTTCTTGAATGTGCAGATCTGTCTATCCGAAATTGGATTGGTTCTTTTGTATCTTCCTAAATTCTTATCCTGCTGACATTCCGACACGGAAAGTGATTTCACTGTGAGCTTTTGCAAATCATTGGGCGGTTTTCGATTATTTCCGCCGTTCTGTATGAAGACAATATTAATTAAGATGTGGATTGTCCCCAGCATAAGTTAATACAAAATAAAAATGACATAATCTTTAACATGAACTACATGTATTTTCATTAGCCATGTTTTTATTAAAGCCTACGTTACACATTAGACATATGAGAACAGTGTTATAAAACTGGCAAAGGCAGTTCGCAGTCAAGGATACACGGGTTCTGCCTTCTTCATCGATATCGAATCTTTGTATAAAATAAATCATTATCAATTAAAACTTACGGTAGTGTAACCCCATCCTGAAGTAACCAACTCAGCTCCACCCGGTGTGTTTGAGCTTGCCAGAGAAATGTTTCCGACTTTCTCGCCAAATTTAATATCCTTCTTAAGCTTTATAACTCCGATATCAAATGTGATGGCTGCCTTATTGTATTTCTCGTGATTAATAATCTTTTCGAATTCATATTGGTCACCACCACTGTCTAATTTATTTGTGCCCACAACAACTCTCATTCTATTCATATACTGTCTGAAATTAAACACTTTTATGAACGTTTCGTTGGAAGGAGATAATATAGTCCTCGGATTTCGGGTCTGGCGAAATGTAAGGCCGATTTCCAGTAGTTCAACGAGATGTGGTTGAAACGATGAATACTATGATACTTAAACTATTAAGTCATCGTCAATAATGTGAGACTGTTTCAATCAGAAACGTAGCTACCACCTCAAAATTTGGATTTGGGATTCAGGCATTTCAACTTACTTAAAAGGTTCTGTACAATGTGCTGCTGTCAAAATCCATCTCTTTGCTATAATAGAACCTCCACAGAAATGTTGCCAGACGTTTCTATTGTCTTTTATTCTAAGCGATACCTGATGGGGGAATTCTCCGTCTGCTGCCTTCTCACCTCCTATGATACGGGTCTCGGCATCGGACTCTTTAGGATCATGGAACGTGAAATAAGTGTAATAATATAAGTAAACGTGTAGTAAGCGGCACAAACTGTTATGATAACAGATTTTCACCCCAGGTAGAAGGCCCCCATTAGAAGAACCAGGATTCACTGATCTTTCAAACAAAACATTTGAGTTAATTCCAACGTTGTTTTTTTCTTATTATAAATGAAATTCTTTATAACTGTTGTAAAGATGTGTAATATTTCATGGGCAGCTAGTTTGTGCTTATAAAAGAAAGATCGCTTTCACTAAATTTATATACCTACTATAGAATAAGAACTATAACCAACTTTACTCAAATACGTATTTAATTTCATTTGACGGGCTCGGTAGCCGGGTCATGACAGTTACTGGTGCAGTAACGTAAAACTATTATACTATTACTAGCACAGTTACAGCGACTTCGCCCGCTAAGAATATTAATTTTGAACATCTAAATTCGTTTTTGCAAACCCCTTTATCTTTTTAAACTTAAGCTAATACCCACGACGTCGGTCGCGTCCCTTCCCGTCGTTATTGCAAGATAATCTTAAAAGATAGACATTTAGCGTGGCTGACTTTTTTTTAGATCATTTAAAGAGGTTTCACTCATAGATACGTTTTAGGTATCTTGAACCGTTTTTGCGTACGCCTCAGAAACCCATAATGGTGAATTATTTTTTTCACATTTCCCGCTGTATCTTCGATTTTATTAGTCACAGGGCGATGTTTTACGTTTGTTTAACGTTTTTTTTAATCTATATTAACATAAAATGCTGAACAGTTTGTATGTTTGAACCCGCTAATCTTAGGAACTACTGGTTCGATTTTTTTTATCTATCAAATATCAAGATATTTGATATATATTTGATGTCATTGCGTGTTTCTGATGCGCACGCTGCGAAACAGGTTCAAGAGACACAAAAAATATGTACGAAATAATTATTTATCCTTAAATGATATAAAAAAATGTCGGCGTCAGTATATCTATTAAGAACTTGCAAGAACGACGGGACACGACCGACGTCGTTGGCAAGCTGTAATTTATAAAGATTGGGGATTGCAATAACACAGCAAATTTTTGCGGCCAAAGTAACTAAATATGCTACGAGGACGAAGTCACTAGCTCAACTAGTGCTTAATATACATAATTCAACAGCGCGAGATTCTACCAATATTTAGAACTCTAAAGAAATGTATATTACCGTGAATATACAATTTCTTAAAATGTTAAAAGGTTTGATTGAAATTTGTAATGGCTAAGATAAAGTCTAGGTAGGATACGGTTTAGCACATTCCACCGACTGTATACCTTTGACATGACCTGTGAGATTACTTTCGTCTTCGGGTTCATCCTCGGTGTCTTGTGCTGTAGCTTCTAAGGAACAAAAAAAAAATTCAATAAAACTCACTTTTAACATAATGAATTTAATACTGTCTATAGCTTACGCGAGTAGTACACATTTAAATAAAACACTTTAACGGTTTAAATCGCGATATATTGGTTCAACTTATTTGAAAATGATGTTTAACTTCGGCCCATATATCGCGTTTTAAACCGTTCAAGTGTTTTATTTAAATAAAGAATTGAACGAAAAAAGCCCGTGCCGCCAAATACACCGTACCGTGCCGTAGCGACACCCGCTAGGGGAGGCCGCGAAGCGCTCTCAACAACATCTATGGCGACTTAGCAAAAGCCGTGGACAATAGTAATCGTGGATTGGTGCCTTGCACGGCGTACCCTCCACTTTGTTGAGCATCAATCCTAGCTTTGACCACCCCGATGTGTCCCCCACCGTCTAGCCGCGAACTAGCGGCTAGTTTTTAGAGGCTCCGGGCCAATATACGAAACAATAAAAAAAAATCTACCTTATTCGAAAAGTCCGTATGATAAAACTATTAGTAGGTTTTATTTAGCAGGAAATTAAATATAATAAATAATACTCACCATAGATGGTCATTATTGCCACGAGGAAGAGACAAGTTAATTTGAACTTCAACATTTTGCCTAGTAGATGTTACTAAGCAGTGGAAAGTAGTGCTTTTACTTACATATTCCTTCATATTTATACTGTTGTATCTCATTACTTCAAACCTATCATTAATCGTATATAAATTGCTAATTATCAACTTATTAAACAAACTCAATGTCAAAGTAAATTAAAAAGATAATTTAAATATGATAGTAGTCTATTTAATTCTATGGGTTCCAAATATGTATAACAAAAATACTTCTCAACTCAACTTACAACTGACAGTTCGTACGCTTAGTATTATAGTGACCTAACTCAAAATTTAAGATAATTAGATAAATGCACTGACATTACTATAATAACGCCATCATCATAGTTTTATACGATTTGCCAAAAAAGTGTTTTTTTTTTAATTCGGTCACTGTAATACTAAGCGTGCGAGTTGTAAGTTCAAAAGTAAAATAGTGACGTAACGCAATTACCAAATAAGGTTTTTCTTTATTTATTTCTGGTAGGGATCTCTAAATGAAGTATAATTAGTAAAATTTTCGATTAAAAAGATAATATTTGAAAGAAAACTGTAATTACTTTGACATGTCATTTACGTTTTCAAGGGTAGAGGAAGTAATGTTAATTATTTTTAAATTTTATACATGCAACTACATAATTGCAAACTCTCATCAACTAGATTAGTGCAGCGAACGATACTGTGCTTTAGTGGCCCGAAGTTTGTAGATAGTTACAAACTTTTGACAATTTTTTTTAGTTTAAGCACTTTATTTATTAACATTTGGAACTATTGGGCTCTATGACTAGGGCATCGTTTACATGCCAAATAGTATCCACATTTGTACAAAACCAATTTTTTTTTCCTCAAGTGACATAACTGTTTAAGTTAATATAAAGTCATATCTATGAACTTACTACATTAAACCTCTTTAACACTAATAACACAGGTAAAACTTTGTTCAAAAAGCGTTGTTTTGTTTTGTTAGCGTTAATTACCATAAAATATACTTCTCACTTGATTAGGTAACATGCTAGGTTTAAAATGTATTTATGAAACCTATAAAATATATATATATGTACAAAAGAAGAAAAAGAATTTCTTAATTCGAAGAGTGTTTCGATAAAATTGTATAATTAAAATCTCGTTATCCTTGCGTGCGGCATGAGCCATATTTCTGTTTCAATCGGCGAATTATTTGTTGACGATTAGTTATAGTACACAGCATACCATGGATCGTAGAAAGATTAAGACAACTCAAGAGAGTTGTTTGATATTCATTACTATCACATTCCCTGAAATGTGACTAAAGAGAAATCATTCTTTCATGCATATTGTTTGGGTATCCAGTCCCGTTTTCACAGTGCACGCAGCGGAAACCCACTGCGTCTTCGCTCCTCTTGGTCGCATCGTTATGTCTTATAACCTTAAGCCTTCCTTAATAAATGCTCTACCTAATCCAGAAAAAAAAATTTCAATTCGAATTAGTAGTTCCTGCGATTAGCCCGTTCAAACAAAAATCTCTTCAGCTTTATATATTAGTATAGATTGGACTATGGTTATTTGCTTTACTTTGCAGCAGCCGTGGTCACGGGGAGCCTTTATTTTGTTTAATTGAAACAATGAAAGTAGTTTATTCTTTTTTTTATGTTGCAAATTGCGCACAAGTGTGTAATCGTAAAGATTTTTTTTAACACACAATATTTTTAGTAGAATTTATTACTATTCAATAAATATTTACTCTCTCATTTTGTAGGATTAGTAAAAATTGGTCGTTTAGTAAATTTGAGTTGAAATTTACTGATTTCGTTACCCGCTGTTTTCTAACCTTAGGCTTGATGTACACATTTCTTTTTCACATACATGCCATGTAATATTGTATATTTATCCTAATTTGGAGTAAAATTAGACGGAATTTGGTACAAAATTCACGAGGAAACTAAACACTTTTTAGGCAAATCATAGAGTGCAAACCATTATACTATATTTGTTAGTATAATATATATCGCAATTTAATAAAATTAAAGTTTAATTGAATTATATTATTATTAATTAAATTTCTTGTCGGAATATACAAGTTAGCAGAAGCATTAACATATACCGTGCCGTGCCGTGTCAAACCGGTGTTGCTGAGTGTTTAAAGCAATCATTCAAGTTTCCTACTTGTTACTTAATAAAATTGATGCATCTTTTTTTTATTTAAACAACATGAATACATAGATTAAATTGAATAATTGTGTTTTTTCACACGCTTCTACTAGTCACTTTTTTTTTAAATCTTTATTTAGTAGGCTTTAACCTAATTAGGTTATGTCGCCCAATGATACAAAATTTACAATTACAATACCGAATTAATAAATAATAAAATATCTACACTCTAAACATATCTACATAGCCTTATGATATAAGTTTAGTAGCATCCTAGCCTCCCCCGAAAATGGAAAGGCTAAGACACTACCACACCACCTAACATTTTTAAAACATATAGATTTTCTAAATAATTGTCTATATGCCGCATTCCGTACACATTCCGACAAAACATAAGTCACGTCTTCCACAACGTTACAATCTGTGCAATCAGGACTTGATGTTACTCTCATCAGATGTTTGAATTCGTTTGTCGGAATATGTCCGGAACGCAACCGCATTAAAGATACAACATCTCTTCTATTTATATTATTGAAAATGTACCACGGGTGAATTGGAGGGGCACATACAATCGTATGGTACCAGATACCCTTTGTGAGAGACCTCTCATCGAAATAAATATTCCACATCCTTCGACAATTTTGTCTCACCAAAAAAAGTATGTAGGTCGCCCATATAATGAAACTACTCCCCCCGAAGTCTCACCATTTAACACAGCATATTTAGCCCAACGATTTATAAACGAAATAGGCAAATTGATGTTACATTAAATTATTTTAATTTTTGATGTCAAAAAACGGGCACGTAAGTGAAAAAGAAATGTGTACGTACATGAAGCCTAAAGTGGAAATACGCGGGTTACGAAATCGGCAATTTTCGACTCAAATGTACTAAACAACCAATTTTTACTAATCCTACAAAATGCCAGAGTAGATATTTACTGAAATGTTGTAAATAACTAGCATTTATAACTATTGTGTTTTAAAAAAATCTTTATAATTACACAAAGTAAAATATATTTAAACTCTTATAAAAATCATATGCGTGTCTACTAGTTGTATACTCTTGGCCAATTCGCAACATTAAAAAAAATATTACTTTCGTTGTTTCTATACAGAATTGAAAAAAATGCTTTTGACTGGTATGCCTATTTGACACTTAACACAAATTTACTCAAAAGAATCATTGAAAAATTTCATTTTGTGTGGATTAGGTAGAGCATTTATTTAAGGCTTATGTTTATAAAACATAACGATGGGACCAATGTGAGAGAAGAAAGTGTTTAAGGGCATCCGTTGCGTGTACTGTGAAATCGGGACAAGATACCCAAAAATATGTATGAAAGAATGATTTCTCTTTAAAGGATATAAAAAATTAGTCGCAATAGTATATTTACATTTCAGGGAATAACATTTGGTCGAAATACTTCTTACTTCGTAATAAAAATTGAACAAAAGAGAGTTGTCTCAATCTGTAACTAATCATCCATAAATAATTTGCCGAGTGAAACAGACATAGAATTATGGCTCATCAAAACGAGATTTTAATTAGAACTCTTCGAATTAAATTTAATACAATAAATTTAAACCTTAGCATATTATCTAATCATGTTACAAGTATATTTTATGGTAGTTCATAAAAAAGCGCTTTTTTAACAAAGTTTTACCTGTATTATTACTGTTATAGAGGTTTAACATAATAATTTCATAGATAAGATTTTATATTAACTTAAACAGTGATGTCGCTTGAGTAAAAAAAACCAATTGGTTTCGTACAAATTTAATAAATACCGTTTTGCATGTAAACGATGCTCTAGTCATAGATGTGAGGTCCAAATTTTTATAAATAAATTACTTTAAAAAAAAATGACACACAGTGGCTACAAAGTTCGAGCACTAGAGCACTGTATCGTTTGCTGCACAAGTGCACGTAGTTGATAAGAGCTTGTTGTTGTTGTAAGATTAATTAATATCACTTCCTCTAACCTTTAAAATATAAATGATATGTTTATTACAATTGTCTTTAAATTATTTTCTATTTAATTGAAAATTCGACTAATTATACTTTCTTTAGAGATCTCTACAAATAACTTATAAACAACGCATCCCCTTGTTAACCCTGTAACAGTTCCCACCGCAGGGACTAGCGCTTCAATCTAAGCCTATAGTACCAACTTTAGGCTTCCGTTTTATTAGACTTCTTTAACACAATTTCAAAAGAAACTAGTAAATGCTTGCTATAAATAAATGTGTACACTTGAGTCACAATTAATTTTGTATTTGATTTAGACAATAGACCTCAACTATTCAGTCATATAAATAATCATGATCAGAGGTACATATGCTACCTACTATTCGCCGCCATCACTAACTACTACCAGCAACTACGAACTGCCCAGAGGTTACTCGTCTGTACATTATGAGGTCCGGGATTCGAATATTGGGTCAGAAGAAGTGTAACTTTGGTATTTTAATACTTTCTAAGAAATTAATTTCAAATCGTACAGCAGCCTAACTGGTACTCCGGTAATAAATCGTATAATAACTATCAATATCGCAATGTCAATACGTTAAACAAGAGATGTTTGTGGTCCAACCAACGTTCACCGTACGTTTTCTCAAAAGCAACTGCCTTACAGCGCACCCCCTTCTATAACAATCCACAAACAATCGACCAAGTGTTACACGGACGTCATCGAATATTACGAACATTATTTTAAACATTTTGTAAACTACCCACATTTATACATCACAAAAATAATGATTTATACTAAGCTTAATTATATATATATACAAAATAACTCAAATAATCTGTTACCTGCGTAAACCAAAAAATAAATAAATTATCATAAAACAATTGTTTTATTCATTTAAAACATAGCATATGTTACTAGAAGTTACGTCACTATTTTACTTTTGAACTTACAACTGGCAGTTGCTTAAATCGCCCCGTTACAACCTTCCGTACCTGTACAGCTTAGAAAGTTAAGAAGCTTTTTTTATTCGGAACCTATGGGTTCTATGGAATTTAATACAATACCTATTACCATTTTTTTAAATATCTTTTAATTTACTTTGACATTGAGGTTGTTTGATAAATTGATAATTAGCAATTAATATACGGTCAAACATAGGTTAAAAGAATTAATATAAATATGACGGTATTCATAAGTAAAAGTACTACATTCCACTGCTTAGTTACATGTACTAAGCAAAATGTTGAAGTTCAAAATAACTTGTGTGTTCCTCGTGGCAATTGTGGCAATATTTGGTGAGTATTATTTATTATATTTAATTTCCTGCTTAATAAAATCTACTGATTTTATAATACGGACTTATTAATTTATGTAGATATTTTTAAGGACCAGGACTTCTAAAATCTAGCCGTGTTCGCGGCTAGTTTTTAGAGGCCCCGGGTACGGTCACGGGTACAGTGTTGTTGGCGGCTCGAGCTTTCTTCTTTGTTCATTGTGTCAAAAGAGATTCATTCTTCTATTGAAATTATAAACAATTTTTGTTCCTCAGGAGTTTCAGCTGAGGTGTCTGCTGATGGACCCGAAGATGCACATAACCGTATAAGTCGTGTCAAAGGTAGGACAGTCATTGAAATGTTCAGCTAAATCCTATCCTACCTAGACTTTATCTTTGCACTTAAAAAATACACCCAAACTTATTAGGAATTGTTTAAGTATTACATAAAATTTTTTTTCAGTTGAATTTTTGGTTAAACTTCACCAGTCACAGTAAGAAATGATACAATTCAATGTATCAATGTCCTATTTCAAAAATTTTAATGTTTTTATTTTTTTGCAAATTGAATTGATGAATATATAATATTAGTTGTATAGCTGTCAAAAGCGATTTTTATATTGAAATTATTATTTTTTGTTACTTAGAAGCTAGAGCAGAAGACTCCGCGGATGGACCCGAAGATGCACGTGACAATGGACATATAAGAGGTGTAGTAATAGTTCAAATGTTCAGCTAAGTCGTAGACCTAGACTTTATGTTTGCACTTAAAAAATACAATAAAACTTATAATTTTTAGGAAATTGTTTAAGTATTACATTTAAATTATTTTTAATTGAATTTTAATTGGCCAAACTTCATCCAGTTGTCATCAGTAAGAAATGATACAATTCAATGTATCAATGTCGCTATTTCAAAAATTTTAATGTGTTTTTATTTTTTTGCAAATTGAATTGATGAATATATAATATTAGTTGTATAGCTGTCAAAAGCGATTTTTATATTGAAATTATTTTTTTTTGTTACTTAGAAGCTAGAGCAGAAGACTCCGCGGATGGACCCGAAGATGCACGTGACAATGGACATATAAGAGGTGTAGTAAAAGTTCGAATGTTCAGCTAAGTCGTAGACCTAGACTTTATGTTTACACTCAATAAATACAATAAAACTTATAATTTTTAGGAAATTGTTTAAGTATTACATTTAAATTATTTTTAGTTGAATTTTTGGCCAAACTTCACCAGTCACAGTAAGAAATGATACAATTCAATGTATCAATGTCCTATTTCAAAAAATTTAATGTTTTTAATTTTATAGTTACTTATAATACGTGTGCAAAATTAAATTGATGATGAATGTATTAGTTGGTAGAGCTGTCAAAAGCGACTTTTATATTGAAATTATATATTTGTATGCCTTAGAAGCTACAGTAGAAGACTCCGCGGATGGACCCGAAGATGCACGTCACCGTAGACATTGTCGCAGAAGTATGTATACAGTCGTTGGAATGTTCAGCTAAGCCCTAGACCTAAACTTTATTTTTGCATTCAAAAAATACAATCTAACTTATAAGGTTTAGGCATTACATTTACATTTTTTTAAATTGATTTTTTGGCCAAAATTCACCAGCCAAAGTGAGAAATTATACATTCCATTGTATCAATGTCCTATTCCAAAAGTTTTAATATTTTTAATTTTATACCTATAATACATTTGCAAATTGGATTTGATGATAAATATATTAGTTGGTAGAGCTGTCAAAAGCGACTTTTATATTGAAATCATACTTTTTTTGTTCCTCAGGGGCTACAGCAGAAGACTCCGCGGATGGACCCGAAGATGCACGTCACCGTAGACATTGTCGCAGAAGTATGTATACAGTCGTTGGAATGTTCAGCTAAGCCCTAGACCTAGACTTTATTTTTGCACTCAAAAAATAGAATCAAACTTATAGAATTTAGGAAATTGTTTAAGTATTACCTATACATTTTTTAGTTGAATTTTTGGCTAAAATTCACCAGTCACAGTGAGAAATGTTACATTTCAATGTCACTTTTCCAAAAATTTTAATATTTTTAATTTTATACTTCTAATACTTTTGCAAATCGAAAGGGTAATAAATATTATTGTAGAAATGTCAAAAGCGATTTTTAATTGAAATCATATTTTTCTTCCCTAGGGGTAGAGCAGAAGATTCCGCGGATGGACCCGAAGATGCACGTGACAATGGACATATAAGAGGTGTAGTAATAGTTCAAATGTTCAGCTAAGTCGTAGACCTAGACTTTATGTTTGCACTTAAAAAATACAATAAAACTTATAATTTTTAGGAAATTGTTTAAGTATTACATTTAAATTATTTTTAATTGAATTTTTGGCCAAACTTCACCAGTCACAGTAAGAAATGATACAATTCAATGTATCAATGTCCTATTTCAAAAATTTTAATGTTTTTATTTTTTTGCAAATTGAATTGATGAATATATAATATTAGTTGTATAGCTGTCAAAAGCGATTTTTATATTGAAATTATTTTTTTTTGTTACTTAGAAGCTAGAGCAGAAGACTCCGCGGATGGACCCGAAGATGCACGTGACAATGGACATATAAGAGGTGTAGTAAAAGTTCGAATGTTCAGCTAAGTCGTAGACCTAGACTTTATGTTTACACTCAATAAATACAATAAAACTTATAATTTTTAGGAAATTGTTTAAGTATTACATTTAAATTATTTTTAGTTGAATTTTTGGCCAAACTTCACCAGTCACAGTAAGAAATGATACAATTCAATGTATCAATGTCCTATTTCAAAAAATTTAATGTTTTTAATTTTATAGTTACTTATAATACGTGTGCAAAATTAAATTGATGATGAATGTATTAGTTGGTAGAGCTGTCAAAAGCGACTTTTATATTGAAATTATATATTTGTATGCCTTAGAAGCTACAGTAGAAGACTCCGCGGATGGACCCGAAGATGCACGTCACCGTAGACATTGTCGCAGAAGTATGTATACAGTCGTTGGAATGTTCAGCTAAGCCCTAGACCTAAACTTTATTTTTGCATTCAAAAAATACAATCTAACTTATAAGGTTTAGGCATTACATTTACATTTTTTTAAATTGATTTTTTGGCCAAAATTCACCAGCCAAAGTGAGAAATTATACATTCCATTGTATCAATGTCCTATTCCAAAAGTTTTAATATTTTTAATTTTATACCTATAATACATTTGCAAATTGGATTTGATGATAAATATATTAGTTGGTAGAGCTGTCAAAAGCGACTTTTATATTGAAATCATACTTTTTTTGTTCCTCAGGGGCTACAGCAGAAGACTCCGCGGATGGACCCGAAGATGCACGTCACCGTAGACATTGTCGCAGAAGTATGTATACAGTCGTTGGAATGTTCAGCTAAGCCCTAGACCTAGACTTTATTTTTGCACTCAAAAAATAGAATCAAACTTATAGAATTTAGGAAATTGTTTAAGTATTACCTATACATTTTTTAATTGAATTTTTGGCCAAACTTCACCAGTCACAGTGAGAAATGTTACATTTCAATGTCACTTTTCCAAAAATTTTAATATTTTTAATTTTATACTTCTAATACTTTTGCAAATCGAATGGGTGATAAATATATTAGTTGGTAGAAATGTTAAAAGCGATTTTTATATTGAAATCATACTTTTTCTTCCCTAGGGGCTAGAGCAGAAGACTCCGCGGATGGACCCGAAGATGCACTTGACAATAGACATATAAGAGATGTGCAGTAGTTGGAATGTTCAGCTAAGCCCTAACCTACCTTGTCTTGCCCTTACAAAATTCAATCAAACTTTTTAACATTTTAATAAATTGTTTATTCAAGGTAATAATATACATTTCTTTGTAGTTTTTTTTTTACGTTCAACATTCTATAGTTTGAATTCTTCCACATCGTCCACAGACACAGTTACAACATACTGGTAGAACTTCAAGCTGTTAAATTGTGTATATTTAACACTAGTTGAGCGACTTTTAAGCGAATTTGTAGGCTCCATTATTTTTATCTCAAAATATTGTTTTGACTCCTTTATAACGTCGTTAATTGTAGAATTATTTTTCGAAATTATTAGCCCATCATCAACATACAATAGAAGATATATTTTAATTTGATTTACATGTGCTGTAAATACACATTGAACGTAATTGCTATTTACAAAATCAAGTTTCTTAAGAACAGATTTGAATTTGTTTCCATCATCTTAGAAATTTTGTTTAAGATCTATTCAATTTACAAAGTTTGGTGGTGATTCTATTCCTTCAAGAGGATTCATATATATATATTTTCTATAATATATCCAAATACATCCAAACATCCAAAAACAAACAAACTCTTCAGTTTTATGTATTAGTATAGATTGGACTACAGTTCTTACATAGGTTCACTAATGTCACACTAACTTATTCCAACTGGAGTAGGATGAATATTTTCTTTTTTATTTTAATCATTGAAGTAATACTATATTCTTTTGAGTAAATTTGTGTTAAGAGTCATATAGGCATACCAGTCAAAAGCCTTTTTTCAATTTTAAATAGAAACAACGAAAGTAATATATTTTTTTATGTTGCGAATTGGCTAAAAGTATAAAACTAGTAGAAATATGTATGGCGCTTATAACATTTTAAATATGTTTTCTTTGTGTAATCGTAAAGATTTTTTTAATACTAAAAAATATATATTTCCACCCTGAGGCTTGATGTACACTTTTCTTTTTCACTGACGTGCCCGTTTCTAAACATCAAAGATGAAATAATTGAATGTAACATCAATTTTCCTATATCGTTTATAAATTAATACTGTTAATTTGTATTATTCTATATATTTTTCCCCACATTTTGAGTAAAATTACACAGAAATTGGTACCAAATTTACGAGCAAACTAAACACTATCCAAGCAAATAATAGAGTACAGACCATTATAGTATACTTGTAAGTATAATACTAGATTTGTCTATAGGTCTCAATAAAATTAAAGCTTAATATATTAAATTAAACCCCTTTTGCGAATATAAAATCATAAGCATCAACATATTAAGAAAAACAAAGAACTATGCACGGCATTTTTGTACATTTGCACGTGACAAATGCCTTCGCCTGCTCTATTTATAGAACAGATTTAGGTATTAAAGACAGGATATTCCATTCAATTTGCTCTGACAATCGCCAAGATCGGCAAATTGCCTGGGTATTGTAAATATATTAAGTTTTACGTAATCTTGTGGAAACAAAATTGATTTTGTTACTTATATTAAATATTCGCTCTCGACATATATTTATATTATTTATTTAAGAGTTGAGTGTTAAAAGTACTCATCAACACATACTACTTGTTACTTACTTACTTTTTTTTTTGTTACAACAAGAAAACATAAATCGAACACACTTTTTATTATTCTTATGTACATCAGTAATACATAGGTTAAAATTGAATAATTGGGTGTTTGTTCACACTCTTCTTCTAGTCGCTTGTGTGTTTCTTTATCCAGTCCAGGTAAGAGAAAACTCGTGTGAAGACATCAGGAAGGCCGCGACCACAGGGAATGTTCCACGAAGTTATTCCCACTACCTCCTTCTTATGCACCAGTGGACCACCAGAATCACCCTGGAAAGACAGACACAGTTAGGGACAGAATGTGATTTATAATGGTAAGTTTTATAAATAATGATTTATAAAATTTAAATATAATATGTATACTAATAAATGTAACTTGATGTTCACGCTTTTTATCACAGAGATAGACAGGCAAGCATGGGGTTGCTCGATAGAAAGCAAAATACCACAGCCATATAAAATCTAAACAAGATGTACTGTCGACCTTTGTCGGTTTTGAACGATCGAAAATCCATAGACTGCTACCAAAACGGTTTAAACATAGAAATAAGTTTTAAAAAGTCATAAAATTTATATTGTTTCAAAAGGCGTATTATTGTTTGAACGATTTCTTTAATGACAAGGCTGCCTGGCAGTGATATAAATTGCTCCTTAGGTTAACAAATTCACTCAATTTGTTTGATCTTTTAACGTGCTATTTAATGCGCATATCCAGGTTCACGACCGCATTATGCTTTACTATAACAGCATGTAACAACGAACCTGACAGATGCCTTGGCCTTGCTTCTTGAATGTGCAGATCTGTCTATCCGAAAATGGACTTCGTTTGAACCTTTCTAATTTCTTCTGACATTCCGACACGGAAAGTGATGACACTGTGAGCTTTTGCAAATCATTCGGTGGTTTTCGGTTATATCTGTCGTTCTGTATGAAAAAAATATTATTAAGCATCGCAGTCTGTTGCTGGCATAACATAAATTAGTGTCAAGTAAAATCAACATAATCTTGAACATTGTAACTTCATGTATTTTCATTGGCAATGTTTTCTTTACGTGAAAAATTACGGAGACATAAGACCAAGTACACTGATATGAAACTAACGGCAGTTCGCAACCACTGAAATCTTTGTAGAAAATAAATCATTATCAATTTAATACTTACGGTAGTGTAACCCCATCCTGAAGTAAGCAACTCAACGTCACCCGGCGTATTTGAGCTTGGCAGAGAAATTTTCCCGACTTTCTCGCCAAATTTAATATCCTTCTTAAGCTTTATAACTGCGATATCATATGTGATGGCTGGTTTATTGTATTTCTCGTGTTCAGTAATCTTTTCGAGTTCGTATTGGTCACCACCACTGTTTAATTTATTTGTGCCCACAACTGCTCTCATTCTACCAATATACTCTCTGAAGTAAAAAACTTATATGAATGCTTCGTTGACAGCAGATAATACATTCCTTGGATACCGGGTTTGGCGGAATGTTAGGTCGATTTCAAAGAGTTATAGATAAATTTGTTAAAAAGATAAACGCTGTGATACTTAAACTATTATTTTTATATATGACTAGTTAACATCTGTGGCTCTTCTTACATTTTAGACATATTTTTACCACCTCCAAAACCCAACAAACAAAAATGCACGAGCCACAGAGCATGAGTTCGAATTCTGGGAATAACAAAACAATACATTGTTTCAGTCAGGAGATTCGGAATGTTAGGCATTTTGAACTTACCTATAAGGTTTTGTACAATGTGCTGCTGTCAAAACCCATCTCTCCGTTAAAATAGAACCTCCACAGAAATGGTGCCAGACGTCTCTATAGTCTTTTATTCTCAGCGATACCTGGTAGGGGAATTCACCGTCTGCCGCCTTCTCACCTCCGATGATACGGGACTCGGATTCGGAGTCTTCAATACCTAGAAACAAATAAAAGTATATTGTTGTCAGTGAAAATAATATGTTTTCAATCTTTCGAAAATGCATTTGTTTGTTTATTGCTGTTTAACTTGCGTTAAATATGTGTAAGTAATTTAGTGACATAATTTTGACTTCTACTGCTATTTAATTTTCTAAAAATGTTCTTTATGAATAAAAATTAAATAAATTTTTATTATTTTAGAAAAGCCATAAATTAGTATTTATTTTCACGACCAAATTTATAGAAAGCCCATTTTTCCTTGTACAAATGTGCCTCTCTTTATCAGTCGGAAGATACATAACGTTTAAATATTTCACATTTGTCCTATTTTCTTTTACAAGATAACAAATTGAGCTTCAATGTAATACGCTATTTATTTATTTTATTCTCTAATCATAATACTTGCTATTTAAGAAAACCCCATTATATTCAAAAAAAAAAAAAAAAAAAAAAACCCCCCCAAAAAAAAAAGGGAAAAATATTTTTTAAATTTTGGGGGAAAAAAAAAAAAATAATCACTCAAGTGATTACAAAAATAATTGTATACGTTTAAAATTTCACAGTGTTTCTCTTTTTAAACAAATTAGGGCTTCAAAATACGTTATTTATTTATTTTATTCAGTAAAAACGTTCCTTTACGCTTTTGTGAGAAGGCAAACTTTGTAACCTATAGCACTTGCGTTTCGAAACCTTGCTTTAGCCACTCGAATAAAACAAATGAATATCAAGATTGTTTTCAAGTATTGTTCCGTTTGATGCCGCTGTCTGTTATTTCGTGTAAATATACATCCAATTTCAAACATTCAATAGCTTAATTTAGATTAGTCAAGATGTTCATTAAAGTAATACAATTATTTTTTGTGATATGTTTGGTGAAGGGCAAGTGTTTGACTAGATTTTTTCGTGGTTCGTAAAAATATTTAGTTTTAAATTCGTTTGAATCATAAAGTACGTCAACAGATTTGTGTTTTCCTCAATCTGAAATACCATCGTGGTCTTCTGCTTATTTTAGATATTGCGTCTGCATTTTACTTTCTGTGATCGTATTATAAATTTCTGTGTCAACAACTACTTGTCTTGTGTCCCAGACGACAGAAAACATTAATATATTATGTTTGTATAAAATGTATTGAAAATATTAGATAGTATCGAAATAAACTATTTTTTTAAATTTCAAGGTAGATCGAATGATATTTACCTATCACTAATATTATTTTTATTGACAAATTTCTCGCGTGGGTAAATAAAGACCAAATATTGTACCGAATTTTCTGCAAACTGATAGAGAATAACCGGGTGGTTGGCATCGTCTCTTGGGGCATGCTTTGTGCGAAAGGATATCCAGATGTTTACACAAGGGAGTACTCCTTCCTTGATTGGATTCAAGAACAGATGAAAGAGATAGAAAATATTTTTTTAATAAGAAAAAATAATCTCTATGTTACTAATTTTTTTTCATTTACTGGATTCCATGCAATATCTCCCTCCTGGAATGGAATGGAATTAAAACAAAAATAGAGGGAGGGGGGCAATCACAGCCGGCAAGTATTGCCGATCGCTAACGTCAGTTATAGAATTATTATAATATCTTGTTTATGTTTTTAAATTGTTTTTTTTTAAATCTTGTAGTTAATTAATTTAGCTAAAGACTACTACTGAGTAAATTCCATAACTTTATTATATTCAAGTTTTCCTTATATTCTCGCAATTACTCTACTATCCCCCTACTATTGAATATTTTACGAGCAAATGTATCGACCAAAGAATAGTTTGTTATTTTAGTTTGTTGTTAGTTTGTTTTTGTTTGTGATCGATGGATACAGGTCTGAAATATCTAAGGTTACCTGCAGCATCGGGTTTATCCGTGGAGTCTGGTGCTTGTGTGGTGGTTGAATTATCTGAGTCTTGAGCTAAGGAACAAAAAAAAAGATTATATAATTCCAATAATTATCACTAGTGTCAATTAAAAAATAAATCGTTCTTGACAACATCCCAACTATACAATTTGCATAAGGATAAGGGTAAAATTTATAAATAGGAAAGGTTTGAAATAGGAATAATTTAATTTTAGATCATCAACTCCTTCCGTTATTAATGGAACTAACTAGGTTAAAGCTAAGTCGGTATAAATAACGTCGGTGTCTCCAAGTCACTCTCTCAATCCTTGCTACATTTTACTAAAAATCAGTTTGAAATTTTAATGATCCATGTTGGACTGAATCTGGAAATGGTGGATATTAAATAAATGTAAGGAATATCGGAATTACTTTTGTGCCACGAGCTATCGTTCACAAAGGGAAGCCGTTAAGATTAATGCATTCAAATAAAATTCGATAATTAAGCAAATCTATATACAAAGAACATATACATAAACCATTTTTGAAAATTTCTAGGGCTTCATCAAATGTTCTAAGTGCAAAGATAATCTGAGTTTAGCTGAAAATTCTAACTATTGTACACGTCTGAAAAATTTAAAAGGTTACCTGCGGGATCGGGTTCATCCGTGGAGTCTGGTGCTGGTGTGGTGGTTGGACCATCTGCGAATAGATCTAACAAACGAAAAAATAGACATTTTCCATATAAAAATTAATAGCTTTCTGTCTATAGTTTACGCGAGTAGTACACAATTAAATAAAACACTTTAACGGTTTAAAACGCGATATATAAGCAGCCGTAGTCTCCCCGTGACCACGGCTGCTGCAAAGCATCCGAAACGTCGGGCCGAAGTTAAAAATCATTTTCAAATAAGTTTAACTAATATATCGCGTTTTAAACCGTTAAAGTGTTTTATTTAAATTAATAGCTTTCGACAACATCCCGATATTCAATTTGAAACAGACGAATGTAAACCGTAGAAAATTTGCGTAAAAATCTACTAAAAGCAAATCTACATACCGAGAATATAAGCGATTTATAAGGCAGGTTTAGCTGATCGTTCCAACGACTGTAAACTCTTTACCTTTGACATGGCCTCTATGAACACGTGCAGCAACGGGTTCATCTTCGAAATCTGGCGCTGGTGTGGTAGTCACATCAGCTACATCTTCAGCCGAAGCTCCTAAGGAACAAAAATAAACAATATAACTAGATCTAATATGAAAATGAATCGCTATTAACAACTAAAATAATATAATATAATTTATATTATAAAGATAAAGATTATAAAATATATATTTGGGATGAGCAGCAAAAATATCTTGTATCGTAAATCATATATTGAAACGATGAATTTCTTACATTTACCTCAATTATGTATGTTAACGTGAAAGGCATATAATCAAAAGTCTATGTGATATATTATAATGAAATAGTATATACAAATAAATGACAAATGTAGATAATTTTTGTGTCTACCTAATGCAAAAAGTCGGGATAAATATATCATTAGGTTTGTTCAAGCAGGAAATTAAATAGTTATCATAAATAATACTCACCAAAGATGGCCAAAACTGCCACGAGGAACAGACAAGTACCTTTAAACTTCAACATTATGCTTAGTAGATGTCACTAAGCAGTGGAAAGTACCTTAGTTATGAATACCTTCATATTTATAGTATTGAATCTATTTACTTTAACCTATTTGAGTGTACAAATTGCTAATTCTCACCTAATCAAACAACCTCAATGTCAGTGTGACAAATAATCTTAAAACTGTTTTGTATTCTATATTGATTCTATGGGTTCCAAACTTAAAAAAAAAACTAATTTAACTTAGGCTTTTAAATTCTTGTTTTTCTTCACGGCGGTGTGTTCTTCTACACATTGCGCGACAAATCTAAGAATCACTTATAAATCACTGATGTATTTCGCTAGCTCACTTCTTATTATATAATATTTCTTTCAACCTGTTGGCATTCCACTTTTGGGCTTACCCCTTACCTTACGTCCCCTTTCACATAATGCTCGTTGTTAATAATGGTGGTTTGAAAACTTTTATATTTTTCACAAGTTATTGCACATGATGGCATTATATAATTCAAAGATCGAAAATAAGTTGAAAAGGATTTCGGGCAGGGTTTCAACCGACATCGTCAGCGTTCCGTGGTGTTGCTCTACCAATTGAGCTACTGAGTCCTCCAGCTCATCGTAGATTTTTTTCATCTTATTGATACATGCACCTCTCGCGCAGTGTAATTTCATCTTCAATGATTTCTTAAGCTACAAAGCATAAGACGTTGAGCCTTAATATGAAACGTTAAGGTTAAAACGACATTTCGCGAGAGATGCAAGTTAAAAAAATAGGTTTAAGAAAATGGACGATAAGGCGTAGGACTAGGCAGCTCAATTGGTAGAGCAACAGTACAGAACGCTGACGATGTCGGTTCAGACATTATTTATTTGTTGTAACAAATCAATAAAATAATCTAAAATTAAATAGAAAATTGAGTCTAGCACATCTATTTAAATAAAACACTTTAACGGTTTAAAACGCGATATATTAGTTAAACTTATTTAAAAATGATCTTTAACTTCAGCCCGACGTTTCAGATGCTTTGCAGCAGCCGTGGTCACGAAGAGACGAAGTTAAAAATCATTTTTTAGAGATTTCACAAGTTTAGTTTGAAGTTATAGTTTCATTAATCCAATCCACATAAGCAGCGATATTGGTAAAAACATCACCATATCCCCTTCCACAAGGGACGCCATATGACATTATTCCTATTTGTCTAGTTTCATCATCATACGAGTTATCCTCATTCCAATCATTCCTAGTTACAAGAGGACCTCCAGAGTCACCCTGTAAAAAAGTTAGAAGAAATCCTTTACTAGTTTTACATAATATCTGATTATAATTTAGAAACATTGAGATTAAAATGAGATTCAAATTCTACAGGGAATCTTTTAACGCCATGGTACACTGTTTGTTGTAGGATTTAACTCCACCAATGTTATATAGTTTAATCTTAAAAATCGATTATAAATTGATTTTTAAGATTAAATAAATTGTTTTCAAATCGGAGTCCACAGCGTTCCGCGCTCTTGCTGTAACCAATTGAGCTACCGTGTCTTACACGTCATAGTCTATTTTTTTCAACCTATCGATACCTGCACCTCTCGCGCAATTTTATCTTTAACTCTTGCGCTTTAATTTTTATTCATTTGTTTAATGTTATAAATTTAATGAAGCTTCTACTCCTACTGAACACGTTAAATGTTTACTTTTATTTAATTTAGCGTTCCCAAAGGTGCCAGTATCATCATTCCATAATTTGAATCTTTTTTCAGTCTTTCAAAACTCACCGAACAACCTCCTTGGTCCTTTCCAGCCAGGGCACAGATCTGTGTCTCGTCTATCGGAATAGAATTGACAACTTTTGTATAGTTTTCGCTACATTGCTCTCGTGATTCTATTGTCGTGTATAACACTTGGAGCGCGTCGGAAACTTTTTTATCTTTCTAAAAAAAAGTGTGATGGTAACAGAGGATTGTGATAAAACATGATTTATTCAAATAGTATTTTAAATGCACATTTTTGAACACAGTGTTCAACTACTAATGGTCACTAGCAGTAAAACCACTAGTGCTTTTTTCTTGTGTGTCTGTATTAATTTCTATATTATTGGTTTACAGATTATTATGTCAACTGTATTAATCATAATATCATATATGCACTGCAATTAAAATAATCAAAATGATATGTCGTAATACTTAAGGATTTAACTTAACGATAAAACACTTGAGTATCTGAAATTAATATATTATACATTTAAAAGCGTTTTAAACGATTTTCAAAAACATAACTTCACTTAAAGAAATATACATAATAATAATATTTTCAAAATTATTAAGGCTAACGTAAATGTTTTTTTGTCATTATGTTTAGTTACATATAAAGTCGAAACTTAAAGTATTTAGTATAACTCAAAATAAAAATAATAAAAACCTGAGATAGATATACATTTTTACTTTAAATTCAGCGCCTCTATCTAAAAAACGCGTCAGATGCTCTACAGCTGCCCTGTTTACGTTTTGATCCTTTAAAAGTCTTTTATTTCAATGTGCAAACTACAGACAGTTCCCATTGCGTTTCAAGGCAGGATACGGACATGATATTTATGAAGAACTTACATTGTTTGTAGTTCCCCATCCTGTTAAAACAGCTTTAGTACCAGGCTTTGGATCCTCTTCAGCTAAAGCAACCATTTTCACTTTGTCGTTAAAAGTTATACGCTTCTCGGTCTTGCAAACGGATATATCGTTTGTGATATCTTTTGAATTGTAATGTTCGTTGTCGACACAATAGTGGAGGTTGTATTTTTCACCACCGGATGTAAGGTAATTTGTTCCGACTACTATTGTGGTGCGTTTGGACTTTAATCTAGAATTTTTTAAATAGTTACGTAAAGAAACATTGCTAAGTTGTCGAAGCGTTTTACATACTGTGCTTATTTTGGGCATCAAAATTTGTTTAAAAGAATTGTCTTCGTTTCGTTCGTTTTCGCTACGCACGCAATGGAAGCCCTCAAAGATTAATATTTTTTCCCCTTTTTTTTCCAACATTTTTCACTGGTTCTACGGCCCTTTTTTTCATCCTATCGCAGCCTAATACCATGAAAGTATTTTTCAATTCAAATTAAGTAGTTTCTGGGATTTGTCCGTTCAAAAAAATAAACAAAATAATACTAGCATTGATTATTTTAAGATACATCTACATGGCTTAATATTAAACGCTTCCCAAGCCCACAATTGACAAGTTACCCTATTTGTGGTTCTCGCACTCGGTGATTTTTGCACCTAACACTTGTTAGAATTATCACGCAAATAGAACAGGGGATCGAAACTCCGATCACAAAAAAATCAGGTACACACAACACTAAACTAAGACCTGTATAATTACAAGAAAATACAATTACGCTATAGAGCAGTGCGCGGCGGTTAGAATCCAATTTTCATTTATAATGGAGCCTCCGCAAATATGTTGGACTTTTCCACCGTTATACGCCTGGATCGATACTTGGTAAGGAGCAAAGCCTTCTGGAGCATTCTGTCCGCCATATATGCGAGTTCCGACTTCATTCGAAGCATCACCTGTGTGAAAAATAAAAAAAATATGAATGGGGAGGACAGAAAATCATGGCTCTTACTCGATGGAAGGAGAAAAAAAGGCGAAAATTTTCAGTACTTTAGACACTAACGATATTTTTGGAACTAAATTAAGATCATTCATAAATATTTATAACACTAAGTTCTCATATGTACAGTAAATTGTCTAAATAAATAAATATTAGCAAAATATCCCTAACGTAACGTCGTAGCACGTTGTCGAACTATTTTAGACAGTTGTCAGGTTTCACAGTGAGCCGCGTTTAACTTCACGGCATTTTCCATTTCTGGGTGGTGCTTCGTGGCCTGGGCGGAATTGCGTTATTCTTGCTACCCAATTCATATCCTGATTCATATAATTTTTTTTTTTTTTCAGTCAAGGTCCGATATTAAAATATTAAATGGTTTAAAACGCGATATATAAGAGTTAAACGTTTGAAAGCTTTATTATTTTTTTACATGTTATTGCACTATATTATTTAAAAATCGAAAATAAAATGAAAAAAAATATACAAGTTAGAGTACAATTTTAAAAACAATTCTGGTCATGATGATTCGTCATATAATATATCAATTAATGTAATTGTGTTAAGTATATGTACTTAATATGGAAAGTGTCAAATTATCGCTCGTGGTAGCACGGCCTTTTAACTCAGTGTGGCATTCTTACTTAAAAACAATAATTAAATGGCATAAAACGGCATTACTTCTAAAGTATTTAATGTATTATTTATTAATAAACAATATATTTAAAGTATTATTTTAAGAAAACCATATTTATAAATGGATTTTATTATTATAAACAATTAAAACGGTGATAGCGTCTTACATTAATTGGATAGAAGTACACAATAGAATTACACTTCAAAATCATACACTTCAAAGGGTATGCATCAATTACACAAAGGACAAAATTTCAAAATCAGAAAATTCTTTCAGTACCGATGACCATCGATCTGCGAAAAGGTTACATTTGGATCTTAACTTGAAGAGAGCGTTGAGTGAGGTTAAAATTTGTGGTATCGGTGAAAACGCGCGGGCAGAAGTGCGAGCTCTCGGGACGTTAAAGAGATCGTGTCTTCTAGTGCGGCCATAGTTGTTCGGCACAAACAGTTAATAATAGCTTCCCTCAAATAAGGATCAACGATTTGGTTTCAAACAACTTACAAGCTACAACTAATTGCCCACGAGATCTACGAAACCAAGCTGTCCTAATAAAAACATGGTCGGATACGAGTAGGGATCAAACCGTATTGGTTGGTTTATATATTAGTTTACATTCTACTATCTGATCCGAAAAACGTTCTGCCATATTAATTATTTCTAGGGAATTTCTTGTCTACTAGTAGTTTGAAGTCATTCCTACTCCGTGTTTACTGGCCGAGATGTTCACCGAATAGATGCCTTGGGAGGAGATAACTTTCCAAGTGATAATTGATCAGATATCGAGCGGGATGAAAAATTATTGAATTAATAAAACAACTATTAAAAAATAGAGGGTGATAGTAGGGTGTCCTAATATTTCTGATCTGTATACATCTACAGATCAGAAAATAACGCGTAAGAAATTAATTAAAAGGTACATACCTTCATTAAAGAAATAAAATAAAATGTTATGGCTGGATAAGGGTCATTGAAGGGTATGAAATATAGGTAGTAACCGATCTTAGACTTACTGCATATTCAGTAGTAGTACATATAATTTTATAATAGATCGAACCATTTGGAGGAGTTTGGAAACTATTATTGTGACACGAGCCTGGTTTATATTAGATTTATACACAAATGTTGCTTAGCGTAGATAAAATTCACTTACCAAATTTATTCAGTAACAAGAATATTACTGCAAAAAACGGAGTCATTGATAACGTTACAGTACTTCTGTTGTTTGTAACCAAAAAAACTTGTATATATTGCATTTGATAAACCATAATTTATATGTAAATATATATAAATTATAGAGTATAGTAATTAAAAATGTTTTTCGATAAGGAAATTGGAATAATAGTATTAAGTAAGTTAATTTTTCCCACTCCTACTCCGAGAAACCGGAGAATACATGTATAGAAAAAATAATTTACTTGATGATTTTGCCTCCAAAGCCAAAATAGGTCGACAGCGCACTATTTTAAAAATCCATAGACTTAAGCAGAATGCGATTTTGTGTTGCGTGAACTTTTCACATCTTTGGACGCTGGCTGACCCGGGCGGAATGTCGATATTCCTACCACCCATTGAATATCCAGATTTACAGACGAAGTCCAACACGTTTCAAGAATAGTATAATTTATTTTAAAAAAGTCTGAATCCGGTGGGGATCGAAACCACCCAATGACTACTGTAGCTAAGTTCTGTACGTAGAAAGAAATGAATATAGGCTGTACTCAGGCGACACAAAAATGAAGAGAGTAAGGCAAACCGTGCACTACAAAGACTACTAAAAAGCTGGACCGGCAAAAGAAGGCTAAAAAAACATCAAGGATGTCTTGCGGTTCAATCCTTAAATTGTAAATAGTTCTAGAATTAAGTTAAAAATGTAAACAAGGAGGTTGTACAGGAATTACAGTTCGAAACGTATAACGTTAACGACAGCTGTAGTCGGCTAGTTTCGCCAAATACCAAATTCGACGGAACAAATGGCGCTACAGTAGAAATTTTTACTTTGACTCCAGAGACATCTTCCATCTTTAGTATCTCCGTGACCATGCCTGCTGCAAAGCATCCGAAACGTCCGGCCGAAGTTAAAAATAATTTTCAAACATGTTTAACCAATATATATCGCGTATTAAACGGTTAAAGTGTTTTATTTTAATGTGTAGTACTGGCGTATACTGCGGCCAGTATTTAGAGCTGTAGTGTTTACAGCTTTAAAAGTAAATGTAGAGTTTGTGTTAAAGTTGTAAAAAGTAAATGTTTAGCAAGTTAGCAAGATAACCAAATTCAATGAGTGCTGTTTTGCAACTGATTTATTTAATATAAATGTAATTTTTAGATAATTTACAACAAAAGTGGAAAAAGTAGAATCCTTACAAGCTAATACAACATTATGTTGCACTCTGACATAGATTATGATTTATACAAGCTTTGCTATAAAATAATATTTAAAAAAATATATGGGCGTTTCTCCGTACAGATGTGTGTGTTTTTTAAATTCTATTTACAATCACTTTGTCGATATAGTCTCATTGATCCAGTCAAAGAAATACGCAACACTTGTATACACGTCGCCATAACCTTCACCGCATGGAACGCCGAAAGAAACGATTCCTATTTGTGTCCTTGTACCGTCATTCTTTGTGCTATTGTCTCCTAACACAAGAGGACCACCTGAATCACCCTGAAAGATAGTAATAGAAAATTTCAGGTCTGTTTTTTCATCATCTTATTGATCTTTAACCAAAGAGTCTGCTCATATCTGCTTTATATTTTCAAAGCTTATCTCTGGGATTCAACATCCCAATTGGTTCTTATAATAATCAATCTTTTAAATAAAACACTTTAACGCTAAACTTTAAGATGAAATAATTTTTAAATAAGTCAAAATAATATATATCGCGTTTTAAACCGTTAAAGTGTTTTATTTAAATGTGTACTACTCGCGTCAACTACAGTATTTAATGATAAATCTCTTTATTTGGCATTCATTTACTACATCCATCATTAGTAGTAGAAATAAATGTAATTACAATAAAATGATTAATGCAAAAAGATTAAATGTAATATGAAGAAAACTGATGCCAAAAGGGTCTTGCGTAAACAATGCAGCACAGTTATGCTACAGCACTGATTTTCAGCAAACCCCTACTGTTCGTCTGTTAGACAGCGCTTATACAACCATTTGACTTAAGCGGGAAACATTATTAAATAATGAATTAGTAACTACTGCTTAAATAGGAGGGCGAAGTTCTTGCGACCAACCTGTCGTTGGTAGTTAAAAATAAAAAATGCTTTGTCGGATTTTTTAGAGCCAAATAAACTATTATAGCTAATACTAAGAGCCAACTTGTGGGTAACACGTGGCATCATACCGGGCAAGCACCATGTTGTTTACCAGCCAATGTACAGATCTGGGTATTATCCAACGGGTAAACTTCAGACAATTGCGAATAGTTTCTGTTGCATTGTTCTCTTGAGAGCACGGTCGTGTATAAGACTTGCAACTCATCTGGGGCGGTTCTCTTTCTCTAAAAGAAACAGAATTAGAAACTATGATGATCCAGTATTGATTGTAATATACGCGAATGGTTGGAGATCAGAGACGGTGGTTGGAGAGTGATTTCGAACCACCTTTGAATATCTTTTAAACTATATATATTAATGTTTTCTTTTGACTCTGAAAGTGTGTGATATTTTGTATTTATTCCATGTCTGGGTTCTAATCTCTGGAAACAGTAAATTGTTTCAAACATAAACTTTAAAATTATAATAGAAGTGAAAATGGTAATGTGTTAGCCCCCATACCCCATTTTTTTATTTACGACTCAGTTTAAAATAGTTATAAATTATGGAATAAGACACGGAGAATTGGCAGATCAACAACTCTGTGTCTTCGAATGACAGTTGTGTCTTCGAATGACAGGTGTGTCTACGAATGACAGGTGTGTATTCGAGGAACAGCTGTGTCATTTTCCTTTTTTTAATACTCACGAAATTTGTATATCCCCATCCTGTCAGTATGGCTTTTGTCACCGCCCTTTGGAGCTTCCTTTGCTAAATCAACAGGTTTTATTTTGTCCGTGAAAGTGATCTGATTCATAACCTTACAAACTGTTATGTCGTTTTTCACGGAGGTCGCATTGTATTTTCTTTTGAAACACTCCTGAAGTTGGTACCTGTCTCCCCCAGATGAGATGGAATTTGTCCCGACCACGGCTGTGACATTGCTTACTTCTACTCTGTAATATAAAAAAAATAGTACGAGATTAAACGAGAATGAATTCAGTATTTAAAATAATGAAAATCCAACGAGTTGATAAAAACCATTCGCATAACTAAAAAGTGTGTGTATTAAATATACATACACACGTAATATATACACAAAAAGCATACAAAATACACTGTTGCTTACAGAAGTAAAGGAAATGCCGTGGTCACTATATCTAAGGATTTTAAAAGCGTCTATAATGCTTTTGAATTGAACAGTTTGAGATTAGAAATCAAACCTATATTTTTAATTAAAAATCAATAATAAATGGAAAAAAAGGATGCTCTGAGCAACAGCACAGAACGTTGAGGATGCCGGTTCAAGTCCTGCCATGGTCGTAAATTTTTAGTGTAGTCATCAATAAAATGTGAAAAACATTAAACTTTTCAAACTATATCTTTGTGTGTTAAGCGACTTAATATTAAACTAAAGACCGCAATATTCTCATTTCGGTGGCAGATAATTTACTTAAGCAATAAATGGCGTTGCAACTCGCCAAATTAGTTTAAGATCTACGTTAGGAATTACTCTTCTGTGCAGTGCGTGGCAGTCAAAATCCACTTCTCGTTAAGAATTGAGCCTCCGCAGAAGTGGAAGTTCTTTCCATTGCTCTTTGTCTGAAGGGAAACTTGGTACGGAGCAAATCCTTCTGGGGCTGTTTGACCACCAACGATACGGGTCTCAAAATCTGTGCCTTCGGCACGACGGTCTCGAGAGCGCATTATACGGGCATCGCCTGTACACAACAAATTGCCAAAATATTAAGGACTAGCTGAATCAGCGACTTCGTACGCGTAGAATACCTATTTTGGGTATCAATTTTTGTTTTTGCAAGCCTCCTGTTCAACTCTATAAATTTAAGCTGTCCACGACGCAACCGCCTGTCATTCTTCCAAGAGAATATTACAGGATAGATATATACTGAATTCTGTTAGATCATTTAAAGAGAAATCATTCTTTTATACATAACATCACGGTTTGTCTTATGACAAACCAAGGACTTTACGAAAGGTGGGTTTATACGAGTGCGTAGCTATTGATTTTAACTCCTCTTGGGCCCCGGCCAAGAAAAATACAAACTCATGTTGGAACGCATCAAAACAAATTTGTTAGGCATGTACCAAAGAATTATCCATTTTATCCTTTAATGTATCCGACTCTTTCTGTATTAGGCATGGTCGGATACAATGAATTGAAGGTACGGAGGGACTTATTCCTTGTGATAATCTAGTAAAAGTATTAGTAGAACCCAGGAGTTTAAGTCCTTACACTTGTAGTGCGGACCGAACGGTTAGGCGATTACGACCACCGTTACTTGCGCTACCGTACTCACGCACCAACTTACTGATGAAACCCCTCTTCGGTATGCGTGATATCAACAAGGAGGAGGGGATCGACATTTTTAGGTGTAGCTTGGGTGAATTGACAAAAACATCACTCCATGAAATATGTATTAAATAATTTATCGAATGGACATTGTTCTGTAATGTTAGAATATTTTTATAATGTAATAAATAAATAAATAAATAAATTTCCCGCTATTTGTTTGACGCTATTCGTTACGGCGATATCTTTTATAGTCTATAGTCTTCTTCGATAAATGCTCTAACCAACACAAAAATATTTTTTCATTTCGAACTCGTAGTTCCTGAGATTAGGGCGTTCGAACAAACAAACTCTTCATCTTTTTATATTAGTATAGATATAGATTGTAAGCATAGCCAAGTCATGGTTTAAGCACGAAAAGTCCTGCCTCCTACCGCTTGAAGAGATGGAAAATTTTAAGTAAATTGACGTAAATATTTATTCAAATTCAATGTCATTAGAAAGTAAATAGTTCCATCAATAACATGCCCTAGAATTAATTACTATGTAAATTATATGAAAATTATATCTTCAAACAATAAAATTAGACATCACCGTGAACGTACCAGCGTTTGCACGTGACTCTTAGGCTGTGGTCTCCTGGCAACGCTTAATGAAGCTATCAGCTTTATATATTAGTATAGATAGATATACATACTATAGTCAATTATTCCTACATAATAGTAATAGGATAGTAGTATACTGTACTAATATTAAAAAGCTGAAAAAAATAAATTGTGTAATCCTTTCACGGCCATCGTTCAGCACATCTCTCGGGCTGTTCGGCCGATGTGAGCGAGAAGAGGTTCTCGACGTTTCGCCATCACGTGTGGACGGCATCATTAGGAGATGTTGACTCTTTGATTTTAATTATAATCAGAAGTGTTTTATAAATCATTCAATGGGGAATACAAGAGTTTCTGTAGAGTGCGCTGCGAAAACGGCTCAAGAAACCAAAAAAAAAAAAATACTACAAAAAAAATATTTCCTCTTTTGATGATCTAAAAAAATGTCCGCGACAAAATATGTATATCTTTTAATTTAAAGATGGCAAAAAAGAGGTGGGGGGAAAAAGCTAGTATTTTATAAAGATGCCAAAATTTTGACGCCCAAAATTACTATTCTAAGCAGAAGAAGTCGCTGACACAGCTAGTAATAACATAAATAGAAATCTAAACGGTAAAAAATTCGAATAATACGTTACTTACCATATTGTAGGCTCAAAAAAAATACAGTCAGTGTAAGCAAGAGAGCACCCATTTTGATCCTTATGCTGCTTCAGCACTCACACTCGTATTTATTAAGTGATAAGAGTTATTGAATATGTAAATACAATATTAATTTATTGATGATAATGTGCTTTTGATAAGCACGTTATTGCTAAACGTTTAACAAAGTGTAAAACATATTTAAAAGTTTATTGGTTTACTTTTAACAGATAAATATTTTATACATGTACTGTTTCTTTGTTTAAATTTTAATTTACATCGATAGAAAATATCGCTATATAAAAATATTAGTTGCGCCAGCGACTTCGTCCGCTTAGAAAAGTAGTTTTGGAAAATTATACTCGTAGCTGCTATCCACGACGTCAATCGCGTCCTGTCGTTCTTCCAAGTTAATCTTGATAGATAGACATGTTTTTAGATCATTTGAAGAGATATCATTATTTTTTATAAATTTTTCGGTATCTAAATCCGTTTTTATAGTGCACGCAACATCATTTATGAGAGTTGAATAATTTTCCTCGTTTATTTCACATTTCCACCGTCCAAAAAGCTGAAGAGCTTGTTTGTTTGCGACGAACTGAAGATAGATCGTGTCCTAATGTCAAAGTAAAAATCTGCTACGCTAGCGCCATCTGTTCCGCCGTATTTGGTATTTAGAGAAACTGGCTGGGTCCTTGCAGAACTGATTAATGGTGTCCTATTATGTTGGTAGGACCACACTAATTCCGAATTAAAATATATTGTAAAAAAGTGTTTAATTTAAATGTGTACTACTCGCGACACTACTCACTAAACTGAGACAGTACTCAATTTCCTAATTACTCATATTAAATTTCATGGAAATCGGTTAAGCCGTTTTAGAGGAATATGCTCACTAACATAATGACGTAAGAATTTAAATACAGTTTTTTATGTCTAGGTAAAACACATAACGTGGCTAATAAACTCAATTATATTCACTTTCTGACTTTTAAATAAATTATGGATCTTATTACTACACCACATTATCAATTAATTTAAATAAGGCACATTTCTATAAAATTCAATTTGCATTAATTATTATGAGAATAATTTAACGGACTCGTTGATGAAATGGTAGCCATGTATCGATGGATCGCCTGTTCGATCACCGCCGGGTCCAACATTTTTTATCAATTTATAATTATTTTCAAACATGTACTTCGTATAATGCTCTTTTGTACTGCATCTGTTTATTCGCTATTCATAAGTAATAAAAAAATTGGATAATCCATACATCTTGGATCCTGGACGATAGAGACAAAAAATTACTAATTATTTTTTTTTGTAAAATATAATATTAATAATAATCTATTTTATCTACTCTCTCTCCGTCCCACAATTTTTTTCTAGGTTCTGACTCCTCATAGGAGTTTAACATTAAATGAAAGCAAAAAGAGAAACAAACTCTTTAAGAACACGCCCACATCTTTATAATTCCCTTGGATATATTTGAAAGTTTTAAACAATTGAAAAAAGTAACTCTAGTCAAATTATTGTTACATCATTTACTCGTTCTCTTCCATAGTTTCCTTAATCCATTCCTTGTAGTAAAAGACGTTGGTGTTCACGTCAGGATTTTTCATGCTGTCACCACATTCGGAAGTTCCCCACGACACCAAACCTGCTAGTGTCTCTTTATTTACCAATGGACCACCAGAGTCACCCTGAAATATGACATAATTATTTTGTTGACACTTGCTTTTCAAAAAATATTTTGAAACCACTACCAACAGCTCAAATATTGGCAAAGGCTTGTTTACGTTATTGCAATCCAAAAGCCATGTTTGGAAGGGACCAGGTAATATAGTCTTCAAGATATATCCTGAAGCTGTAAGAGAGTAAAATCAAACAGACCAGCACAGTATTGATCGCCTACATATACCAGTCTTGAAGCTAGAGTGACCTTGTTAGATTCTGAAGTAGATCGCTAGCTCATAGAATTGCTCACTAGTCCAGTGATAGTGTTCCATCCAGGACCGGAAAGATAGTCACAATACCTGACAACTGCCTTCGTGAGGCGGTGCCTCTGTGCAGAGATTTGATTCGCGTACTGGTGTCTTGAATAATGCATACTTCAGTTGACATTCTAATAAAGTAGTTGCAGTTACATTAACCACTTGTAATTTGTTCGGGATTATTCCACCGTTCTGAAACCAAAATTATAAAATACTTAATAAACAAAGGAAGAATGGAATACTAATAATAAATAAAAAATAAATAAAAAAAATACTTCTATCAACATCGATGGAGGGTGTTGTAACATTGACACCCTCCCACTGGGTACACAAATGTTATATTGTATTTTTTAAATAGCTTAGCTTTTAGACACTGGGTTAGAACTATACATCTATAGGGTTCTAGTTCTGGAGAGACTGATTGTTTTTCTTTGTTAGAGGAGGACAGAAAATCATGAGATTCACTTATATAGTTTTATTGTTTAACAAATAGCGGACTAAAGAAATATATTACCTCAGTCCTACCCCAGCCACTAACAGTTAACGTGTCACCAGCTTGCGTCTCCTCTGTTGGCAGAGCTATAGGCTGTACCCTTTTATTAAATTCAATGCCTTTATTTATTTTAATCAAGCTTATATCGTTCGTGACCAGCTTCTTATCGAAGTCAGGGTGTATTATCACTTTGTCCGGAACATATTTCTGACCTCCAGCGTTCAGTAAATTGATGCCAACCACGACTTTGAAGGAGTCTGCAGCACGGCTAAAAAATATATTTTATATAATAAAAAAATAATTATATAAAAAATCTATACTAATATATAAAGCTGAAGAGTTTGTTTGAACGCGTTAATCTCAGGAATTCTGGTTCGAATTGAACAAATATTTTGTGTTGGTTATACCATTTATCAAGGAAGACTATAAAACATCGCACTGCAATTAATAGGATCGAAGAAATGGCGGGAAATGTGGGTTTCGGATGCGTACGCTGCAAAAACGGTTTAAGATATTCAGATAATGCATAAGAAAGAAAGATATCTCTTTAAAATGTAAAAAAGATGACGATGACACTTTACCTCTATCTACTATGTCTATCTTTTAAGATTAACTTGCAGGAATGACGGAACGCGACTGACGTTGCGGATAACTAAAATCTATGAAGATCAAGAGGAGGTTTGTAAAAATATATTTTGAAGACCAAAATTAACTATTCTACGTGGACGAGGACGCTAACAAGGTTAGTTATGAATATTTACTATGTAAGAATTAATTAATCTTTAAAAATAATTCAAAAAAAAGATTGCAGGAGTCATTGACACGGGAGGACGACGACTGATGTGTTGAGGTTCAATGTTTTCTAATTTACGACGTACGAGGTAATGTTAAATATTCAGTCTTAATTTAGTACTATTTAATTGACTATAGTCTAAAGAAAGTAGCGCTTCCCTTGAGGTAAATAACCTCACTAATAAATTTAAGCATATTATAGATGCATTATAGTTTAATAAATAACTCTTTCAACGATTCAAAGACCGCAAAATAGAATATATAAATCTATACTGATATATAAAGCTGAAGAGTTTGTTTGTTTGAACGCGCTAATTTCAGGAAGTACGGGTTCGAATTAAAAAAAAATCGAAATGTTCGAATTCTTTTTGTGTTGTTTAGAGCATTTATCGAGGAAAGTTATAGGCTATAACACATTGCGATGTGACTAATAGGAGCAAAGATACAGCGAGAAATGTGAACAAAACGGGGGATTTTCATCTCTGTAGGTTTTAGATGCGTATGCTGCGAAAACGGTTCGAGATACCTTCAAAATGTGTATGAAAAAATTATTCCCCTTTAAATGATCTAAAAAAAAAACACGGCGCTATAAGTCTATTTTTTAAGAATAATTTGCAAAAACAACCCGAACGACGGGACGCGTACGACGGGATGCGAATATCGTGGGTAACAGGTATCTACACTAATATTACAAAGAGGAAAGATTTGTATTTTTGTATTTTGTATGTAATGGATAAATTAAAAAAGTTCTGGGGTGATTTTAATAATTCTTTCTTCATTAGACAGCTATATTATCATTGAGTAAAATAGACTCTACTTAGTACTAGATTACGATAGAAATCTTTTGAAATTTCTATTAAGAGCAACGGGATGTGTAAAAAAAATTTGCCATAATATGTCTTTCATCTCATACGCTGCGAAGAGTATTACTCAAAGGACAAAAAAATGTTCGACAATATTATAGAATATATCAATATCTACAAAAAACATCGTAACTATAACTAATGTTTTACTTTTAACAAATTGATAGAAATGCCGAACAAAATCAAACCATGTTATCCACCCATTTATAAATTCTTATTTAAATTATAGATTCTAATAATATTATAAATGCGAAAGTAACTCTTTCCGTCTGTCTGTCTGTCCGGCTTTAACTCCGAAACTACTGAACTGATTTAAATGAAATTTGGTAATTTGATATTTTAGAGCCTGAGAAGCCTGAGGCTACTTTTAACGTTGATGAAAGTTTGTATAGAAATTCGTGGTTTTTGAATCAAGAACAATGAAACTTACTTCTTTGGCTTTTTGGGAATAGGAGTGGGAGTGGGGGAAGTGAGTGTAGGAATGGGAGTGGGAGTGAGTGTAAGAATGAGAGTGGGATTTAGAGAAGAAGCGATGTGAGGTGAGAGGGTTGCGTCAAAGTAGCACTTACCATAGATTGGCTCCCTTAATTGCGCTCTTATATGAATTAATAAACAGCCTAAATAATTAAAAGTTTTACCCCAAGTCACTGTTCCACGCGGACGAAGTCGCGGGCACAGCTAGTGCAATAAAAATTATTATCTTTCTAACTACGACTACCAGTTTTGGGATGTTTTACAGCAGCCATAGAGGGCCTATTTAAAGAACATTATTTCGCGTTTTACACCGTTAAAAGAGATTTTTTGTGCACCACTTTAGTAAACATGGCAGTACAAATTTTTATAACTTTTACCCTAGATTGTTACCTTAGATAAGAGACGAAGGTAATGCTATAAGATCAGATATCAGACTGAAGTTAAAGGTCAATATATGTATTAAAAAAATTTCAACAATAAACGATAATAATTTGATGTTAAAAAGAACTTATAACACTTACCCAGTAGTACAATGAGCGGCAGTGATAACCCACTTCTTATCTATAACGGAGGCACCGCAAAAATGGGAACCCAGGTTTTGTAAAGAGACCTGGTATTTGATGGATCCGTCTGGAGCATCAGTACCACCGAGGATCTTGTCATCTCCTTCTGGTAGCAGGCTAAATAGCGATTCTGGATGTAACATAAGATTTATGATGAAAGTATGATTAGGAAGTCCAGTATGAGGTTCTCTTGCCGGTTCTAATATTCTTGCCTAATATCTCCTACTTAACATGAGTTGTGTGCCCTAAACCTGATGGGAGTCGAATTCCTGAACCATTAGTTGATAGCCTAACATAGCTTAACCACACCGACGACGACTGAAACCAAAGCCGTAGACACTCGTAACAGGTCGCGATTCGCGCCCGCCGGCACCGATCGTTCGCGAACGCGATGTCATTTGTTCGTAAAAAAAGACAAAGTGTTTTATACCAAAGACACAGTTATTTTTTCAATTATTTAAAATAAGTTATAACTTTTGTGAAACCATAGCAACCTAAGATTAAGTATTTTAGCTTTCCAATTTTTTTTTACTTAAAGAGAACATTTGATGGAGAGATCTAGGCGAATCTATTTTAATGTCCCGTATAATTGTGAGATATGATGTAGACCCAATCCTGTGTCTACTTTATTATTTGGCTTGGTTCGCTTATTCTAAAGTAAAAAAAATAAAAACTTACCCGCTGAAGAATAAATAACAAACACAAGTATATATATGCTCACGTAAAACATTTTCGAAGTACTTGTTTGTAAAATGATCGGCAGACTGATTATAATTTTAAACTCCACAACTTATAACATTGTGATAGAATATAATTGTTTTTTTAACCTTGAATTTCTTTTTGTTTAATTAGCTACTTGACGTGTTAGTATTTGTAAAACATTTCGCTAGGGTGTGGCTATATATATATATATATATATATATATATATATATATACACACAGAGAACATTTTTATGTACTTATGTATTTTTATCCTCGGTACTTTACTACTAGAATGTTCTAATTTAGACATTTATATAAAACTAGCTGTGTCAGCGACTTCGTCAGTGAGAATCGATGTTTTGGACATCCAAAAATTCCATTTTGAAAAAACCTTCATCTTTATAAAATTAAGCTGTTACCCACGTATCGGTCGCGTCCCTACCCTTGGTTCTTGCCAGTTAATCTTAAGAGATATGCATATAGCTTTGCGGACTTATTTATAGATCACTAGCTGTCCTGGTAAAAGTTGGTTTGCGGAGAGGAAAAATGATTAAATTACTAAAATGGCTATTAAAAAATAAGGGTTGATCATAGAAGGGTGAAAATTGAGTATTGTATGTATTTTGTATGTTCTATCATAAAAAATAGAAATAAAAAAATTTGTCTAAAAAATAAATAAAAAAAATTTAGGGGTGGGGACTACCCCTAACATTTAGGGGGATGAAAAATAGATGTTGGCCGATTCTCATAGATACCGGATAAGCACAAAAGATTTTATCAAAATCGGCCAAGCCGTTTCGGAGGAGTTCAAGTTCGAACACCGTGACACGAGAATTTTATATATAAGATTTAAAGAGGAATCATAGTGATGAATAATTTTCCAATTTTTTTTCACATTTCTCGCTGTATCTTTGCTTGTATTACACATGGCGATTTTTTATAGCCTATAGCCTTCCTTGATAGATGCTCTAATAAAAACAAAACTAATTTTTCAATTCGAGCCTGTAGTTCCTGAGATTAGCGCGTCCCAACGTACGAACAAACAAACTTTATATATTAGTATAGATATAATTAATTTGTACAGTAGTATCTGTAGTTTGAGTTTGAGTTCGAGTAGTACATTAAAACAGTATAAACTGTTTGAAACGCGAAATACATGGGTATTTTTTGATCCGACGTACACAAGCAAAATTTTACATTATATGTATTCTTTATACAGGACATAAAACCAGACCCAATTGTCTAGAATTACATTCTTGACGCCTTAATGGATATAACGATTATGATAACGTTTAAGAAGGAATTAAACTTTCTTTTGTAAAGGTGGTGTAGGTATGTGATAAATAAGAAATAGTTGTTGAACTATTGTTGTTACTTATTAAGATAAATAATAAGGTCCAGGACGGAAACTAGTATAGTGAAGTAATGTAAGTCTAAGGCTGCGGTCGCCTATAAACGCTTTTCACCTCGTAGAGGGTAAAGCGTAAACTACTTGAAGTCGCAAATCATAGGCTGCGTATAATGGTAGTTTTAAAATACAGTTTCAACGAGTACTGTTATAGTTTTTGCGAGTAGGACGCATTTAAATAAAACACTAACGGTTTAAAACTCGAAATATATTTGTTAACTTATTTATATATTTTTTCCATCCATCTCTTCGGGTGCAACGTTATAATAGTAATAAGTTTGACTCGCAGAAGTAGGAAGCGGAGAGGGCGAGGGAGACTGCTCCCGATGCCCCGACGAAGGAGATTTGGACGGCGCCGGCGCAATTACGCCCGGCGTCCGCCGTGACATCGGTTTCAGGACCGATCTAGGAGACGTGGACATTAACCGACCACGTAGGGCGAGCCCTACCCCGAGTAGAGGAAACACGTTCGGCAGACAACACGGGCACGTGCATTCGGGTCAAGGGCAACTAACCGCCCGGTCGCGTCCGGCAAGTCTCCCGTAAGCTCTTGGAGGTTTAGTGGGTAGTGGCCAAGCTGGCTGTCCCCAACACTGCCCCCGCCACATAATGTGGCCAGGCGGGGGCGTCGGTGAAGATTCGAATCCTCCAAGTAAAAAAAAGGTAAGTGTTGACAGAAGCCCACAAATTTTTCTTGTTTCTATATATCTCTGATAAAGTCCTATAAAAAAATATATCGTGCTTGACTCTTCTTTTTCATGACGGGAGACCACAGCCTAAGAGTCACGTGCAAACGTTGGTACGTTCACGGTGATGTCTAATTTATATTGTTTGAAGATATAATTTACATAGAAATTATTTCTAGCGTATGCTATTGAAAGAACTGTTTACTTTCTAATAACATTGAATTTGAATAAATATTTACGTCAATTTACTTAAAATTTTCCATCTTCTTCAAACGGTATTTGGATTAGAAGGCAGGACTTTTCTTTAAACCAAGGCATGGCTATGCTTACAATTAAGCAACGGGGCTTAATACCTTAATGCGTATGTATTAAGGTTAAAATTACATTGCGCAAGAGAACCATGAATGTTGAAGAAGTTCGACGATAATAATTGGTTCGAGCACCTGGGATCGCAATGGATGTCCTTTCAAGCGCCGCCCGTGGCACCAAGTTTTTTATAATCTAAATAGATTTTAATTTAAGTCACAGAAGTTAAAACAAGACATTTGTCTAAATTAAAACTAAGATTTCCAAAATGTACTCTAGATAAGAACGATTTATTATCGACATGCCTGGACGGTAAAACACATTTTGCTACATCCATTTGGCATCGAACCCACGACGGGGAACAAACAGTATTAACTTGATCAACGAATATGTTAAACAGATGTTTTATAATATCGACATATTATGATGACTAATTTTATTGGCAAATATTTTATGTAACTACTTTGTTATCGTGGAAACAAGAGTTTAGTTCAAATTTTAATTGTTTTTCGAATATTGTTTTTATGTATTAAAATATTTCTTTTCCTTGTTTTATATATAAGTGTAATGTAAGTGAAACAAAGCTTGACATTTGTAGATGAAATTTAAGATACAGAAACAAGATTCAGTGTATTGAACAAGATTTAAACAATGTAGTAAGTTACTCTACGAGACACCTGCAGCATGTGAGACAACTGATTTTTAATTGCGATGATACATTTTTTATTTTTGTCTTTTCCAGATTTAATTCTCTTGCACAGTTTTATTAATCCAATCGAGGTAGAAGAAAACGTTTGTGTTGACATCTGGGCTTATTCTGCTAACACCGCAATTGGAGATACCCCAAGAGACCAAAGCAGCCAGGGTTGAATTATTGACTAACGGTCCACCGGAATCACCCTGAAATATAATAGATCATTTAAACAGCTGTTATATATATATCGTTTTGCAGCATAGGCAAGGGAAACCCTTAAAGATGAATAATTTTCCACATATCTTCGGTCTTATTGGTGGTAACGTTATGTTTAATAGCCTAGGTTGACAAGAGCCCCGGCTTACCTAATCCTAGGACCCAAGAAAGAATCGGGCCCGCATCCCCTATTTTAGCCTAGCTTGAATTAAATGAACATCCAAAATTATATTTAGCAACAAGAACGTTAAAAATTCTTTTTTTTTACCCTTTTTCTCAAAGATAAGGTTAGATGACCCTTAAGTGTCGGGGCCCTGGTGCACTGCACCACCTGGCTCTACGATAGCTACGTCACTGAGTAGTCCCCGAGACTAGCGCGTTCAAACAAACAAACTCTTCAGTTTTATAATATTAGGATAGATGTGTTACGTGTTTATTTTTTTTTTAATTTCAGGTAAGGTGGCACTTACTTGACAACTCCCTTTTTTGTAAGGCGCTTTCGTACAGAGATTAGATTGTAATATAGGTGGTTTGAACAATATGTACTTGACTTTACATTCAAATTCCGATATCGCAGTTACGTTGACAACTTGTAGTTTGTCCGGGATGGGGCCACCGTTCTGGAATAAAGCAATATTAATTGTGAAATCTCGCTTCCCCAGTGGGGCATGGGGCTAACATTTTAGTCCTCGTTTTACTCATAAATTATATATTTACAGGCCCATTTACAAATTATATTTCACATTCAACCATAAAAAGTGTTTCTAAGTGTTAGTGTACCATGAACACAACACAAAACTCTTTAACGGTTTAAAACGTATTTTGCGTAGTTAAATTTATTTGAAAATGATTCCCCATTATTAGTCTTCCCGTGACTACGGCTGCTACAAAGCATCCGAAACGTCGGGCCATAGTTAAAATAATTTTTAAATAAGTTTAACTAATGTATATCGTGTTTTAAACCGTTAAAGTGTCTCATTTAAATGTGCACTATTCGGGTAAACTACAGAGAGTATTTGAGCTGTTGTTAATTTTATTAAAAGTTACATTTTTAAGGGACAAAAGGTGGTCAGAAATAGAACACTTACTTGCGTCCGTCCCCAGCCACTAACGACTAAAATGTCTCCAGGTCTGGTTTCTGCTTTAGCTAACGCTATAGGCTGTACTCTGTCATTGAAATCTATGCCTTGAGCTATTTTGATAAGGCTTATATCATTTACAACCAGCTCTCTGCTAAAATTTTGATGCATTATCACTTTGTCTGGTACATATTGTTGGCCTTGAGAACTCAGTAAGTTTATCCCGACGACAACTTTGAAGGAATCGGATGCCCTCCTGTTGGAATGAATGCATGCAATTTTAATATAAAAGAAAGGATTTTTAGCATTCGGTTGCCGGGTCATGAGTTCGAACCCCATTGGGTCCACAATTTTTTCTTAAAAACGGATGTTCTACTTGACTATTGGACAATTACATATGCATATATAAAGCGCTTGTTTACTTTGTTACTGTGAACTATGTGTTCCACCAATCGATTATAGAGTATGGCTAATCTATACAAATATCATTAAGACGAAGAGTCGTTTTGTTTGTTTGTTTGAACGCGCTAATCTCAGGAACTACGAGTTCGAATTGTAAAATTCCTTCTATGTTGGTTAGATCATTTGTCGAGGATTACACATCGCGCTGTGAATATGTTAACCTTAAAAGATAGACATATGGCGTCGCGGACTTTTTTTATAGATCATTTAAATAGGAATAATTCTGTCATACATATTTTTGGGGTATCTTGAACCGTTTTTGCAGCGTACGCCTCGGAATAATTTTCTCAACATTTCTCGTTACATCGTCGCTTGTATTATTCACAGCGCGATGTGTTAGCCTTCCTCGATAAATGATCTAACCAAGAAAAAAGAATTTTACAATTTGATCTCGTAGTTTCTGAGAGCTAACCCTGCAGCTTTATATATTAGTATATATAAAATTGGAAAAACTAATTAAAATAATATAACATACATAATATGGAATTTGTTATCTACTACATTAATATATTTTTTTAAGTTTTTAAAATCGATGTCACTCTAACCGGTAGTTAACCTCATTGCTTAAAACCTAAATAGATTTTTAAGCTATATATCATGTAATAATAAGTGAAGGTAATATGTTAACCCCAAATTGGGGACCAAATAAAAATATTCACATACTCGTAAGTGCAATGCGCAGCAGTCAAGACCCAATTTTTATCTATAACCGAGCCACCGCAAAAGTGTGATCCCAAATTTTGTAAGGAGACCTGGTATTTGATGGCGCCATCTGGCGCGTCATCACCTCCTAGGATCTTGGGATCCCCATATGGTAATAGTTTGAGAGACCCTGAAATGTACGATAATACTTATTGTTTATCTTTTACGCCACGAGAGTTTCAACGGTGCTGATTAGAAATTTGGGTTTGATTTCCGGGAGGACTTGTAGCAATTTTTTAATTTTATAATTATAAGCTACGTAAGGCACCTAACAACGTTAATAAAAGACCTGAAACAATAGGTATCATTGCAAATTACAAAATTGTCGGCGATCTTTAACGATGACCCTGTCATGTGAGTAGTACACATATAAATAAAACACTTTAACGGTTTAAAACGCGATATATTAGTGAAACTTATTTGAAAATGATTTTCAAATAAGTTTATACAATACATCGCGTTTTAAACCGTTAAAGTGTTTTATTTAGATGACCCTATTATTATTTATTTATTCACATATGAAAAACTTATTTTTCGTCCGGGTCACGGTCCACAGACGAAAAATCCGCGAACTTTAATCGCGTTTCAGCTGTGGATTTCCGAATATCCAAAGTCAAAATACGTTGCAGCGCGACAAGATACCTACTATATAAGGTTGGGGTTCCATCACTTTCCATCAAGTAAACTCCGTGCTTGTCTGTTTTCCTCTATCCTAAAAATACCGAGAATCGGTTCCATTTATATGCTCCCCGATGTGCATGTGATATCTCATACTTGTAAACACAAAGTACTTTAAATTCCAAGAAAAATATTATTAAATGCCGTACAACTGTAATTTCGCTGCCGGCTTCGAACCACAGACCTTGTGCGAGTATCGCTATACCAATGAGGCAGTCAAACCGTGATTAATTCGTGCTACTTAGACACGTAGAAAGAAATAATATATTTAACTTACCATTGCAAGAATAAACAAGAAATACAAGTAGAAAGATATGAAACATGTTCACTTAGTTTTTCTTCTCTCGACTTTCTAAAACCACAATGACAATGATAACTATATACCAAATATAATTAATTACCTTGGCCGATTAATTGCTGTAAAGCGATAGCATAAGACATGCATAGTAATTTACGCGTTTAATGACTTGAGAAATTATCGTTATTTCATATAATGCTTTACTTACAAGGTAATTGCGTATTATCAATTTGTATACTATCTGCGTTCTGTGGTTTATCCTCTTCAAACCTTTAAAATTTGTACTAATACAGTGTAAACTCTTTATAACGTTACCCTTTATAACGATAAACTCCCTATAACGTTGGAGTGAGCCCAAGTTGGTTGGTTTGCGTTAAAAGTCACATATTGAGACACTCTATACGATTTAGCGATACGCTATCCTCTATTACGAAGAAATGTGTTCATATTTTTAGACAGTAAATATTTGTTATCGGTATTATTGTTTATGTTATGTTATCAGGTAACAAAAGACTTTGAAGCTTCGAAACATCTGAGGTCGGTCCAGCTTTTGTTATCATGGCCTTGTACACGTGCAGTATGAGTCATTGAATAGAATACATAAAATAATACAAAACAAGTACTGGCATAGCAAAAAACGTCAGATGAAATTATCAGACTATATGTGTAAACAATAATTTATATGTATAACCATTTATTATCGAAGACATACATACAATTAAAACTTATTGTTAATTTGTTTTTTTTTGTTCACTCCATATAACGATAACTCTCTATAACGACAAAACAATGCTCAGTCACTTGAGTTTCGTTATAAAGAGTTTACACAGTATATAGAACTGAAGAGGTTGTTTGTTTGTTTGTTTAAACGAATCGATCGTTGAACGTTCGAATTGAAATATTTGTTATTTGAGTTGATTAAAGTATTTATCGAAAAAGCTACAGGCTTTAAAACATCTAGCTGCGGAACAGATGTTCCAGATGGCAAAAATGGGAAAAAGTAATTATCCTTGTGGGTATTTGCCGCGTACGCTGCAAAAACGTTTCGCGATACCAAAAAATATGTATGAAAGAATTATTTCTCTTCAAATGATCTCAAAAAATGTCCGCGACAGTATAGGTCTATCTTCTAAGATTAACTTACAAGAACGACGTGACGCGGGAAAATGGTGTGTAACAGTTAAAACTTATAAAGACGAGAGGAAGTTAGCAAAACCAAATTTTGATTCCCAAAATTACTACTCTATGCGGACGAAGACGTTAACGGCTAGTGTTGTAAAAAAACCGCGGTATTACTACAGTTTTTAAAAAGCGGAATTTTCATTAAAACATTTAACAGTACTAAACATACCATAAGAGATAGTCGTTATACAGGTAACAGCTGAGTTTTAAAAAATTTCAATTATTTTTTTTTACCTCAGCAAATAGAGAGTCTAGCTGATCCGCAAACTTTATTTTGCACTAAATGCGTCCACTAAATTCACTTTTTTCCTAGATTAATTATATTAAAATGTTAAATACATTGTTGGAATTTTTCTACTAACATAGTTGTAGTAGTGAAATCCCAATTTTCACTGTGGGCCATGGGACAAACACAGTTCTCTGCAAGTAGTTATTCAGGTTTAAAAAATGTATTGTCTCCCAGGGATGCATTACGTTGAGTTATGGAGTTATGGAGGCGATTGCTAACATAGTGGGTATGAGAATATAATAATACAAACAAACGTTGCACATTTGCGGAAGCATCTTTTGTTATTTAATATTCTATAAATATAACATTGTGTAGCGAACGCGCAAGACTTCAGAATTGATTTGAACAAAGCATAGTTTTACTATTAAGATAGAAGAAAGGTATGACGTTCGTATATTATATTATTCTTTAAACAAGGACGCATTCACATGGAAAGACAGAGCTGCAGATAAGTTTGCCATGTAAATGTTAGGTAACTTGAACAGTTTAAAACGCGATATATTTTAGTTAATCTTATATGAAATTATAAAACAATTTTAGAATTAAAAAAAAAACGTCGGGCCCTAGTTAGAAGTAATTTCAAATAAAATTAACTAATATATATCGCGTGTTCAACCGTTAAAGTGTTTTATTTAAATGTGTACTACTCGCGTAAACTACCAACAGTATTTCATTACGTGTATTTAAAGGAAGCATATACTATGCTATACAATGGGCTACCTACCCTACGCAATCGAATCAGAAATGAATATTCGTAGCAGAACTAAAGTCACTGACGTAGCTCTGCAACCAAGTAGACTGGGCACATCGCAAGTAAAAACGAGTGCCCTTAGGGCGAATAGATTCTAGAGTAGAGATCGCGTATCGGACGCCGAAAACGTGGATGTACAGACCACCCAAACATCATACGAGATTAGCGGTCTACCTGGTCAAGGCAGCTAGAAAACTTAAACCAAGTAGCGAGCGACCAGTTGTACTGAAAGTTTTGGGCGATGCCTTTGATAAGCCGCAGAATACAATTAAAATACTTTAAGGTGTAAAAAGAAGGAAGAAAACTAAAGCATTTTCACAAAATATCATGATAGTAATGTGAATAGGACTTTACATGTTTAAAACAGTATTTAAAGCAGTGCATTATTAGTTGCATTTGCAAATTAACTTTGTAAAATCTCTGAATTGCTCCTTCCAAAATGATAGAGTTTTTAATAGTGCTCACTTTAGCAGTTATGCGGGTCCAAGGTACTTGTTTATATTTCCGGTCAGTTATTATAAAAAGAAAGTTGTTTGTAATTTTATGTTGCACTTCACTACAATGAACTATCTGTTCAATTTAATTATCTAATAATTGCCCTTAATATAGTAAATTAAGTTTAAATCCAATGTTGTCCCACAGATTGAGATGTATTGGAGACCCAGGTCTAACGGTTTACCTCGTTGTCGTGGTTGATGAACTTCTATTTTTAAATTTCTGGGTGACTCTTTAGAAAAAAATCTGACCCCGGGACGTCGTGATCCTTAACCAATCAACGAGGCTGTCAGTCTATTATTGAATCAGCAATCACTAAAATTTCTTGCTTTCATTATTTTATTTAACTCCTCTATATAATCAATTAGCTTTTGTGATGTAATGCAATATTTCTTGTTTAGAACTTAATAAGGGCTTAATTGACTAGGTGAGAATCAAACTGACCCAGGCAAGCGAATTATTGGGGGAACAGAAGCCACTGACGGCGAGTTTCCCTACCAAGCGTCCCTAAGAGCCAACGGGGGCTCTTTTCATTTCTGTGGCGCCTCCATCATATCCGATGAGTGGGTCTTGACGGCTGCACACTGCACGAAAGCGTAGTATGTTTTTATGTTAAGCAGATATTTGAGAAACGAGATTTAATCAAGTAAACTTTATTGAGATAAAAAGAACCTTTAGTTCTTTTTATGATATAGTTATTCTGCTGTAGATGCAGGTAAAAAAGGTGTACTAGAGGGAAGATTAGGTGATAGTAGTATGTGTGCGTGAGTTTTGATTTCGATTTCCAACAACCTATTTTTTTTTTCAATTATAGCATTTTAGACACATAAACTGAAGTCTCTTATCGTAAAATGTGCATGTGTGATATCAAGTTAATCCCGAGTTTATCTGAACTTTTCTAGCATAAAAAAGATTCAGAACTTACTCAAAATGATTTTTCTTTGTATTGACAATAGAATTTCAATCTCCTGATAAAAGTAATGCCTTGCAACTTATTTAAAATACATAATCCGATTTTTTTGAAGGCCATTCTCACTCTTACCTTGGTTTTTGATTTTCTTGAGCTTTCGGTGGGTTTCAAAAAGTATTCTACTATACTATAGTACTCTTCTATATTCTAAATGTCTTATACTTCGTTTCCTTATAAAATTCGATTTTGAGCTCATGTCACTAATACTCACAGTATATAAACTTTAGAATTTTGTTCTAGTTCTAATATAGACGATACAACCGTGGTAGTGGGAACGAATAGTCGTACTAATGGCGGTACCCGGTACAAAGCGGAGAGAGTCGTCAACCATGAACATTATGATCGAAGATCACTTGAAAACGACATAGCCCTTGTTAAAGTAAAGGGCAAGATACAATTTGATGATAAAGTTCGTAAGGTCTCTCTGCCAGGCTCGAACACAGAAGGTGGATTAGATCTTGTTATTTCTGGATGGGGGTCAACTGGTGTAAGTAGACTTTATAAAATATACGAAAGTTTTATTATAAGCTGTGGTCTTACGATGATTCTATTTAGGTACACTTAAATGTGTTTTTCAAAAAAGATATGCATATAAAGAAGTATAGTAATTAAAGTTTTTCTTCGTATCTGTATACGTTGGTCTACAATCTTTCTCAGGTATTTTGGTCCTGGGCCGTCAATGGTAACCGTACGTTTGCATGGGCATGTTTAGGCTTTCAAGTTTAATCGCATTTTGCTATCAGTCTATGGATTTACGAATTCAAAGCCAAAATAGGCCCACAGCTTATCTGGTTGAGATGTTATGTGTGTTCCATGAATATCTGTCCTCCTCTATCATATAAAAATTATATTGTAATAATTTTGGCCATATTTTCAGACGAAAGCTCCGGAAAGACTACAAAAGCTGAATGTCAAATCGCTGTCGGTAAGACAGTGCCAAAATGATTTAAGAGGCTATCACGTAACAGATCAACAAGTCTGTGCTTTTAAGGCGAATAAAAAAGGAATTTGCTTCGTGAGTATTATAGCATGTTGTTTCACAAACAAAATGATTTAAAATGTTACTGTTGTATTTTGGTGCGTTGGTTGGTTCAACTGTTTGATTAATTGAATTTAAATTAAAGCGATAAATAAAAATAAAATGGAAAGGAAATAAAAAAAGAGTTTTCAGGGTGATTCCGGGAACCCCCTGGCTCATAACAACGAAGTAGTGGGAATCGCATCCTGGGTAGCTGGTTGTGCTGCTGGAAAGCCTGATGTCTACACCAGGGTCTATTCTTACCGAGACTGGATTAAGAAAACAACAGGCATCTGATCACAGTTTCTTCTTTACCAAGAATGACATTTATTTTGTTTGTTACATGGAACACATAATTGATAACTGCATTACATAATTTAAAGAATGTGTTTCATTTAGTCTTAGAAGAGATAGGAGACAGACTTAAGTTTTTTTTTAAACCAAATTAGTTATCACAGTTAACTTGAGGATGAAATAAACCAATAAACTTTGAAAAACGTTTAGTCAAGGTAGATCTTATCCTGTTATCTTAGGCATAATCAGATCAGAGATATATCAGAGGCGAATCATTAATTCAACGAAAATAAAATGTTAACTTCCTAATAGACTTTTTCCTTCCTAATAGGTGGACATATATGCAATTGACTATAGTTGACTATAGTTGCCTAAGGGCAATCTCTTAATGGTAAGCCAATAAGAGACAGAACAAGAAGAATTGTTCTATTCATTCATTTTATGCCCAGGTTGTTTTATTATCTTATCTTATACTAAAACAGCAAACTATTTGTTGATATGCTGATTAATCCAATCATTAAATAAATAAACGTTAGTGTTCACATCTGGGAAACCTTTTTCCTCGCAATCTAGACCCCACGAGACCAGTCCTTGCAGTTTGTTGTTGGCTACTACAGGTCCACCTGAGTCACCCTGAAACACAGCTGACAGTTACCTTTTGAGCTCAGGCTTCTCTGGCATGTTGAATTAAAAAAAGGAAGTTTGAGAAAATTTTTTCGACCTGGTGTTGAAATTATGGTAAAATATTTTTCATCAACTATGTCATAGCCGTACAAAGAATACACTTGGATTTTACTTGTCTCTACAATCATTCATTTCAGCGTTTTAACGGTCAGTGGTTCAAAATATAGTTTTTTTTTGTCATCCTTCTTACCTGGCAAGCACCGTTTGGTTGGTTTGAGTTTACGATAGTAGAACAAAACACTGTATCGGACACCTCGTTAATGTCTTCATAGGTTTCTTCGCAAGAGTCCAGCTCGATTACAGTTTGATTGATCATTTGTAGGTTGATCGGTGACGAAGTTTTATTACTCTGTAAACAGAGGAACGAAGCTGAGAATGAGGTGCAGGGTCTGACCGGTTTAAGACCTTCGTGTCATCGAATTGTAGACATGTTGGTAGCGTATGTGTGAACGTGGAAAGATAACATCACATTTTACATCAATCTTATTCTTGCTTATTTATTTATAGAAAATAGATTATTTCAAACAAAAATATGAATATGTCGCTTCTAGGTCTTCCATTGCTTTTTAATAACAACCACAGTTGATTTTTCACAATTATAATTTAATAAATTTGAAAACTTTTATAACAAATTATTAATTAGCCACAATAACTATCAACTTATTAACAAAATGTACGAGGATACTTGTACAAGATGTGCACTGGGCAACGCTTGTCGCAAGAATGCCCGTTCTCAAGCTAGTGCACGCCTTTTTATAACAATTTCTTCGGGTGGGGGTCGTGTGAATGTTGCCAGATGTTTGTCGTTGCCCGATGCATATCTTGTTTTAACATTAAAATAATGTTGCCGCCGTCACGGCCATGCTGACATGCGTACGTCCTCGTACGCGCTTACGGTATATTGTCTGGAAATAACATTTGAAATGTAGTTCGATCATCCTGACATTACTTTTTTTTTTTTTTTTTTTTTTTTTACTTGGAGGAATCGACTCTTTACCGACGCCCCCGCCTGGCCACATCGAGTGGCGGGGGGAGTGTGGGGGTCGGCCAGCTTGACCACTACCCACTAAACCTCCAAGAGCCCACGGGAGACTTGCCGGACGCGAGCGAGCGGTTAGTTGCCCTTGACCCGCATGCCCGCGCCCGTGTGTCCTGCCGCGCGTGTTTCCCGCGCGCGGCTCGCCCTACGTGGCCGGTTGATGGCCACGTCTCCTGGCTCGGTCCTAAGACCGAGGTCACGGCTGGCGCCGGGCGTAATCGCGCCGGCGCCGCCCAAGTCTTCTCCGTCGGAGAGCGGGGGCGTCGGGAGCAATCTCCCTCGCCCTCTCCGCTTCCTCCTTTCGCGAGAGGACGTCGGCGCAGAAGGCCTTAAAGGCCCGCCACGGAGCGTCGTCCGCGCTCCTAACTATCCCTGCCACAATGGCTGGCAGGGACAGATCCGCGCCGAATGCTCCGGCCAGGGCAGTCCTCTGACTCGCCCAGGCCGGGCATGCCTCCAAGGTGTGTTGCGCCGTGTCTGAGGCGCATCCGCAGTGATGGCAGGAGACTGTTTCCTCCCGCCGGATCCCGTGCAGGTATTTGCCGAAGCACCCGTGCCCCGACAAAATCTGCACCGCGTGGTAGGACAGGGATCCCCACCGCTTCGTCCTCAGCCACTCGGGCAGGACGGGCGCGATCGCTCGAAGCGTATGCGCGCCTACCCGGGAGGTGGCAAGATGCTCTTGCCACCGCGCAACAACAGCCCTTTGGCCGTCCTCCCTCCAATCCTTGAGGAGCTCGTAAGTGAGCTCCTCGCCTCGACTCCGGACTTCAGCCCGGCGCCAGTAAATGTCGGCTAAGGCAGCCGCCTCCAGGTGCCAGGGTGCGAGCCCGGCTATTGCGCACACCGCGTCATACGACACGGTGCGGTACGCCCATCCTGACATTACTGCTACATCATTATAACTTCCCTTACTGGACCAGATTATTATTATTATTTTTTTTTATTTTAGTTACCATAATCATCATTTTTTTTTTTTTTTTTTTTTTTTTTAGTCCCTTCAGCTTTCTAAGCTGGTCCGGACAATCTCTCTTTTTTTTTTTTTTTTTTTTTTTTTTCTGTCCCTTCAGTTTACAACTGGACCGGACCAACTTACTATCTCTCTTTTGTTTTTCCCCTTTTTTTTTTTTTTTTTTTTTTTTTTTTTTTTGATTACAAGCATTAACTTAACTTAGTTTAATTAGATCTATGTACAATGGCTTCGGTAACAATTTGGCACGGTCTTTCATGATCAATACTGGCCTCTGAATCGCTATTAATAGACATAGTATCGCTATTAATAGACAAAGTATCACTATTTGCAGTCAGAGTACTGCTACTGTCGCTGTTTGGGTGAACAGCCTCACGATCACAGTCAACCGCCGTCACGACATCATTACTACAATTTTCAGAAACTTCTAAGAATCCAGTAAGCCCTCTAGGAACCAAACGTAAATTTTCATGTGCATACTTATAGATTCTGTTGGACCCGCTTATGTGTCTTAATTCATACCGATCATTGTCTAAAACTGCTGTTATTTTAAATGGACCCTTGTATTTATGGTCAAGTTTTGATTGATGTCTTTCTTGACTTTTTACGAACACAAAATCGTCAACCGAAAATGGTTTGACAGTGGCTTTGCCTTTATTGAAACGGGACGCGTCATAATGAGATAATTTATTAATGCTATTGGATGCATTCGAGCGGGCTTCATCAAGGTCTAATCTAGTAGGGTCATGTGAACTTGTCGATATTTTTGACAATTGTAATGAGTTACCCTGAATTCCGAACATTAGCTCTATTGGAGTATATCCAGTTACTCTGCAGTATGTAGTGTTAAGAGCTAATTGAATGTCTCCCAATTGTTCCTGCCATGAATTTTCATTTTGTTCTGCAATGGTTAATAGATTTTTGAGTGTCCCCATGACGCGTTCAACCTGACCGTTAGCTCTGCTAGAACCGGTGGCAATGAGGTGTAATTCAATATTATTATCTCTGCAAAATTTTTTGTATTCTGAATTATCATAAGACCGGCCACGATCAGCAATAATACGCTTTGGTGCACCAAACAGGCAGACTACGTCTTTTATTGCGTTGGTAGCATCGAGGGAATTTAATGTAGCGGTATGTTTTAACACAACAAATTTGGTAAAGCCATCTATAATTACTGAACAATATTCTTTACGCTGGTTTTTACCACTGAGTTTACCGGTGAGGTCTATATGTATAGTATGCCATGGAGTTGTTGTTTTTGGGATTGGATGGAGACGGACTTGTTGAGCGCCTGATGGACCCTTAGCTACTTTGCAAACCACGCAAGAATCGATAAATTTCTTGACATATTTTGACATATTTTGGAACCAGTAGAGATCATATAGTTTGTTCAGAGTTTTCTCGTAGCCTAGATGTTTTATCTCGTGATGTACTTGATGTATAAGAGACCAAATCAAAGACCTTGGTATGATAGGTAGCCATTTTGTGATCCTGCCTCGCTGTATTTTTCTGTAGAGCACATTTTGTTTAATATCATACGTATGTGAGATTTCGGGACATAAAGAATTTGTTTTTAGTTTAAACATGATATCTGATATCTCAGAGTCACGCTGTTGCTCAACAGTCAACCATCCTTTTTCTAGTTCTGATAAATTTACCAGTTTCAAACTAGGTTTATGATTGGACATTTTACTGGGAGTGTTTGCATCGACAGGAGTATTACGAGACAAGAAATCTGCATGTGCCATACTCTTACCCTCTTTATAAATAATCTCGAAATCATATGATTGTAGAATAGCCCACCATCGATGTACCCTAGGTGTTAAATCCCTTTTTGAATGAGAGGCTTTTAAAGCATTACAGTCAGTAAATACTTTAAACTTTCGTCCATATAAATAGTGGCGAAAATGTTCAACTGATTTGACTACTGCCAAAGTCTCTAACTCATATGAGTGGTAACGGCTTTCCGCATCACTAGTTTTATGGCTAAAGTAAGCTACTACGTGAGGAAGATTATTTTCTCTCTGAATCAAAACCGCTCCATACCCTTCACTACTAGCGTCAGTATGAAGCTCAGTTGGTGATTCGGGATTAAAGATTTTTAAGACAGGTTCATTGGTTAGGTAATTTATAATTTGCTGATGCACCCTATCTTGATCTGAAGTCCAACTAATGTAACCCTTTGCAGAAGTGAGAGGGTAGAGAGGCCTCATCAACTTAGAAAAGTCGGGGATAAATTGTCGGAAGTATGTGGCTAAGCCAATAAACTGTCTAACCTGTGTCGCTGTTTTTGGCCTAGGAATATCCTTTAAAGCTTGGATTTTACGAGGATTTGGCCTAATTTCCCCACTCGATATAACATAACCTAGATATTCAGTCCTTTTTTTCATGAATGAACATTTTTTGAAATTATATGAAAAGCCTGCTTTGGACAGAGTGTCCAGCAGTTTGTCAAGGCGAGATAAACCCTCTTCAATAGTAACTGATGCGGATAATACGTCATCCATATAAACAAGGACTCTGTCGTCATTCAAGGGTTTTAGCGCGGTACTTATTGCTCTTTGGAAAACCTGAGGAGCATTTTTTAACCCGAATGGCATAGTAAGAAATTCATACTGCCCAGTCGGGGTGACGAAGGCGGTTCTTTCAATAGAATCCTCATGAATTTTAATTTGATGAAAGCCAGAAGCCATGTCCAAACTTGAAAAGTAATGGGCACCATGCAACTTATCTATTTGGTCATTTATCAAAGGCAGGGGGTAGCTATCCGGGCGAGTGTTACTATTAAGCTCTCTGTAATCAACACACATACGATCAGAACCGTCTTTCTTTTTTACTAATAATATAGGACTTGCAAAGGGAGACGAACTTTCTCTGATGATATTCGCATCTAACAACTCATTAACTTTTTCATTAACCACGGAGAGTTCAGTAGGGGATAGTCTATACGGTCGCCTGTGAACTGTTTTAGTGGGATCTATAAGGTCTATTTTAAGTTCGCCGGTTTTTACCCATGACGTCGGAAGTCTTTGAATAAAATAGTCTGAGTATTTCTTAAGTATAGCAAATAATTTGTCTTTGTCACTACCTACCAAATCTGTATCTACTGATTCTTCATCAAAAGTCTCTAACTTAATGCAAGAATTGGAATCTTTGGTTTCAGATATGCTTAGCCTGTCATTGGTCATATTTATGCATAGTCCCATCTCTAAAATATCGCGCCCAAGTAAAACTTCCTCACTAAGGTTCTGATCGGGAAGCACATGATACAGGACTGGCACTGTAAGATTTTCTATTGTCGTAGGACATTTGATTTGCAAGTGAGAGGAAACTGGGTTGTTGCCTATTCCTTTCAAAACGACATGTTCATGAAACTGTTCACCACCGATTCTATTACAATTACTCTGCCTAATCAGACTACACTCTGAGCCTGAGTCAAATACGAAAGATAGTTTTAAACCACTTATCTGTAACACACCATGCGATGCTCTGGAACACGCGTTGACCTGCTTGCTGGAGCCTGTAGTAGTGCTGGTGCTTGGTGTGGCGTCGTCCTTCCGACGGTACCGCTTGGGACAAGTGGAGACCATATGCCCTGGTTCGGCGCAGATGTAGCACGTGACTGGACGTGTGGAGCCGAGTGTTGGTCTTGATTGTTCTACTTTCGCTGAAACTGGCAAAGATTTTGAAAAAAATCGATATCGATCTCTACATTCCTGACCTCGGTGTCCTGTTCTTCCACAGAAATTGCAACTTCCATTGAAGGCAGGCGTGCTCCGATATCGTTTTGGTAAATCCAGTACAGCTATATCTTCGGTTTTCCTTTTTAGATTGAAACCACGCAAGGTACGAAAAAACTGATGTTTATCGTTAATTATAGTTGAATTAAACTCGCGGCGTATTCTATCATCAAGCTTGGACAATACTGATATCGCAAAACCAGTTATTACGTGTTCTGGCATTTTTGCATCAGGTATTTTTTCTATAAGCTGCCACAGTCGTTGGCCTGCCTCAGCGGGAGTTTCTTTATCCTTGATTTCAAATTGTAGGACCTGATCAAAATGATCCTGCATCATCATAGGGTTAGAAAACTTCGAAATGAGAGTTTCCTTAACGGTATTCCAAGATATTTTGTCTGGTGGTATGTTCATGAGGCAGCTTGTAGCACGGCCCTTAAGTGCCTGTGTCAGAACCAGTATCAGGTCCACTCCTGTTAGGTTCTTCTTCTCGATGATTAACTCACTTAATGCACACCAGTTAATTACATCAGCGCCAATTACATCGGGATCGAAGTTAATTAATGTAGTAGGTGAGCTCGCCGCTTGAGGCCGAGATGCCAGGTTATCGGCAATTTTTTTGAAGATTGCCTCTATTCCGGAAGAAAATAATGACATCGTATCATTGCCAGCTGCTTCATTATGCAATCGTTGACGAGGAGGTGGATCCGTCACTTCTGATGTCGCTTCTAGGTCTTCCATTGCTTTTTAATAACAACCACAGTTGATTTTTCACAATTATAATTTAATAAATTTGAAAACTTTTATAACAAATTATTAATTAGCCACAATAACTATCAACTTATTAACAAAATGTACGAGGATACTTGTACAAGATGTGCACTGGGCAACGCTTGTCGCAAGAATGCCCGTTCTCAAGCTAGTGCACGCCTTTTTATAACAATTTCTTCGGGTGGGGGTCGTGTGAATGTTGCCAGATGTTTGTCGTTGCCCGATGCATATCTTGTTTTAACATTAAAATAATGTTGCCGCCGTCAAATATATGAACTAGTGTTTTTTTCACTGATTTGGATTTTTGCTTATTACATCGTTCCAGTGTTCTATGTTATGTGTTTTTTCGTGTTCATACATATATACTTTGTATCTTAAGTTACACTTACTCGGCCCCAACCGGTGATCAAAACGTTGTCTCCAGGTTTAACGTCTTTATCCGGCAAAGAGATTGGTTGGACTTTGTCATTGAATTGTATATCTTTAGTCACTTCAATCAAACCGATATCGTTTGTTAAATCCACATTATCATAATCATCATTTCTTATTGCTTGTTTTACGTAATATTTGTCACCACCTTGAGTGCGACTGTTGGTACCAACCACGATTATAATTTCCTTTTCAGAAAGCCTAATAATACAAAACTGTTATAAGTAATGTTTTAGTTCAAAGAATATGTATATTATTCATATATGATAACACTTGTAATTATGACAGCCTTGTTGGTCGAATATAGACAAAAGCTGTCTAACAATCAACGGGTCGTAGATTCGACTCGTAATATGTTTCTAAAATTCATTTATAGTTTTTGTCATAAATGTCGTGGTGGGAATATTGAGTTTGTCTGGGTCATACCTAAATAATAGTATACATGAACCACCGTCCATAGATGAATGAACCGTAAAGTGTTGATTGCAAATATCGGTCTCGGACTGTGAATTTTCGAATGTCCTACATCAAAATAGGGTGACAACATATCTTACTAAATTTTTATACGGCTTGGATATTTCTCCTTCTATCAAGTAAACACCGCACTAGTAAAAAGTTTTAAGCTTAGTTGAGTAGATATAGGTATAGTCATTGGTCTAATGGTAGCAATATATGGCTGATGATCAACGTGTCGTGGGTTTGTTCCCCACCGTGTCCAACATGTTTGGAATTTTTTGATTTTCTAACAGTTTGGTATACGGCTGGACATCTGGATATTAAATTGGTGGCAGGAATATTGAAATTCTGTCCGAGTCAGGACCACCATCCACAGATGAAAAAGTCGTTGAGTTTATTGGCGTTACAGTTTCAGTCTGTTGATTTCCAAATATTCAAAGTGATATGACTAGGGTATTTCATCTTCTATCAATTTAACACCGTATTCGTAAAAAATATTTAGCTTATTTAGTTGATATAAACAGTCAAGTAATATATCTTATTATTTAATTTAAGAATAAAATTAGTTTACTACAGATTTTCAATCGGCTTTAAATTTTCGTTTCACTATCAATAAAGGACGATACTTTCCGTCCCGCTTTTCTGGTAAATTCAAATACTTCATAAAGATCTGTTAAAATCATCGTCGTATATGACAAACTATAAGGCATCGCTTAAGATAATAAAACTCACTTTGTTAGTTTTGGATCCAAGCAATGGGCTGCTGTTAGAATCCACCGTTTATTGAGAATTGAACCGCCACAGAAGTGATCCACTTTGGTCCTTAAAGACACTTGATAAGGAAAGGCCCCGTCTGGGGCGTCTTTGCCGCCGATCACTTTGGTGACAACCTCGCCATTGGTATTCGGTGACAGTGGTAATGTGAAACCTGCAAGAGATTTGAAAATAAGACATTCAGAACAAAACAATTTTTGATTTAAATTTTTGTACTTTGAGCTTAAAAATTAAAAACTAGCTAAGCTGGCAAATGGTCTACTAACATGTGAAGACGGTTCTCGTGAACTAATCTTAGAAGATAGACAAATACTGTCAGGGAATTTTTTTAGATCGTTTAAAGAATAATCATTCTTTCGTATATATTTTTGGTTTCTTGAACCATTACCGCAACAGGTAATGAAATCCCTCAAAAATTTCCCTCAATCTGTTTCTCCGTTCATTCCATATTTCTCACTGTTTCTTTATCGCGGATCCTCAATTAACGGTTTAACCCATACAAATCTATTTTTTCTAGTCTATGTAATATATCAAAATATTTTATCTTTCATGTACTACTTACGCCCACCACGTAACCGTTTCGTCGTTCTATAGAACACGCACAACGTGTGTTGGATTCGAAGATTTTTATTACAGTTCGGTCAATACAGTATTTTTGTTAAGTAAATTAAACATTCAAAAATAAAAAAAATACGGGAGTCAGTACCGCATATGATATTTCATACTTCTAAATACCGAGCTGGTACAAGACAATTTCTAATAAAAATATCAAATACCGTTCTAGTATTGACCTCGTCAATTTGCACTCGAGTGTAACCACTAAACTAACAAGCATTAATTCGTACTACTTAGTAATGCAGTAAAAAGACATATAACTTACCTTTGCAAGAATGAATAAGAAATAAAATTAAAAACATATGAAACATGTTCATTTAGTTGTTCTTTTCTCGACTTTCTAAAACCACAATGACAACGATAACTATATACTAAGTATAAATAGGTTCCAAATAATTGTTGTAATCCGATAATATAATATATGCACAGTAATTCAGATGTTAATGGCTTGAGAAATTATGGTTATTTGATACTAGCTGTGGCAGCGACCTCATTCGCTAGCAATCGCTATTTTGGGCATCAAAATTTGTTTTTGCAAACCTCCTCTACCCCCTGCAATGTCTACCTCTACTAATATACAAAGCTGTGTTTGTTTGCTTGAATGCACTAATAAAGGAAAGCTATAGGCTATAAAACATCACCCTGTGACTAATAAAAGAGCAGATACTGCGAGAAATGTGAAAAAAATGGGAAAATTATTCATCACAGGTTTCCGAACGGTACCTACGCTGCAAAAACGGTTTAAGATACCAAAAAAATATGTAATAAAAATGATTCGTCTTTAAATGATCTAAAAAAAAGTCCAATCTTTTAACATTACCTTGCAAGAACGAGGGGTAGGGGCGCGACTGACATCGTGGTAAACAGTTTCTAAAGATAGAAAATAACGATTCTCGCGGACGAATTCGCCGTCCCAGCCTAGTATCTTATAATTTTTATTTCAAGTCGGACGATACAGTTTTTCTTGTTTAGTAAATAAAACATTTGTGATAAAACTAAACATACCTTGCACACTGTACACCACCAAAATTAAAAGAATCATCGTCATTGTCTTTAGAAGCAAAAGGAAATTCAACAAAACACTGTTTGACTAAAATAAATGTTCGAAATATATTGCTTGATTAAAGATAAAGCAAAGTACACACAAATGGATTATAAAACACAGACAATTCTGTGTCTGTTCGAGTTTTGTGTGCTTGTCACTCTTACACTATATACATTGGCAAATGAATACTGTAGTCGAAATTCGACCAGTTATATTATATTTGTTACATATTATATATATATATATTTTTTTTTACAATACATTCATGACATAATCTTTGTAAGTGTCTGTGTAAGACAGCGCAGCTCGTAAGTACAATTATAAAAAAAAACTATCACCGTACAGTGAAAAATCATGAAATCACTAACCTTGTGGCAACAACCTAATACATATTAAAATGACCTTGAAAATTTTCCTTCAACGGGTATTTGAAGTACACTTGTTTAAACTTGTCCAAAATAGCTTTTGAAGTTAACAATATATATCTATAATAGCATGAAATATATATCTATTATAGTTTGCCAGTTTTGTGCGGCATTGGCTGTAGCTTGGAATGCTTTGTTAGCTTAAAAACCTGGATTTGCGCTTACCTAGCAGCTTTTGCATTTTTTTGGTGTACTACAACAAAAGTCGACCATATCTTGTTTGCGTTTAATACGATATTAGAAACCTAGAGATAAGTATGTAGGTCGGTCAACATTGCTTATTTCTTGATCACCTACAATTATTATCACACAAACAATCAAACAACGACGCTTGGGATAACAATATTGTTTTGCAAATATGGTTGGCATTTTTAAGTTTATCAAACTACCAAGTGCTTAAACACGGTGAACTGTCAATGTTAGCAAAAGTTAGATCATCGTTTCGACTATTAATTGATGACTATTTACCAATAAATCTATTGAACTCCCATTTATGTAACTGGCGTTGTTTTGAAGTTTATTATAAAATGCATTGAAAAGATGAAATGGTAAATAAAAATAAAAATTTATTTTGTACTTAAACCTCATTAAGAATAGACTCTGGCTTTTTTGTAAATGTTTTATTGTGAATTACACGTTTATGAACACTGCTTATATAAAGAAAATAATTAAATACTTAAACAGCCACACAGTAAAACAAAAGCAATAATGTAAAAAAAGATAATGGAAACTTTTTAATTGAAGCGGGTAAAGTAGATGCTCCACAAAGAAGGCATTTAAATAATTTTAATTAAAAAAAGGCCTATTTCCTTTAAATGACTGTTTACATAAAGATGTCATTTAAAGGAAACTAGATTAAGTTAAACACAGTATATACTGCTTAAATGCCGTTGGACAGGACAAATGCTGAGAGAAAAAATAGAAAAATGCAGTAGGTTAATAACAGAGTGGTATCTAAGGGATGGTAAAAGAAAGAGAGGCAGACAAAATAAACGATGGGAAGATGGCATATGGAAAGTAGCTGGTTCATTAAGGAACCGATTAGTGAGCGACAGGAATAAGTGGAACTCTTTAGAGGAGGCCTTTGTCGACAGACGAGCTGTTCAACAAAAGCAACCAGTTGCCGATCATTTTGATACAAATTAGAATTTAAATTTAGTTTTTAGCAAGTAGGCATATGTTAAGTTATTTTTGTAAAAAGGAACAGCAATATTCTTATTATTCTTATGATAGACTAAGGTAAAAGTAACTTAATCTAGTTTGAACGAACTTGTATTAAAAAAAAAATTAGGTCATTAGGAACCCTCTCGGGTGTAGGCCTCCTCCAAAGTTTAATTTGAATAACATCTATAAGATGAGATAAGTGATGTTTGTCTCTCGTTACAAATTTGTATGTAATTTCAGCATCATCAATGTCAGCCGTATTAACAGTTCCTCGGCTGGTTATCATCTTCTTCTATTGGCCGTAGTTAAAATATTTCAACATATATATACAGCATTTTCGTGTGGATTTCCCTAGCACCATTTACTGTGACTATGTGTTCGTTTTGCTGCGCAAAATGTTTAATAGATGGCGCTTTTGATATATTACTTTGCAGTATTTGTATTCCTTTACAAATGAATGAAATTAAATTTCAGTGTCTTTTCGAATACATGCACAATGCTATTAAACTTTGTAATAACTGACTCTTTTAATATTTTATTTTTATTTAAAATTACTAAGAACTAAAAAAAAGACAATTAAAAATAACATGCTCTGCTATTGACTACTATAATATTAATCGAATTATAAATGAGTTTTTTTAAAGATAGAGGACAGATAAGATAAGATATTATTTATAAAGTAGTTTTGGATGTGTGGGTAGAGTATTGATTCAAACAACTTAGCAAGAATTCAAATAGGTCGTTAGTTACATTCACATTCTCCGGACTTAAAAATAGGCACAACTTTTGCTATTTTCTAATTATCTGGAAAGACTTCGGATGTGAGAGATGTATAAAATATTCTTAAAAGGGGTGTTACTAGGTGTTCCGCACAAGATACGATAACCAATTCCATCAGACATAGGCAACGGATAGGACCTACAACCACCTCGTTTTGCCTTAACATAAGACCAAAAGTATTTTGGAGTAGAATAAATGTCCGTTTCTACTTTTTGTATATATTTATTATAGCATTTAGACGCCATTTTTTACATCTTAAATTAAGTAGCTTTAATTCTAGTTCATCTTTTTGTTCTTATATTTTTTATACCTATGTCTATTTTAAGTTTTTCTTAAGAGCTCTTATAAGATTTCTATCAAACCAGTGAGAATACTGTTTTTGGTGCATATTTTCGAGGAACATATTTATTTATTATTTGCCAAAGCGTTGAATTGAATATATTAAGCATCGAATTTACGTTATCTGTTTCTAAGAATAATTCCTTCCAGTTGCAATGTAAAAGCTCATTATCAATGCTTTCGTAGTCTGCTTGTGTTGACAGTGACAGTTAAATTTAAAACTTGATTCATTATATGGTAGTTTAGGATCAGTTGCTAGATACATATCAATTTCTAAAGGAGGATGATAGTTGTCCACTAAACTTAAAGTATCATTAGATAGGTTAACATTACAAGACAAATCACTTAAAATAAGATCCAATATTCGATTAGAGGTATTAGTAATCCAATTGTGCTGCTTCAATCTATTTAAATGCCAGAAATCAATTAGAGACTGACACAGAGCAGGTAAAGAGGGATTCTTACAAACTCCAATTTATACAACTTACTGGTACCTATTGCCATCTCTTATATAGTTATCACTTATATTATTATTATGTTTATGGCAATATACGTTTTGAATTTGAATTATTATGGCTACAATTTTTCAGACCCCTAGCACATTGTATCCTTTGCTTTACCTAACTTGTGGCTTAGGTCATTCAAATACTTGTATAATTAAAAAATATTGATCTTTTATCTGCCCTTGAAAATATAAATGACATGTTTAATTAATTCATATTTAATTTTAAGTATTATCTATTCAATTTAAGTTTTAACAAATGTTTACATAGTAGGTACCTCATACCTTTCTTTAGTTTTCAGCTAAGCAATTATTGACATATACCATCTATTATCAAGTTTAGAGATCCCCACGAAAAAACTTATTTACAATGCCCTCTGTTAACCCTATAACAATTTCCATCGCTGGTGTAGCCTAATGTACCACGTTTAAACTAAATAATTTCTTCTCTAAAAATATTATATCCTTGGTAGAAATTAATTCCTGCTTACACTTGGGGCAGAAATAATTTGTGTTTATTTGTTATAAAAAAATTTTATCATAGAAAAATAATAACGGAATGTATAGAAAACACTTAAATGAAACAAATTATATCTCACTTATTGTTTTATATTGTGTATAAAGCCTTTTTTAAAATTTGAAGATTAAGTACTGTCCCCGGCACTAACTACGACCAATGCGAAAGGGGTCATATCGCCAACAGTGGGACACTAATAGGTTGGAAGAAATATTACTAATAACTGAGCTACCAAAATCCATCCCTGATTAAGAAGTGATTTCTACATCTCTCGTGAAAGGAATAGAAGAACACGGTCATGAAACAAAACAAAAATAATTTAAGCCTAAGTTAAATTAGGTAATTTAAGTTTGGAACCCATAGAATTAATATTGAATACAATACTGTCACTTTAAGATTCTTTGTTACACTGACTTGTTTAATTAGGTGAGAATTAGCAATTTATACAATCAAATAGGTTAAAGTAAATAGGTACAATAGTATAAATATGAAGGTATTTGTGACTAAGCTACTACTTTCCACTGCTTAGTGACATCTACTAAGCATAATGTTGAAGTTTAAAGGTACTTGTCTGTTCCTCGTAGCAGTTTTGGCCATCTTTGGTGAGTATTATTTATTCTATTTAATTTGCTGCTTAACAGAAACCTTCTCATATTTATCCCGACTTTTTGTATTAGATAGACACAAAAAGTGTCGACATTTGTAATTTACTTGAATACCAACTGTGTCAGTTCTTGCAAGTTAATCTTAAAAGATAGTGTCGTGGATTTTTTTTACATTATTTAAAGAGAAATCATTATTTTATATATAGTTTTGGGTATCTTGAACCGTTTTTGCAGCGTACGCATCGGAAACCCTCAGAGATGAATAATTACCCCGTTGTATCCACATTTAACGTTGTTTCTTCGCTTCTATTAGTCACAGCGAAGTTTTATAGTCTATAGGCTTACTCAATAAACGTTCTAACCAACCCAAAAATAATTAAATTTTAAACAGTAGTTCCTGAGATAAGCGCGTTCAAACAAACAAACGAACTCTTCAACGTTATATATTAGTATAGATGATATTTATTTGTAATATGTCAGATAGAATTTTAAATATATAACTTCCACATTTTACATTAATACATAATTGAAGTAAATTTAAGAAATGATCCTATCAATGTGTAATGTCCCACTGCAGCAAAAATATTACTTATTCTACTAAGTCTTCGTCCTGCTCATCCCAATTAGAATATATTTTATAAACTCTATCTTTATAATACTTATAGAAATTGAATAGTTAGGGAGGTTGTTAAAAGCAATTAAATTTTATATTGAAACTAGTTATATTGAGTTTTTTGTTCCTCAGCAGCTTCGGCTGAAGATGCTACGACATCAGCACCAGACTCTACGGATAAAATCGATGCTGCCCGTATTCATAGACATCGTTCCAAAGGTAAATACTGTACAGTCGTTGGAATGTTCAGATAAACCTGTTGTATCATTGCTTTTAGAAAACTCGATAAAACTTATAACATTTAATAAATTGTTTATATTCTTCGTATGAAGATTTGCTATTAGTTGAACTTTTCGCAAAACTTTCTACAGATTAAATGCGTTTTTTCAAATTGATTAGTTGAGGTGTTGCCAAGAGCGATTTTTTCATATAGAAACGAGTTAAATTGAAATTTTTATATTTTTTTTGTTCGTTAGGTCTATTCGCCGATGGTCCAACCACCACACCAGAACCGGACTCCACGAATGAACCCGATGCCGCAGGTAACCTTTTACACATTTCTGACGTGTACAATAGTTAGAATGTTCAGCTAAATCCAGATTATCTTTGCACTTAGAAAATTAATAAAACTTAGAAATTTTAAGTAATTGTTTATGTATATTCCCGCTACATAGATTTGCTTGAATATTTATTGAAATTATTATTAACCTAAAATGAATTAAACTTCACGGCTTTTCCGGAAATTTCCAGAAACAGTCTAACATGATCATTAAAATCATAAATAGATTTATCCATACACATTGATTTTATTGAATCTACTACATCAAACACTCACAGATAGTCTACCCCATCCAGTTACTATTTCAGCATTTGCTTCCGTGTTACTTTCCGGCAACAATATTGGTTGCACTCTATCTGTGAAGTCGATATCTTCGGTATCTTTAACCAGACTTATGTCATTTGATATCAACCCACTATTGCAACTTTCGTGAACAACCAACTCATCCGCTGAAAACTTAGTTCGAAAGAGTTTAAGCTGTTAGTGTAGACAACAACTTTTACGGAACGAGAATGATCTGAATTCAAATTATTTCATCAACACTTACGATGCCTTTGAAGTCTAATGATACATAGAGGGTTCTTGGAACTGGTTGGTTCTAGGAAAAATAAAGAGAAGAATAATTATATAATGTATAAAAGTACGGATACACAGGATATTTAGTAATACAATCGCGTACTTATATAACCTCTATTTTATATTTGAAGAGGTTGGCGACTAACTGCTCGTTGTTCTAGTGGTTATTGCACTCGACTTCATACAAAAAGTGCCGGAATTTTTAGGTCAATTCAATGTCTCAAGCGATTTATTTTTATATTGAGACGAGTTATACTGAAGTTTTATATTTTTTTGTTCATTAGCTCTATTCGCTGATGGTCCAACCACCACACCAGAACCGGACTCCACGAATGAACCCGATCCCGCGGGTAACTTTTTTTTTATGTATCAATGTCATATACAATTTGATTTAATTTTATCTCTTTAATATTTTTGCAAATTGATGTATGAAAGCGATTTTTATATTGAAATTATATTTCTTTTTTGTTCATTAGAAGATGCACATGAAGAACTCAAAGAAACACAAGACTCCGCGTTTAGACGCCGCCATCCACGCAATCATAGAGGTCGTGTCAAAGGTGTATAGTCGTTGCAATGTTTAGCTTAGCTCTATCCTACTCAGAGTTTATCTTTGCACTTACAAAATTCAATTAAACTAACAAAACTAAATAAAATAACATTTAAGAAATTGTTAATGTCAATCTCAGCAATATACATTTGTTTTAGATCTATTTTTGGTAAAACATTATGTCGCGGACATTTTACAACTACTACTATAAGCTGTTGATCACATATCTATCAGAATATACTTTTAAGTACATAATAGAAGTAACTGTAACGAGTTTTTCTTATTTTATAAACTTTATCCTTATAAAGGCTGTTGTCAAGAGCCATTTCTTTTTTTATTGATTTATATTATAATTATTATATTTGGTTTTTTAGCTGAAGACTCCGATAATTCAACCACCACACAAGCACCAGACTCCACGGATAAACCCGATGCCGCAGGTAACCTTAGATATTAAATTCGTGTACAATAGTTGGAATGTTCAGCGAAACCCAGTTTATCTTTACACTTAGAAAATTAAATATTATAATTAAAAACTAATATAAAGAAGTAATTATAATAAATAAATTATAAATAATGTAAAAAAAATAGTTATTCTATTGCAAAAGTATAAATACCAACATTTATGGTATAATATATATATATTATATAACTAACTTACGCGTTCGGCAATACACGTCGTCTGGGATTCCTCCACTCTCTATATTTTTGTTTTAATTTCGTTCGTAAGGCATTGAAGAGTAGTCCTTCTACTAGGTCCAGAATCTTTGTCTAATTAAGATCGCGTTTACGAAGTTAGTTCCGAAAGCATTTGCGCTTAAACTTATATTTGAAATACAGTTGTCGAAACTCTCAAGAAACTATATAGAGTTTTATTTAAATCAATTGTAACAAACTAGAATCTAGTAAATGAAAAAAAAAACAATAAAGTAAAGATTATTATTTCTTCTTCAAAAACTATTTAGTACATTCTTGGGTAGCGTTTAGGGGCTTCGGGCTTCTCTTTCATCTTCTCTTGAATCCAATCAAGAAAGGAGTACACCCTCGTGTAAACATCTGGATATCCTTTCGCGCAAGGCATGCCCCAAGAGACGATGCCAACCACCCGGTTATTCTCTACTAGCGGGCCACCAGAGTCACCCTAGAAAATTATTGAGGTTTTGCTTGAAAGATCGGATTATCCTACCCTAAACTTTTTCTTTTCTGAATTAGGTTTAATCAACTGGAGCTTATAACATAACTTACGTGACAAGCGCCTTCGCCTGCTCTAGTCAGAGAACAGATTTGAGTATCGAACACAGGGTTAATTCCATTGAATTTGCTCTGACTATCGTCAATAGTCAGTGCTGTCACATTGATCATTTGCAAGACTCCCGGCAAATTTCCTGGCTACTGTAAATTCACTAAGTTTTATGTATAATTGTCTAACAAAAAATAATCCATCACAATAATAGATTGCTTTGGTAAAAATGAGAAATATTCGTACTACTTATTTACGTAATTTAGATTTTGAAATGTTTAAAGTCAAAATAAGACTTTAAACATTTGAAAATCTAAAGACTAAAGCCGAAAATTAATTTAACTATACGGCTCTTCCATTTGTGAACGGGTAGTTCGTGGCGCGAACGGAATTCCGATATTCCTATCATTTATTTAATTTTCAAATTTCAAGAAATAGTCAAACATGCATCATTAAAATTATTAATAGATTTTTATCCATACATTGCTACAATTGAATTTACAAGTCTATAAAAACTTAATACACATCAAACACTAACAGATAGTCTACCCCATCCAGTCAATAGTAGTTCAGCATTGGCTCCCGTGTTACTTTCCGGCAACAATATCGCTTGCACTCTATCTGTAAATTCGATATCTTCGGTAACTTTAACTAGACTTATGTCATTTGTTATCAACCCACTGTTGTTACTTTCGTGAACAACCAACTTCTCCACTGAATGCTTAGCTCTGAATGATTTTAAGTTGTTAGTGCCAACAACAACTTTTACAGAACGAGCTGATGATCTGAAATAAAATTGTTTTAATAAGTTGGCCATAAGAAGTTCTAGCTCCAACACACCTAACCAGCGAAAATAAAATGAACAGTTTCGGTAGACAAAGTACAAACGTCTAAACAATTTTATATGTAAATAAAAGTCAATCAAAAAAACACCCACAAAAATAGAAAAAAGGTCTTACTACCACTTACAACTAGAGTGATAGTCTTCAGGAAAAGCTACATGTAAAAATCTTCGTGGTTAAACTTCTCCACAAATATTAACATATTTTTTATCCTATATATGGACATGCGGAGATCCAAAATAAGATAACACACATCACGGCACCTCCATCTAAGGTCGGTTATGGTGTGAATATCGATATTTCTTACGATCTTTTGGACCAATATTTTTAGAAATAATTATAAATTAGCCAGACAGACAAAGGTAGTTTTCGCGTACTAATAAGGTATGTTAAATACACATACCCTACAGTGCAGTGAGCTGCTGTCAATATCCACCTCTTATTCGAAATAGAACCCCCGCAGAAGTGAGAATCGTAAGCACTCCTCAATGACACTTGGTAGGGAATTCCACAATCTGGTGCATCTTTACCCCCAACAACCCTCGTTATAACAGTAACCTGTGCGGTATTTTCCGGAAGAATTATCCGAATAATAGACCGTGGATAGTATTAGGCTTTATAAATATTTAAATTCAGTTTAAGTTGGCACAAATTCCAGTACAAATATTTTTTGCCTTTATTTACCCACGCGAAAAATTTCTCTATAAGAATAATATTAGTGATAGATAAGTTTCATTCGATCTACTTTCAAAATTTGAGAAAATAGTGGTATATTTCGACACTTATTGGCTCTAATATTTTCAATACATTATGTACTAATCATTTGAATAGTATTTAACAACTTTGGTTTTTAAATGGGTGTCCAAGCCCAAAAATAAATATAATAATATTTTGGGCTAGGACACAAGTCTGATCACTTACTTGCCTATAAATAGAATCGACCAGAGAAATAGATGACAGAAATCATAATGCGATTACAGAAAATGGTATATCACACACATGAAATACAGACGCAAGATTTATAATAAGCAGAAGACCGTGATAGTATTTTTTATTAAGCAACACACGAATCTATTGACTATCTTCTATGATTAGAACGAATTTAAAACTAAATCATTTTTACAATTTAAAATAAAGAATCCAGTTAAACACTTGCGTTTCACCAAACATATCACAAAAAATAATTCTATTATTTTAACGAACATCTTCGTAATTCTCAATTAAGATATTGAATGTATGAAATTGAAGTTATTTATATGAAATAACAGCGGTATCAAACGGGACAATACTTGTAAACAATCTTGACATTGATTAGTTTTATTCGAGTGGCTAAAGCAAGGCTTCAAAACGCAAATGCTAAAGGTTACAAAGTTTGCCTTGTCACAAGAGCTTAAAGAAAATTTTCTTAAAAAAATACAAGAAAAACTTGACTTTAATACCTAGAGAAATTTTGTCAAAAAAATAAGTTATGGTTTTTGACGCTGACAATTTCGAAACTGAATTAGATAATGTTTGTGTCGATGTTGTAACTTTCAATTTGCTAATATATGAACACAGCTTAACATTGTGTAAAAGAAATGTATAACTAATAGAAGTCAGAATTAAATCTATGACTTAATTTTCGAAGCTCAGTTTTATCCGAAATGGGTTTTTACTTGATTTCGTTACAATAGCTGTTTGCAGCGCGTATGAAATGGAAATATATATTTCTTCTTGTTGTCGTACTTAAATTAATTTAGTGAGTTCATTTTTTTACATAGACTTTTTAATTACTTTTTTCTTTCTTTCTTTCTTGTGGCATCATTATGATGTATTTCAACTAAATATTAATAATAACCATATTTTACAAAAAGTTTATAACAAACATATGCATTTTCGAAATATTGAAAACGTATTATTTTCACTGATGGATCTGAATAAAAGTATTTTTGTGTTATTAAAATTTTTCCACCATTTCATGTTCTAAGGTATTGAAGACTCCGATTCCGAGTCCCGTATCATCGGAGGTGCGAATGCGGCAGACGGCGAATTCCCCCATCAGGTATCGCTGAGAATAAAGGACTATAGAGACGTCTGGCAACATTTCTGCGGAGGTTCTATTATATCAGAGAGATGGGTTTTGACAGCAGCACATTGTACACAACCTTACAAGTAAGTTGAAATGCCCGAAATCCCAAATCTCTTGACTGAACAAAGTTTTTACAAATTAATGTTTAATTCCGGGGAATCGACCTAACATTTCGGCAGACCCGAAATCCATGGCATGTATTATCCGCTATCAATGAAGCATTTATACAAGTTTTTAATTTCAGGCAGTATATGAATAGAATGAGAGTAGTGGTGGGCACAAATAAATTAAACAGTGGTGGTGACCAATATGAACTCGAAAAGATTACTGAACACGAGAAATACAATAAGCCACAAATCACATATGATATCGCAGTTATAAAGGTTAAGAAGGATATTAAATTTGGTGAGAAAGTCGGGAAAATTTCTCTACCAAGCTCAAACACAGCGGGTGGAGTTGAGTTGGTTACTTCAGGATGGGGATACACTACCGTAAGTATTAAATTGATAATGATTTCTTTTATACAAAGATTCAATATTCGATAAGGAAGGTAGAACTCGTATCCTTGACTGCGAACTGCATTTGCCAATTTTATAACACTGTTCTTATATGTCTAATGTGTAACGTAGGCTTTAATAAAAACATTGCTAATGAAAATACATGTAGTTCATATTAAAAATTATGTCATTTTTATTTTGTATTAATTTATGGCGGGGACATCTACATCTTAATTAATATTGTCTTCATACAGAACGACAGATATAACCGAAAACCGCCAAATGATTTGCAAAAACTCACAGTGAAGTCGCTTTCCGTGTCGGAATGTCAGGAGGATAAGAATTTAGGAAAGTACAAAAGAACGAATCCATTTACGGATAGACAGATTTGCACATTCAAGAAGCAAGGCCAAGGCATCTGTCAGGTTGGTGTTACATGTTGTCATAGCAACGCATTATGCGATAATAAATATTTTAAAATATTGTGTGGCATAACACAGAATGGAGACAATTTTGATGATCGATTTATTTGAGACTTGTAGGTTGATTGTCCTTCTCCGGGTTCCTAACATATTTTATCTGGAACCTTTGTGTAACGTATTTTACAAGTTAGGAAGTCAATTAACAAATGCCGTAAAATTAATTATTCGCAATAACTTTAGAAGAGTTTGTAACTGACTCTCTGGAGGTTAGTTAATACTACCAAAAACTTGGACTCGATAAAGACGAAGATAAAATTATGTTCCACGGGATAAGCATAAAATTATACTAATACTATTTTTTTAGAAACCGGATGAAAAGCCAAATGAAAAGGCTGTTAAGTTTAATCGCGTTACCGTCTTCAGTCTTTGGATTTTCGATCGTCCAAAGTAAAAATAGTTCGACAGTACATCTATTAAACGTTATATAGCTAGGGTGTTTTGATTCTGTCAAGTAAACCCCTGTTGTCTGTTTCTACGATTAAAAGTGAACATCAAGTTACATTTATTATTAAAAATGTTTACATCATTATAAATCACATTCTGTTCCTAACGTGTCTATCTTTTCAGGGTGATTCTGGTGGTCCGCTAGTGACTAAGGGGGAGGTAGTGGGAATAACTTCGTGGAACATTCCCTGTGGCCGTGGCCTTCCTGATGTCTTCACAAGAGTTTTCTCTTACCTGGACTGGATAAAAAAACACACAAGCGACTAGTAGAAGCGTGTGAAAAACACACAAAAATTGAATTTCAAACGATGTATTACTGATATATGTCAGAATAATAAAAAGTGTGTTTAATCTATGTATTCATGTTGTTTTAATAAAAAAGCTTCCTTAAATTTATTAAGTTTTAACAATCACTTAGCCTGGGTAATAACCACTACGAAATGTTTTGTAACTATTTAAACGGTTAATTTTATTTTCTCGGGTTACGTGAGATGGTATCCAAAACCTCAATCCATGTTAGACTGAATCTGGAAATTCTGGATGTTAAATAAATGGAAGGAATGTCGGGATTCCACACGTGTCACGAATTATCATTTAAACATGGAAGAGCCGTAACGTGTCAATCATTTTCGGCTTTAGATTTCATTAAATGTTTAAAGATATAATTTGTTGAAAGCGAAAATTTAGGAGGATTAACAAAATTAATTATGTTTCGAGAAGATAAAACTTGATGTATTTACAGAACACAAGCAATTTGCCGGAAGTCTTACAAATGATCAATGTGACAGCACTGAGTGTGGACGATTGTTAGAGAAAATTTAATAGAATTAACCCTGACTTTGATACCCAAATCTGTTCTCTAACTAGAGCAGGTCACGCGCAAATGTGTCGTGCAATTTCTGGGATTTTCTTTATTATTATTTGTTAATCCTCATGCGACTTTAATTATTATGCGTGTAATTTTACTCAAAATTAGGAAAATATACAATATTACAAATTAAAAATATTAATTTTTAAACGGCATCTATATGTTCATTAATATATTTTCACCTTTGATGTATAGAAACGGACGCGTATGTGAAAGAAAAATTCACGCGGATAAATAAAGGAATAAAGCTGAAGAGTTTGTTTGTTGGTTGGAACGCGCTAATCTCAGGAACTACTGGTTCGAATTAAAAAATTTTTTGGTGTTGTATAGAAAATTTATAGCGAAATGCTATAGACTATAACACATTACGATCTGACTAATAAGAGCGAGGAAACAACGGGTAATGTGAAAAAAAACGAGGAAAATTAATCATCATTATGGGTTTCCGAGGCGTATACTGCAAGAACGGTTCAAAATTTGGGTATCTTAATATGTACAAAAGAATTAATCCTCTATTTGTTTATCTTTTAAGATTAACTTGCAAGAACGACGGGAAAGTATGCGACAGACGAACAGCTTATGTTCATAAGGAACAAAAAAGAATTTGCGTGCCCAAAGTAGCGATTCTCGCGGACGAAGTCGCGGTCACAGCTAGTATTCTTATAAGAATTATACACATGTCTACTGGTTTTATACGTTAAGGCAATAAGCTACATAAAAAAGAATAAATAACTTTTATTGTTTCTATACAGAATTGAGAAAAGGCTTTTGATTGGTAGGTATCTATTTGACACTTAACACAAATTCAAGAAAATATTCAGTCAGCCCCGCTGGGAATAAGTTAATTTGAACTGTGACGTCACTCGAGGAAGAAACAATTGGTTTTGTCCTGTAAAAAATCCTTACTAACGTCTAGGTATATTCTAATCTAATGTTATTTTATATGAAGAACTGTTTTTCTATACGTTCTCAACCAATAAACTTTTACCACGTCGAAATACGAGGCTTCCATCCATAGTTCCCATCAATAACAAATATGTATTTATCAAATGTATTGTATTTTATGATACTGGACAGACATAGCGTGGGATCACATGGTGGTTCGTCACCCGGACGGAATTTTTATATTCCTACCACACAATTAATATCCAGAGTTGCGCATGTTTTCCGAAAAATTATAAATTGAAAATTTTGAAAAATGTTGGAGATGGCGAGGATCGAACCCATGACCTGTTGAGCTTTAACCATACATTGCTACCATCAGGTCAACACCCGTCAAACTGTGTAATTTAGTAATATTATATCAGATATAAAAATTACGAAGCATTCGTTATGAAGTTGTGTAATAAAATAGATGTGAGATCCAAATGTTTATAACTAAAGTACTTTAACTAAAAAAAATATGGCACAAACTTCGAACCGATAGAGCACGATAGGTATCGTTCGCTGCACTAGCCCGGTTAATTAAAGCTTGCAATTATGGAGTTGTATAATTAAAATTTAAAAATAATTAATTTCACTTCCTCCAGCCTTGAAAATATAAATGACATGTTTAATTACAATTGTCTTTAAAATCTATTTAATTGAAAATTTGACTACTTATACTTTGTTTAGAGATAACTTGCTATTATTACTGCAGACCACTAACACTAACAAATTTCTTTTTAATTGCAACCTACATCATACCGGCAATATATCGTATAATTATTATTAATATCGGCATTGTCAACATCAACTTTTTACACCAGTAAGCAAACGTCTACAAAAAGACGACTGCGCCGGCTGCCTACATATCCCAAAAAAAAATGAAACATTTATTTTATTGATACAAATAAATGAATAAAACACTTATTTGTGAATTATTTAAGCATCTCAAACCGTTGAACTGCTAGAGGTTACGTTACTATTTTACTTTTGAACTTACAACCTTCCGTACAGGGTAGAAGTAGGGTTCCGGTACAGCTTAGAAAGTTAAGAAGATTATTGTTTGTTATTCGGAACCCATAGAATTAAATACAATACTTTCTTTTTTAAAGTATCTGTTTAATTTACTTTGACATTGAGGTTGTTTAATTAGCTGGTAATTAGCAACTTATATTCAATAAACGATAGGATAAAGTAAATAGATATAATACTATACATTTTAGTAACATCTACTAAGCATGATGCTGAAGTTCAAAATAACTTGTCTGTTCCTCGTGGCAATTGTGGCCATCTTTGGTGAGTATTATTTTTTATATTTAATAAAACCTACTGATAATTCTATTATATGGACTTTTTAAAATAGGTAGATTTTTTGATTGATTTCGCATATTAATTCGCTCGGAGCCTCTATTACGAACCAGACGTTTTGAACCGCGTGTTTGTGGCTACACCAAGGGTGCCCTAGGGGGGGCCTAGACTTTGACCACCCCGATGTGGGTGAAAGCTCAAATAAATGAGCGGTACGCGGAGAAAGGAACCCATCCACGATTACTATTGTACACGGCTTTTGATAGAGATGGTATCGACGGGTAGTTGGCGTACATGTAGTTGGCGGCCCGTGCTTTTTTTCTTTGTATAATTCAATATGTCAAAAGAGATACATTCCTATATTGAAATTATTAATATTTTTGTTCTTTAGGAGTTTCAGCTGAGGAGTCTGCTGATGGACCCGAAGATGCACGTGTTCATAGACACACAAGAGGTATGGAGTAGTTGAAATAGAATATACACTTTTTTTTAGTTGAAAAATCACCAGTCACAGTAAGAAATAACGCATTTCAATACATCAATGTTCTATTTCAAAAATTTAAAGTTTTTTAATTTTTATCTTTAAAATATTTTTCCAAATTCAATTGATGACGAATAAAATAGTTAGGGCTGTAAAGAGCAATTTTGATATTAAAATTATATATTTTTGTTCCTTAGAAGCTTCAGCACAAGACTCTGCGGATGGACCCGAAGATGCAGGTAACTCTAGAGGTCGTGTCAAAGGTATTCAGTCGTTCAACTAAGCCTTATCCTACCTAGACTATATCTTTGCTCTTACAAAATTCAATCAAACCTTTTAACATTTAAGAGATTGTTTATGTATATTCTCGGTAATATATATTTCTTTTTAGTTCTTTTTTTTCGTAAAACATTCTATAGTTTAAATTCGTCCACATCGGCCACAGACACCGTGAGAATGTACAGGTAGAACCTCGCGCTGTTGAATTAATAAATTATACTAGTCGTGCCAGCGACTACGTCCTCGTAAAATATTAATTTTAGCTTTCAAAATTTGTTGCTGCAACCCCCATCTTTCAATATCACTGTATCCTATTTTTTTTTATAATTGGGGCACCTGACTTTTAAATCTGTTTTCTTAACTTTTCTCCATTTTACGTTCCAAGATCCTGAAGAGTCCGATTCCGAGACCCGTATCATCGGAGGTGAGAAGGCGGCAGACGGTGAATTCCCCCACCAGGTATCGCTGAGAATAAAGAACCGAAATAACGTCTGGCAACATTTCTGTGGAGGCACTATTATAGCGGAGAGATGGGTTCTGACAGCAGCACATTGTACAGAACCTTATAAGTAAGTTGAAATGAAGGGTCGCTATGCTCCCAGAATTTGAACTCATGGTCTCTGATGATTGACGATAACGTAATAGTTTAAGTATCATATTTTCAACCATGTCACGTTAAACTGCTGGAAATCGACCTTACATTCCAATGAAGCATTCATAAAAGAATTTCATTTCAGACAGTATATTGATAGAATGAGAGCAGTAGTGGGCACAAATAAGTTAGACAGTGGTGGTGACCAATATGAACTGGAAAAGATCATCGAACACGAGGAATACAATAAGTCATCCCTCATATTTGATATCGGAGTTATAAAGGTTAAGAAGGATATTCAGTTTGACGAGAAAGTCAAAAAAATTTCTCTGCCAAGCTCAAACACACCGGCTGGCGTTGAGGCCTGACTGACTTCGGGTTGGGGTTACACTACCGTAAGTATGGAAATCATAAAGATTTATTTAATACAAAGGCTTAATGTACTATAAAACAGGCAGAACTCGTAAGCGTAACTGCGAACTACCTTTGCTAGTTTTATATCAGTGTATTTGACTATTGTCTATGTAATTTTCAACTTAAAGAAAACATTGCTAATGAAAGTACAAGTAGTGGTCCATGATCAAAATTATGTCAATTTTATTTGCTACTAACTTTAATTATGCCGGCAACAAGCTGCGATGCTTAATAATATTGTTTTCACACAGAACAACAGAACTGACCGAAAATCGCCCAATGATCTGCAAAAGCTCACAGTGAAATCACTTTCCGTGTCGGTATGTCAGGAGGCGAAGAATTTAGGAAAATATAACAGAACCCATCCAATTTCGGATAGACAGATCTGCACATTCAAAAGGCGACGCCAAGGCATCTGTACGGTGAGTTGTCACATGTTGACATAGCAACGTATAATGCGCAAACAAACATGAATCCACTCAATATGCGCATTGTGTGGCACGAGTTAAAACATCTAGACTCCGTTTTGATGGTCGATCTAATTAAGAATTTCTAGGTCAAAAGCCTTTTTCACCTTTCCAACATAGGTTATGTACCTATGTGCCTAACGTATTTTACAAGTTAGGACGCCAATTTACGAATGCAGTTGAATTAAGATAATAAGAAACTGACTTTCTGGAATAAACTTTTACACTTAGACTAAATCATGTTCAGCGAGATAAGAACACTATTCTACTCAAATGATTTTTTTAGCATAATATAAAAATGATATGATGTTTAATCGCCTTTTGGTTGCAATTGTACGATAGGCCAAAACCAACATAGGTCAACAGCACATCTTGTTTAGATTTCTCTGTGATAAAAAGCGTGAACGTCAAGTTACATTTATTATTACAAATGATTAAGACATACAATTCATAAAATTTACATCACATCCTGTCCCTAACGTGTCTGTGTTTTCAGGGTGATTCTGGTGGTCCGCTGGTGAATAAAGGGGAGGTGGTGGGAATAACTTCGTGGGCGATTCCCTGTAGCCGCGGCCTTCCTGATGTCTTCACAAGAGTTTTCTCATTCCTAGACTGGATAAAGAAACACACAAGTGACTAGTAGAAGAGTGTCGACGAACACACAGTTATTCAATTTTAATCTATGTATTATTGATGTATGTCAGAACAATAAAAAGTGTGTTTCATTTATGTATTTTTATTGTTGCAATTAAAAAAATGACATATCATTATAATTTAATTATTTACCTAATAATTTTAAAGATTTTGAGCTTGGCTAATTAAATGATATAATAGCAATAAATGTTAAATGGCAATCTAAATACTGTCTATAGTTTACGCGAGTAGTACACATTTAAATAAAACACTTTAACGGTTTAAAACGCGATATATTATTTTATGTTTTATTTAAATGGCAATCTACTACAGCAGATCTTTTTAACTATTAGCAGATTTTATCTTTGATCGGAAAATGTATAGCTTTTCATGAAGGCAATAATTTTAAGAAGTTGTTAGTTTGATTGATTTATTTTTATTTACAGGCAAGTAGGTAGTTATCTGACTTGAGTGCCTTGCTGTCACTTTTTTACGGGATTGGTGATTAAGCCATATATTATCTATAAGAGTATATACAGCTGAAGGATTTGTTTGTTTGTTTGAACGCGCTAATCCCAGGAACCCGTAGTTCCTCAGATTAGCGCTTACATTTCCTACGATTTAGATTATCTTCTACCACGAAACATTGACAGGCGTTGTATTAATATTGGTAAGTAATATATTTATCGAGATTTCCGGCAATTTTTTGTTTCGTTGTTTATAACTTGTTGTTTCAAAATAATTCGTATTTTTTTCGAAAATATAGACGTTCTTACTTCGACGACTTACATTTCCGGATAGTAGATAGACGTCTACTGTTGTTGTTGGCACTAACGGCTTACAGTCTAGCGCAGCAGTATAAGCTAATGACAATCAGGTTATTATTAGAAGTAGTGGCTATTCGCAAGTTAAAATAGTAAAATGCCTATACTGCTGAAACCAACCCTGAAACGTCGCTCGTGCCGTACGGAAGGAAAACAAGATTTTAATTACACAATTTTATCGACACTCTTCGAAATAAAGATTTTTTCTTCTTTTGTAAATGTATTTCAAAGATTTAATACAATAACATCTTAAACATAGGATGTTATCTAATCATGCTACGAGTGTATTTTATGGTCATTAGTAAAAAAACGCGTTTTTATTTTACTTTATAAGACTTTATCTTAATTTAAATAGTGATGTCACTCGAAGAAAAGGCTATTGGTTTTGTCCTGTAAAAGATCCTCACTGACGTGTACATCAGGGCTCCACAAACTCTTTTATGTCGTAGACGCCTTGCTAAATTTCTAACTGAAGCGAAGTGTAGTGTACACACAACTTACCCATTTTTTTAATTATTGGTACTTTTATAAATAATGTATATGTTTTGATATTATAAGATAGTATGATGTAAGTAAATAGGTAATCAGAGTATGCATTAAGATTCACTATTGTGGACCCCCATTTTCATTGCATGACCCACAAATATTTTTTCGCTGACGTAGATTCCTTGCAGGTAGACTCTTTGGGGTCGATATAGACCGCTTATGTTGTTGATATTTGTTATGTGGTTTATCAAATGTATGAATGTAGTGTACGATCGTGTTTATAATTTTGTAATTTATGGGATTTAAAAATAAGGTAGTATTCGTTTCGAAGGAATGTAATTAAATGTGTAATACATTTTGTTACGGCACTAGCTGTGCCCGCGACTTCGTCCACGTAGAATAGTAACTTTGGGTAGAATTTTTCAATTATTTAAGCTGTTTATTTATTTATTTTATAAATTAAATGAGACACAAGTGTAAATACAGTGTTCCACTGCAAAGAGCTTATTACGGTATTCATAATAAGTGTAGTGTATTTTTATATGCGTATTTGAGTTTTATAGTTACTTTCGCATTCCCCATACACGCCATCATACTCCCACTCCCACTCCCACCTTCCATTCCCAAAAAGTTAAAGAAGAAAGTTTCATTGTTCTAGTTTCAAATATTACGAATTAGTGATAGTAGTGATAGCCTTCCTCGATAAAGGCTCTAACCAACACAAAAGGAATTTTTCAATTCGAACCCGTAGTTTCTGAGATTAGCCCAATCAAACAGACAAAAACAAATTCTTCAGCTTTATATATTAAGTATAGATTATTTATTATGTATTTAAGATTATTATTATAACTAAAGTTTTCTAAAGTTACTGATATAAAAAGCAAGACGTTATTTCATTTCTGAAAGATTTTGTGTCCATCGACTTCGTCCGCGAGAATCGTTATTTTAGACATCCAAATCCGTTTTTGCAAAAAAAAATCTTCATAAACTTAAGCTGTTACCCACGACTTCGGTCGCGTCCCTTCCCGTCGTTCTTAGAATATAGACATATAGCGTCGCGGACATTTTTTAGATCATTTAAAGAGAAATCATTCTTTCTGACTTATTTTTTGGGTATCTTGAACCGTTTTCGCAGCGTACGCATCGGAAAAACATAGAGATACAATTTTTCCCCCGTGTCGTTCATATTTCCCGCTGTATCTTTGCCCCCATTAGTCACAGCGCGATCTTTTATTGCCTATAACCTTAATCAATTAATGTTTTGCTAACACAAAATAATTTTTCACTTCGAACCAGTAGTTCCTGAGATTAGCGCGTTCAAACAAAGAAACAAACACTTCAGCTTCATATATTTGTATTGATTGCCATGTAAAAAGTGCTTCAGTCATAGATGTGAATCGAGAAATTTAAATAAGGTACTTAACTTGAAAAAAAAATGTATGACACAAATTGGATACATACTTCAGACTACTAGTTGTATAATTAATATTAAAAATTAATTAATTTCACTTCCTCCAGCCTTGAAAATGTAAATTATATGTTTTAGTTATTACAATTTTCTTGAAAATGTTATCTATTTAAATATTACTACCTATTTATTATTTAGAGATCCCTACAAATAACATATAAACTTTTTTTTTAGTGAGCGGGAGTAAACCAACTTGGCCACTACCAAGTAAATCTCCATCGCCCGTCAGGAGACGTGACAGACGCGGGCGGTAGCGATTACTTGCCGTAGACCTGCTGCCCGCGCCCGTATTTCCTGCGCGCGGCTCGCCTAACGTGGCTGGTCGGTGGCCACTTTTCCCAAGTCGGTCCAAAGATCGTAGTCACGGCTGGCAAGTCTCCTCCGGTAAAGGGGAAGGGGGGGGCATTGGGAGCAATCTCCCTCGCCCTCTCCGCTTCCTCATTCTTTGAGAGTAAGTAGGCGCAAAAGGCCTTGTAACCTTGTAACAATTCCCACCGCTGGTACTAGGGCCTAAAGTACCAAGTTTATATAATTTTTTTTTTAGAAACCTTGAACACAATATCAAAAGAACTAGTAAATGCTTGCGAGAAATTAATATTTACACTTGGGACTCCCTCAACTTAGTGTTTGATTTAGATAATAGACCTCAACTATTTAGTCATGTAAATAATAACAAACTTCTTATTTAAGCCCTACTTACAACCTTCCGTACAGGTTCAGCTTAGAAAGTTAAGAAATTTATTGATTTTTATTCGGAACCCATAGAATTAAATACAATACTATCATTTTTTAAATAATATTTTAATTTACTTTGACATTGAGGTTGTTTATAATAAGTTGATAATGAGCAATTTATATACAATCAACCATAGGTTAAGGTAATTAGATACAATAGTATAAATATGAAGGTATTCATAAGTAAAAGTATTACTTTCCACTGCTTAGTAACATCTACTAAGCAAAATGTTGAAGTTCAAAATAACTTGTCTGTTCCTCGTGGCAATTGTCTCCATCTTTGGTGAGTATTATTTATTATATTTTTTATTGATTTTTACGTATATTCATTGGCTCGGGGCCTCTGATGCTAACAGGATGTTTTGGCGAGCGCTTGTTTGTTTGGCTAGACCAAAGGTGTCCCAGGGAGGCATCAGTGTAGGCTTTGATCACCCCGATGTGGGTAGGAGCTAAGACTTTTCTCAACCAGATTGGGGTACGCGGAGCATGGGACCTATCCACGAATACTGTTGTCCACGACTTTTGATAGGTAGTCATAGAGGTTAAGTGCCTTGCGCGGTCTCCCCCAGTGTAGGCCCTACATTTAATTTATTCAATTCAATATGTCAAAAGCGATTCCTCCTTATATTGCAATTATTAATATTTTTGTTCCTTAGGAGTTTCAGCTGAGGAGTCTGCTGATGGACATAAAGGTATGGAGTAGTTGGAATGGTCTAAGTTAGCTAGACCTTTGCATTTAAAAAGTACAATCAAGCTTATACGATTCAGGCAATCGTTTATCTATGTTATCAATATAATAAACATTTGTTTTTAGTTGAAAAATCTTCAGTCAAAGTAAGAAATAACGCATTTCAATGCATCAAAAATCAAACTATTCCAAAAATTTTAAGTTTTTCAAATTACCGTTTTTATCATCTTATAAAACTTTTGAAAATTGAATTGATGATGAACAGAATAGATGGGAAGCCCTCCCATCTATTCTGTCAAAAGCGATTTTTATATTGAAATTATATTTTTTTTGTTCCTTAGAAACTTCGGCGCAAGACTCTGCGGATGGACCCGAAGATGCAGGTAACCGTAGAGGTCGTGTCAAAGATGTTCAGTCGTTGCAATGTTCAGCTAAGCCTTACCCTACCTAGACTATATCTTTGCTCTTACAAAATTCAATCAAACCTTTTAACGTTGAAAGAATTTGTTTTATGTTTATTGTCGGTAATATACATTTGTTTTTAGGTTTATATTTCGTAAAACATTCTATAGTCCACAGACATAGTGGCAACATACTATAGAACCCTGCGCTGTTGAAATTATGTATAATAAACACTAGTTGTGCCAAAGACTTCGACCGCATAGACAGAATAGTTATTTTGTTATCCCCTCTTTTGCTGCCAAAATTTGGTATTGCATACCCATCTTTCATACATATTTTGTGGGTCTCTTGAACTGTTTTTGCACCGTACGCAATAAAAACTTTCAAAGATGAAAAGTTTCTCC